ATAGGACTATCAGAATGAAATTAAATATAAGAGTCAATTGACTAGTTTGAGTAGATTAAGAAAATAAGTTAAATTAGTTATTTATAATAAATAAGTGTTGTCTTTCCTAGAATATCCTTGCTGATCAAGTATATTGGCTAGAACTACCATTATTACAATAACTATCTTTAAAAAATGTATAAATATAAGAGAAAAAGTGAATTAGGTTTTATATTTAGGATTAAAATAAAAGCCAAATAAGGTCTTATATTAAGAATCGGAGATAATATTTGGTAATACTTTCTCAAAATTATTTTAATCTTGAAAAATTGACGACACTAACGTGTACCATCTAGAACTTCCAAAAATATACCAGGATGAAATTCTTTCCTTTCTATCAGATTGCAACCCCCATCCCCAAACTGTGCATATCTCATCTCAATAGTAGAATTGACCATTCGGTTGTGAATGTAGGCTGGGTTGAGCTTCTTGCTTATCATCATATATAATTGTTCTGACCAAGTTCTTGCAACCCGAGAAAGAAGAATAGCAAAATCAAGAGAAAGGGCTGCTGCAAGTGTAAGAGAAACACAAGCACGTGAAAAATGGAAATCGGCGAAAGATATTGCTAAGAAGCATGCAGTAGGACTGCAAACTTCTTTATCACGTACGTTTTCTCGTAGAAAATCTATGAAGGGGGATCTGAAAGCTTTTGGTTCTAAATCTGCGTCAGAAACTCCCTTGCCACCTGCGCCACCAGCAAGTGCTGGTACATCATCGAAAGGAAACAAAAAAGATAAAAACAGCCTCACAAAAATGATCCAGAAAATTGAGGAAGACCCTGATAGTCAGGAAGGCTTTAATGTTGAGATAGGAGATAAAAATATCAAAAAGCAAGCACCCAAAGGCAAGCAGTTGCATACGCAAAGCCAAATTTTTAAGTATGCGTATGGTCAGATTGAAAAAGAAAAGGCTTTACAGGAACAAAATAAGAACCTTACCTTCTCTGGAGTTATTTCAATGGCTAGTGATATTGAGATCCGGAAGAGGCCTACGATTCAGGTTGCTTTCAAAGACTTAACTCTCACTTTGAATGCGAAAAACAAGCATCTTCTAAGATGTGTGACTGGGGAACTACATCCTGGTCGAGTTTCAGCAGTCATGGGCCCATCTGGGGCTGGTAAAACAACATTTCTTTCTGCTTTAACTGGAAAAGCAACCGGATGTCATACAACTGGCTTAGTTCTTATAAATGGCAAGGTTGAATCTATTCGGTCATACAAGAAGATCATTGGGTTTGTGCCACAAGATGATATTGTGCATGGCAATTTGACAGTAGAAGAGAATCTGTGGTTCAGTGCCAGATGCAGGTATTCCTCCTCGAACTCCTTGATCACCGCAGCCTCTTGGATGGATCTACTTTAAAAACGAATTGATTATGTTAAAAAGATTAGAATGTTGACTTTTCATATCTTCTTGCAGAAGTTTTTCGCTGTTTGGTTGCTACTTGCCCGTATGCTTTATTAGTATTCTCATGCCTGTTACTTCCATAGATTTAATGAATTTTCTAGCTTCTGACTATTGTCAACTCACTTAGTAGAGTTTTCTTGCCATTGTAGACTTTCAGCTGATTTACCAAAAGCAGAGAAGGTTCTAGTCGTTGAGAGAGTTATTGAGTCATTAGGTCTGCAAGCAATCCGAGATTCTCTGGTTGGAACGGTGGAGAGGCGTGGAATCTCTGGAGGTCAAAGAAAACGAGTGAATGTAGGGCTGGAAATGGTTATGGAACCTTCACTCCTGATTCTAGATGAACCAACATCTGGTTTAGATAGTTCATCTTCTCAGTTATTGCTTCGAGCACTAAGGCGAGAGGCTCTAGAGGGTGTTAATATATGCATGGTCCTTCACCAACCAAGGTAAATTCAAACATAATGATAAGCAGCTGGAATTCAAAACGTTCATATTTCCCATTTTTTCTGTTGAATATTTGAGATCATTTGTTTTTCTCCTAAATCACCCAAGATAATACTCCCTTCTATTCTATTTTGGGTGTCCTCCAGTTACACACTGTTCAAGATGTTTGATGATTTTATACTACTCGCTAAAGGTGGTCTTATAGTGTATCATGGACCAGTGAAGAAAGTTGAAGAGTATTTTTCCAGCTTGGGGATTGTTGTTCCTGATCGCGTTAATCCTCCAGATTATTACATAGACATTTTAGAAGGGATAGTAAAACCAAGCTCAAGCACAGCAGTAAACTATAAACAACTACCTGTTAGATGGATGCTTCATAATGGGTATCCTGTTCCTTTGGACCTGCTTCAGGGTGTCGAAGGGATGGAAGGCACAAGTGGTGAAAGTTCCACACATGGGGCAGCTACTCCAGCAGCAGAAGCCGAAGATCCGTCTTTAGCTGGGGAAATTTGGCAGGATGTAAAAGTCAATGTTGAGAAGCAGAAAGACTTCTTTCGATATACTTTCTTTACTTCAAATGATTTATCTAATCGGGTAACCCCTGGAGTCTTCCAACAATACAGATACTTTCTTGGAAGGTAAAGTACAAAAGAGATGAGCGGTGGCGAGACTCATTACCAAACAACTGAGCAATTTCTCCCAAGTGACGTCCTTGCTAAATTTTGCTATATGATGGGTTCCCTGCAGGTCTGGTAAGCAGCGGCTACGAGAGGCTAGAACACAGGCCGTAGATTTTCTAATTTTGTTACTTGCTGGAATATGCTTAGGAACACTTGCCAAAGTGAGTGATGAAACATTTGGAGCAACTGGTTACACATATACTGTCATAGCAGTATGTAAGTTTCATCTTAATTTCTTCTTGTTACTCCCAGGATTGGTGAGATTGCCTGCCATTTTTGTCATCTATACTTCTTTACTAACAGTTTCTTACTTTCAGCACTCCTTTGCAAGATCGCGGCTTTGAGAACATTTTCACTGGATAAGTTGCACTACTGGAGAGAGAGTGCATCTGGCATGAGTAGCCTGGCTTACTTTCTTGCAAAGGATACAGTTGATCATTTTAATACACTCATAAAGCCGGTGGTCTATCTCTCAATGTTCTATTTCTTCAACAATCCTAGATCCTCTGTCGTAGATAACTACTTTGTTTTGCTGTGCTTGGTGTACTGTGTCACTGGCATAGCTTATATATTGGCGATCTCACTTGAACCTGGTCCTGCCCAATTGGTGAGCATTATTGTTCTATATCTTTTTTCACATTTAGTGGTGTGGGTTTGCCTAACTTCCAGTCACAAGCCGTTGCTACGTTTTGCAGTGGTCGGTGTTACTTCCAGTAGTTTTGACACTTGTAGCAACCAGTGATAGTGTAGCTGAGAGCTCATTTATGGGCAAGGTAGCTGACGTTTGCTACGCAAAGTGGGCTCTTGAAGCATTTGTGATATCAAACGCTAAAAGGTTTTACACCCCCAAAGTTTCTTCCTTTTCGTTGCTTACCTTCAAATACTGGCTTCTATACTGATATTAAATTTGCCTATCTGGTTTAGATATGCTGGGGTTTGGTTAATAACCCGATGCGGTGCACTAAATCTCCGTGGCTATGATCTCAACAACTGGTATCAATGTCTCATTTTTCTTGTGGTAACGGGAGTACTTAGTCGCATTGTGGCATTCTTTTGTATGATCACTCTCCAGAAGAAATGAGTTCAGTTCTTCAGTTCCTCTTTCTTTTTGTACTATATAAAACAAAAACAGAAAAACCAAGACACAGAAAGTCCAAGATTCTTAATTGGTGCTGCAGTTCGATCAGGGCCTTCGGCCACTACTCGATAGAGCAGTGTGACAAGGTTTGGATCGTCGCGGAGGTGAATTATGTACAGAAGAATGACCGTGTAGTCTCTGACACCCATTCTAACGTAGCATTGGAATGACTTGAACATACATACGCCCCCTTCTCTCTAGTATTGGCCACAAACACTCTTCTTGTGTAAGTAAATACATCCACAATAATGTAACAGGTCATTTTGAAGGTTTAGTGCTTATTCATTGAATAATAGATTATAACTTCGATTGGAATCTCTCTTTTGGGTTCCAGAGAAGCTACCAAAAATGGATCACATGACTTCAATAAATTAACGAGCCGTTATAATAATCACCCTTAAAAGAAACCACAAGAAGAATAGGAAAAGGAACACGCTTGTCTTTGGATAAAAGAAATATGATTCATTATGTTCCATCGGCGTGGAACTTAACACGGCCAAATTAGATCCTACATGCACCGATCAGTTACGTCAGTAAAAAGTTTGACAATTGTTTTATTAGATTAGTTTTTTTCCCCAACAAAACGGATAATAAAAGAAAACACCAAAGTTAACCTAGGTCCAAGTTCAGTAGTTTCCAGAAACCTATAAAGGTGATTAGAGCACTGTTGGCAATAACCTCGGCCGTAATAAAAGTAGGCGGAGTTAGGCACCGCGTATGTAATGACTAGCGACTGGTTGGTAGGGTCAGTCTTGCCCTTCGCCCAATCGGACCTTCATATCCCAACGAGAACTATCCCTGTGGTATCGGGTGTTGACTCAAAGGAAAAGGGGGAAACAAATCAGTCTTTCTGAATTTCGTTGAAATAGTCTAATTCACTTTAGATTTTTCAAGATTAAAAAATCCAATGGACCAAGCCTCTTAACAGCCAACTCAAATAGCAAAAGAAAACAGGAAACTTAACGTAGCCCGTTTTCTTTTGTTAACCTCTTTTTCCTTCGTTTTATGGGAATTCATTGTTATATTGAGCGTTGAAACTAAGGATTTTCAACTCAGGCCTCCGGGTCAATGCCCTCCCCAGGTGAAAATTAAACTTAATATTATCATCCTTTTTTAATAACAATTTTAATGTTAAAGAACCAAAAATGCATATTTTAAAAGGACTAAGTGTGTATTTTAAGTTAGTCAATATAACTCGAAGAGGTCTGAAATTGAAAGCAACACGTTTTACTTTTTTCATTGCTTCTACCATTGTTAAATGCACTCCCGTCTCCCGCTACCCCCGCCAATTCATCACACTAAATAATGATAATCAACAGTCGAATCAAAGAATTTTCTCTGTTGAAATTTTTTTTTTTTTGGCCAAACTCTGTTGAAATTTAAAAGCATGAACAAATCTGACGAACATAATTATTTTCCCCCTCTCTCTTGGGGAACAAAGATTGAAGAAGAAATTACCAAACTCATCGAGGAGCGAATGAGGCTGACAGAATATCAGTGGGCGTCTTCACGTTATCGGACCAGATCTTAGACTTCAGATATAGCCTCGAGATTTTTCCAGCGACGCGTCCCATATTGGGTCTCTTATCTGGATCCACGTGTACGCACTCAAGCGCTACACGCGTCACCTCCTCTGCCACCTCGACCGGGAACGAGTCCCTCAGCCTCCGGTCTATCCATCTCCTCAGCCTCCCTTCCACGCCGCCGCCCCCGGCGGGATCACCGGCCAGAACGGCCCTCGCCTTATCGATCACCGAGTTGCTCACGAACTCCCCGGTTTTCTTATCGTATTTGAACTTCAACGGTTCGTCTCCGGATAGCAACTCCAAGATCACTACCCCAAAAGCGTATACATCGGACTTCTGGGTCGCCACGCCAGTGGATTTGTATTCCGGCGCCATGTACCCTTTTACGCCCTCGAATTTCTTGTTAGAGCTTCTCGATCGTCTCACGTCCTTTGATTTCGTGGAAGATGGGGAGGTAGATGGCTCCTCTGGAATCTCTTCCATCTCTTTCGCATTTTCGCTCTCTTCGTCGATCTCACCGCACAGCTGGGAGGCGCCGAAGTGTGAAATCCTGGCGTTGAACGAAGGTTCTGTCACGATTATCGCACTGCTCTTGATGTGGTTGTGCACCAAGCTTAGGGTTAAGCCGGTTTTATTGTGAATGTAATCAAGTCCTTCGGCAAGATCCGTAGCTACCTGCATTCTGGAAATCCAACTCGACAGGACCGTGAAGTTAACGTTCTTCGTATTTCGCAGACAATCGGAGAGATTAGCTCCATTCACGAAGTCGTACACGAGGTAGATGTGTTCGCCAGAGATGCAAGCACCGACGAGCTTGATGATGCTGACGTGGTGGCTACGGCAGATCACAGAGAGGCGATCTCTGAGTTGATTCGTCTGGAGCTTGCGACGGAACTTGCGCTGGAAAACAATGACGTCTCTGCCTCTGAGAGCACATCGCCAAGAGGGAGTGGAGGAGGAGGAGGAATAACGCTTGGCAAGGAAATTGTTGGTGGCAGAGCGAATTTCAGAGAAGTCATAGATGTGGGGGTTTTCAGGGAGGCTGCCTCGAAAACTAGCGAGAGAGTTTCCGCTGGAAATGGAGGTGTCAGAGGTGAGTTTGAAACCGGAGGAGGCAGAGTAAGGGGCAGAGCTGGGGTAAGAAGTGGAGGGGTCGGAGGAAGAAGAGGCGGCGGGGGCGGGTAAGGTGGGACGGGAAGATGATGGGATTCCTGATTTAGGGGTGCGGGGTTTTCGAGGGGTGGAAGCGTCAACGGCCATTTTGGTTTTACACATTCAGGGAAAAGGGATAACAAGTGGATAAACAGGAATTGCAGATAAAGTCTGAAATCTGAAAGAAATGGGATGCGGTGGACAAGCAAATTGATGGCCGACAAAAAATAATTAAGAAATTAATTGACGAATCAGTGTTAATGTCGACGGAGGAACCCGCACGGGCACAGATAACGTCGCTGCCTTCGCCGACTCTGACTCCAACGAGAAAGAGTCTTCTTCATCTCCCGATTGTTTAAGCTAGTGGCTAGAGGCATACGCCTGACTTGTCATGCTTTTCTTTTTCTTTTTTTTTCCTTTTAAAATTAAAAAAAAGTTTGAAACACATGTTTTAAGTCTTTAGATTTTTTTTAATTAAGTTTCTTTATCAAATAATATTATTACTCCCCTATGTTAAAGAAGAAAAACCTCACTCCATTGCCGCCATCAGTGCTCGGATGTTGTTCACTGAAGAATAATTGGGAAAGAGAGCAGCAAATGGATTTTGTAATAAAAAGTGCAAACTATATACTCCTCACATTCTAAATATAAGATTCACTTTGTAGTACAAATTACACTATAAAATAAATTTTGTTCTATAAAATAAATTTTATATTTAGAGTATGAGAAGTACATTACAAAATAAGAGAATTAACGAGAAAGATTAAGATTAGCTTTCGTCTCTTAGTCCTCTTACTCAAGAAGCGAAGGATGATTAAGGATATGGGATTTTTTTTTTTTTTAAAACATATAAGTAAACTTTGTCGAATAATCGGCTGGTAAAATCAGATACTCTCTTCTCAATTCCTGTGAACAAGCAATTTAATTTCATCTAAGACAGTTCTTGAGAGGCAGTAGCTATCAAATGAACTGCCTCAAATCTCAAATGAATAGTTTCCTAAAGCTGTGAACCCGGCGGAGGGGATTGTTGTCCCTCCATATTTGAATGCGGACTCCGAAGTCACATCCCAAGTTAAGGTTCACACTCAGATAATGCAGCGACCTTGGTCTCTGGCATAGTTTATTGGCGTCAAAGGACTGGTAGGGAAGGGAATTAGGGAACAGGAGAAAAGGCCGCAAAAGATTCCCTAACCTTTTCGTGCCGTGTTGCTGCCCGGTGACAATGATAGAGGAGTCCTTTTGGCAATCCAAGTTGGTTCAGATTCCCGTGGAAAACCACATGGGCTACTTTATGAATAAATAAATCATATGGTTTCAACCATGCCGGAGGTTTAATTTAATTAGGTCTACCCAGGAAAAGATGGCCGGCGTGATGTCATTGATGACATATATTACCATAATCACAAACAAATATCACTCTTGTTAGTTTCCGCTATATATCAGTTAGGTCCCTTTCGCCTCCCGAATGGCTGCGTGCTAAAAATAAGTTACTTATTACCCATTTAATTTACCCTTTTTTTTGGGTTTCATCATATTTGTAGTATCTTAAAGGGTTGTTTTTAGTTTATAGTGTCTACTTTTTCAAGGTAACAGCGCCCGAATTTCATTTGCTGACTGCAACCTATTCAACTTGGCCTTCACAACGAATACTTGAAGATGTGCTGATCTCACGAATAACTTTATCATTTGTAACTTTTACTCTTTTTGATATTATTCTAATATTTTCGATTAAAAAAAAATGCCGCATCTTTTGTGTTCTCAACCTCTCCTGCCACTCTGGGATTTTTTCAAAGTCAAAAGTCACCGTAAGTTTTTTAATTTTGTTAACATGGTAAGGGCTTTTAGAGAACACTTCTCTTTTTCTTTTCTTTTTTAAATCCAGGCTTTAGAAGACTTTTTTTTTTTTGCAAGGTATATATATATATTTTTTATGAGAGGCTGTTCGAATAATGTGGAGCATTAAATATGAACATATCTCCTAATAAAAATTCAAACTTGGATTCATCACGATTAGTTCATTTTGTTACACTCATATTTTATTGGTTCTCGAAAAGCTTCTCATTGTTTTTGGGCAGAGTGTTTTTGGTTTTTGGACTCAAGAAAAAACTCAACGAAAAAGAGGTTTTAAGCCCATAAAAAGCTACTGGGCCTTTAAAATATGAATGGGCATGTCTACCGGGCCTCTTAAGAAGAAAAGAATATGCAGGGACATAAATGGATCAACCAACCCAAGCTCATTATCTAAAGGAGTCGTCCAAATCAACAATACGTTTGAAGATGGGCAAAGACTTTGTATCGATCCGAGCCCGAGGGCTACCCAATAACTTGTTTAAAAAAAAAAAGAAAAATCATATTGGAGGTACCTATACTTTCTCTCAATTTTTAATTTGGTATCTATGTATTTTTTTCCCTTTAATTAAACATTTAATTTTATCTTTTTAGCAACATTAGCTCTTATAACTTTATTCTATTGATATTTTTAGTCTCTACATAAGGATTAATGATGTTAATAGAGCAAAATTAAAGATTTAGTTAAGAACAAAAAACACATAGGTACCAAATTGAAAATTGAGAGAAAGTATAAGTACCTCTAATATGGTTTTTCCAAAAAAAAACATCAAACTATGAGAAATAAGTTTCGTATGGCAGACATTTGTTTTGACATAATTATATGAGACCTCAGCATACATTCTGATTTCCCTACAATATTTACAAAGCCCCATGACCGCATGTTAGGAAAAAAGTTTCAGCCAAGTGAAACGGAGAGAAAAATGGCACTCTTCTGATGATTAATATAAAACATATTTAACTAATTTAATTAGATTAAAAAAATTAGCTTAGTTAATTATAATAAATATGACATCTTTTTAAAAAAACTATAATTATCTTTTTTAATACCTTACATCTCTCTCCTATATATTCGATTATGATTAAGAGAATATCAATAGGAATAATTTTAAAAAAATTGATAAATATGAGTATATTTTTTAAGATAAATGTTAGAAAGTATATGTAATATTTCTAGAACTGAGAATATGTTCATCATAGTTGCGAGTTGCCATCATGTAACCAACAAAGATTCGGGAGGTGTTTGGATGAAACCAAACCATGGTTTAGAAAATAAATTTTTGTGAAGAATAAATTTTGTGAAAAAGTGATTTTGAAAAGTGAAAGTGTTTGGATAGTTGTTATCAGAAACACTTTTTATATATACGAATTACTAAAAAAGGCACAAGTTAATATGATAATTACGTAAAAGATATATTTTATGATATATTTTAATTTGAAGGAATAAAATTGTTAATAATATATTTTTTACCAACATAATTAATAATACATAAGATAATATAATTAATAAATAATTAATATGTGTATATATATTTATAAGATATAAGATTAAATATGTTTATAAAAAAATAATTGAGAAATGTTAAAGTCATATTATTATTGAGATCTACTCTGACAGTAGGGGTGGAAGTAGGCTAAGCCCTTATCAGGAGCTTACGGTTTAACCTACTTTAAGCCTAGCCTAGCCTATTTAGTAAATAGGCCAAGCTCAGGCTTAGGCCTATTGCAAAGCCTATTTAGGTAAACAGGTTAGGCCTATTTTTATAAGGCCTAGACTACAAGCCTACAGGTTTGGCCTATTTTGTAACACCTCACATAATTATATCAATATACGCAACAAAATTTAAGTTAAAAGTCCACACATATTTCTAACACTGCAAACAAGTCAAAATTTCAAAACATTTCTAACATAACTTGACAACATAAACTATTAAAGTCTTATAGTCATGACAAATAAAAATATAACATAGCATGTGCTTGAGAAGTACAAAAGCCTTCACGACTCACTTTATTGGTGCCTTCCCTTAATTCCTACTAGATCATTTGCCTGAAAATTGTTAATATAGGGGGTGAGATCAAACGTCTCAGTAACTACTGAAATTCTAACCTATACAAGCAAACCATATATGATAAAGCAAAAATCTGTTTATATGTCTGTATATATGTATATATTAAAAATCACGGATTTGATACATTCAATTCAATTTCATTTTTTTCAATATATCCAAAAATAATGCAATATGTTGCCTCCCTTATATCACCGTCCACCTTTATACCGCTGACTGGAGCCATAGGCTAACACATAGTCCGATAGGAACTAATTCATTTTATTGAATTATTCCAACCTCACCGATGCTAGAGATATATCCGGCCAAAGATATAGAGCTCAAGCTTGGACTATGGCTCCCCTCCTTTGTGAATAGGGAGGTGTCACATGTCCCATAACTCCAATGAATTCCCAGCCAAAGGAAAACATGGAAGAATGGGCCCTAACAAGTGCCATCCACTATGCATTGAGTGATAGCATACCACGTGGTAATTTATATCCATGCAATCTCCTTCTATCCTTAACCCAACAATGCATGTCATATGCAAATAATGGTACATCATAAATATACTCAAATATATTATTAAAATAAGATAGCAATAAAATTCCTATACCATTTAACAGTAACTCATAATAATTTCATAACTATTAATATACTCCCTCCGTTATTATAAGAGACATTTGATGCTCATGGCATGTTCCTGTATATAAGAGACACTTACAAGTTGTTTCTATTTTTTTGTGTTGATTTCCTATTTTACTCATATTTATTATCTCCAACTCACACTCTCTCTCCCTCCTACTTCTCTTTCTTTTAATAATTTAATTGTTCTCTCTCCTTATTAATGAGGGTATTTTGGAAAAAATTATACTTTTTACACATTAATTGTTCTTAACTAATTTTAATTGTTTTTTTCATCAACGTACTTCGGTTATTTATCTTTTATAATAAGGAACGGAGAGAGTATTTAAATATTGATTATAATTACTAGTAACAAATCTTAATAATCAGGTAACATATCAAAACATTCATTTTACAAAAAAATCATAATATTATATTTCAGTAATATAATAATTAGTAAATCTACAATATAATCATACACAATTGACATATACAAGAAAGGATTTTCAGAGTTACCTGGTACTCTTTAGCTTACAAATATTCACACAAAGATTACTCCAAAATTCTCAAGAGTTTACAAAATTGCACATAAATATTTATTAATATAAATTTAGAACTACTCCAAAACTACTCTAAAATTTTAAGACTACCCTCTAAACCAAAATTACATAAATATATTAACTCTCCCAAATCTAGGCATTTATAATACATATAATATTATTTTGAAAAATATAATTTATATAAGGCTATTTAAATTTAACAACTTAAGTAAATATATTCTTATTACCCAGAATCTAAATATTTTATATTAAAATTCTGAATTATTTATTATAGTCTCCTTTAAATTTTTCCTCAAACCAAACAACGTCTTTTTAAATTATAAACAAACTGTAGCTTTATCTAATTTCACAAAATTCTCAATTTACAATTTTTCAAGCCTTCAAAAATATATCTTTAACTTATTTAATATTTAAACCGATTAAAACCTCAATAATATATTAAATAACTCAAATAAATTATTTAACTTGAATTTAATCGGTAAAAATATTCTATATCTTTGAATAACAAATTTTGCAACTAAAATCTTAATTTAAAATTCTCAAAATAGTCATTGAGTAAATATAAACCAATTAAAATTTTTTAATAATATATCTTTAAATTTCTACGGTTATACATTGTCAAAACTCTTTATTTACTTTATACCCAAACAGTAAAATTTTCTCTAAACATTATAATGATACTAATAATATAAAGCTATAAATATATAGGAAATATTCATAAAGAAAATTTGACAAGAAGAAGTAGTTTTGTGTACCTAAATGATCATCAAATCTTTCCTTATCTTCCAGACAGCATGTATTTCCACTCTCTTGATGTCTCTTTCTCTTCTCTCGCTCTCTTTCTCTCCCACTCTCTCTTGTTTTGGCTTGAAAGAAATAACCTGAATGATGATATATATAATACCCCCACGCCTGATTTTCTACCACCCATCTCCTATTTTCCACTTCCATCCATACCTTCCCCCCTTCTTTTTCTTCCATCATTTACTACTCCTCCCTTAGATTCTCCTTTCATTTAATACACCCCCCAATATTCTTCTCTTGGTCAATTACCCCCAACTTTTCACTGCCTATGCCTTATCCTATTTCCCTTCAGTCGTCCCTTACCCCTTCTTTTCTTTTGCATTAATTACCCCTCCCAATTTTTCACTCTCTGTGGAAAAAGGAGGGTTGGGTTTTTTTTAAACTAATAAAATATTATTTTAATAACATGTTATATTTTCTTTTATTATTATTATTTGTATGTTACATATTTAACTTTTTTTAATTTACAATATTATATAATATAATATAGATTAATTTTATAAATTATTTATAAAATTACTAGCTTAGGGATAATCCTAAGTTTCACATCCCATCATTCACACACAAATGCAACTCTTTCATCTATCAATCTTTTACCTCTACATTTCTTTTCTTTGATCACTCAAGATGACTATGTTAGCTCACTCCCTCTCCCCTGATTTACGTTGTTCACTAAAGCATAATAATTGCAGTAAGTTTGTTTTAGTGATGCCTAAATAAAATATTATAATACTGCTAGAAAAGCAAGAGGTAAAATCTAGTTTTACATGCCACTTGTTGGGTTTAGTTGATTTTAGAAAATATACCTCCTTCGTCAATATATAATTAGTTTTTCTTATTCATATTTGTTGAAACAATTACTGTTACTAAGCATTCTTTTTCCTTACTAGAATCTTGTTATCTTATATTGTATATGAGAATAGATCCTAAGTTTTTAAGACATAACGAAGGCTTTAAAATAAGTTTGAAAAGTTATACATGAATTTGGAGGCATGTGCTTTTAAGCCTATTTAAATACCTAAATTTTAAGTAAGTTTTAAAAAAAGGCTTTTAGGCCTTTTGAAGGCTTAGGCTCGAGTTTTAAAAAAAAAAAAACCTACATGCAGGCTTAGACTCAGGCCTAGGCCTATTTAGCTAAAGCCTAGCCTAGCCTAGCCTATTTCTACCCATATGTGACAAGTATAATCGTACTCTCCAATTTGAACCAGAAGCAGAATGGATTCACTTTTTCTGAAACCATGATTTTGGACTCCAAAACTATGGTTTCAAATTATTTTTCCAAAATTGATACTATTTTGGGGACATCCCATCCAAACTATAGTTTTTCCTCTCAAAACATAGTTTTGAAGGGCACCCAAACAGGCCCTCGGAGAACAACAAGAAGAAAATAGAAAGCTGGTAGCTGCCAGAATGCGTACATTTTTTTCAAAAGCAAGTGGAACAGATAAGACGAGAGAATTGGATCTTAGCTATAGTGTTAAAGCTAGCTTCCATCCCCAGCTTGAGTTTGGATACTATCCTCTTTGTGCAAGTTGATTCAATGAATGAAGCACCAAAAGGTTTAATTTTCATCAAACACTATACTACTTTCGGTCTTAATTATAAGATGTCGTTTCTAATAAATGAAGTTTTATAATTAGAACTGAAGGTAATATGTTTTAGCCACTGCTAATTTAAAATGATGAGGCTTCTTTGTATTTTTATCCTACTTAAGTGTCACTCTATTAGCTTCTTCGCGTACACACACAAATATGGTGCTTAGGATTCAAATGCTGTGCCAATATGTGTACATAGTACACGGGTTATGATCTTAAGGGTAGAAAAGGGGAATGCCTTCCCTCAAACATGTAGGTTACGTGTGAGGTACTTCTCTAGTCTTATTTACAAGACAGAAAGAAAATATTTTTTTTGATCTTATTTATAAGATACTGAGAGATTTTTTATATAGATGTATAATTTTATACTTCATTTATTATTGTGTTAACTTTGTTTACATGACGTATAATATATATTAAATAAGGATAAAGTTGAAATGTTATTAAATTTTAAATAAAAATCAATAAAATTTAAAATTTTTGTCGATATATGTAAACAAGGCCTAAATGATTCCAGATTCCTTAGCTTGGTCAAAACGAAGAGGACAATAAATGCATGACCTTGAAGGCAAAGAAATTTCAAAATCGGAGTCTTCAATACTTCAGCCCATACCCCGGCTTCCACGGCGTGAGACTCTATATAAGGACGCTCTCGATCGAGCTTTCTTCCGCAGTAAGAGCCACATATTCACAAATATAGTTCACATGGCTATTCTGACCTTCTACTTCTTAGCCTTCTCTTTCCTCTGCAATCTCTCAACTCTTCCTTTGCTCACAAATGCTGTCTCCAACTGCGGCGGAAGCTGCACCACCCTCAACGACTGCGCCGGCCAGCTCATTTGCATCAACGGCAAATGCAACGATGATCCTGACGTGGGCACGCTCATCTGCCGAGGTGGCGGCGGCGGCGGCGGAAGCTGCCAGGCTTCCGGCAATTTAACCTGCAACGGTAAATCCTATCCTCAGTATCGTTGCTCCCCGACAGTCACGTCCTCCACGCAAGCCATCCTCAACCTCAACGACTTCAGCGAAGGCGGCGACGGCGGAGCACCGTCCGAATGTGATGAGCAGTACCATAGCAACTCGGAGCGCGTGGTGGCGCTATCGACGGGGTGGTACAACAACGGGTCACGGTGCGGGAAGATGATAAAGATCACGGCCAGGAACGGGAAGAGCACGACGGCGAAAGTGGTGGATGAGTGTGACTCGGTGAATGGGTGTGACAGCGAGCATTCGGGACAGCCACCGTGCGGGTATAACATCGTGAATGGGTCGCAGGCGGTGTGGAATGCGTTGGGGCTTGATTCGTCGGTGGGTGAAGTAGAGGTCACCTGGTCTTTTTTACCTGATGAGCATCAGCTGGTCTGTACCGTGAGCTACTCGTAAGAAAAATTAAATAATAGAAGCAAGATAAACAACCGCAGTATGTAGCTGGCTGCTTGCTTTGCTTTGAATTTCTCTGGTCTGGAAATTAATCTCACAAAGCAGGAAAGTAATCCCTACTTGAACACGACGAGCATCCCTGTAATACTTCTATAATGAAACTTCAATGTTCCCTCCTTCTCTCTCTCTCTCTCGCAGAGGAAGATATTGCGAATTTCGTGGAAATAGAATCTCTATGTTCTTTAATTTGATATTTTTAGCCGTTGTGATGTTCTTGGAGTTAGTCACAAGATCACATTCTCGAAGCGATAGCCGATAGCAATTGGAAGGGGGGGGGGGGGGACAACCCTTCAGGTATGTCGCATGCAATGATTGATTAAATCATGATTATCTCATTGGACAAGAGCAAATGAACAATGCGAAACATATGATATCCTTATCCTCTTCGCGATGAATACTCATTCATGGTTGATCAGAAGAATGAAATCAACAGTAATCCAAACCATTCAAAAGTTAATATCAACAGTGCAGATTTAAAATTTTTAATATGTAACTTATTTAATAATAGATTTATTTTTTAAAAAAAAGTGCTAGTAACAAGATTATATTTTAAATTTTGTATCGGTTAAGATAAAAATTAATTAAAATACATAAAAACTTTACAAAATTAATCTGAATAGTTCAAATTAAGATGAGCACTACATGCTCATCAATTTGATGAACATGAAATGTGCTTCAAAAAATAATCGGGTTGGTATCTATCTGGATTTTTTGGGGGTATAATATGAGGATTTTTATTTTTAATGAGAGTACAAATAACCAATTTTATTTTATCTTTCAATTTAATTGAAGTATTAAACATTTTCATGATCTTTCATATGTAAAAGCTATGGATGAACTTATATACTTCTCTTGTTTTATTTATAAGTTATTTTCAACATATTTCACACAAACAAAAAAACAAAATCTTAAATTTCATTAACTCTCATTTAAAACTCAACAACTTTTCAACTTTATTTCTATTTAATATATATTATTTCTCATATAAACGAAGTGAATACAGTAATAAATAAAAAGTAAAATTATAAATTTATATAAAAAATTCTTTTAAATGCCCTATAAATAAGACTAAAACATATTTTCTTTCTATCCTATAAATAGAACTAGAGGAATGTAATTTTCCCGTGACTCACCATAATGTCCCGGTAACGTACGCGTAATGTTGGCGTACAAACTGGTCCATTAATTCCTTCTCTGATGCGTCATTTACTCATTTTCTTGTTTTATCGTTTTTTCAAAACTCTGTCCAAGAAAATACTTTCGGAACCCTACTTTGGTTTTAAAACCAGGTGACTCGTAATATATTTAATACTTCTTTTTAATATTATAATTATTTAATTTTTATTAAGAAGAGAGAAAGACATAGAAGTATAAAAATGATTTATAAATGTAAAAAGAAGAAACTTTAATAAAAATAAAAAAGTTGCTAATTTAATATATTTTTTTGGTATGCAAGTGTTACAAGTGATTTATATTAAAAATCACAATAAAACCAAATTAGGTTCAGGGCCAAGCCACGTGGAGGGGCGTGGGCACCTTCGATGGGTGCGTAAGTTGTAAGTCGGTCCATGCATAAACTGGTCCATTAATTTCTCTAAGTCTTTATCTTTATTTTTTATGTGTCATTTTCTTGCTTTTTTTCTGTTAAATAAAATTGCTCCGCGAATTAATTAACAAGATCGCAGTCTTTGGAAGAAAACTGAGCTTGGCATGTGCTTGAAACCAATTAGCTCTCATTCATACTTCTTAAACTTTCTTCAAAATAAATATATGTGCTATTTTATTATTCTTTTTCTTTGACAGAGTTTGAGTGTGTGTATATATTTTGGCTAAGCACATATATTTTTTTATTAAAATTAATTTTTTTCAAAGTATGTTTTTGTGAGAATTTGAATCTTGATTTGCATACGTGGCTAATGACTTTTATGGCGGGTCCGATCATACTCATAGATGAAGCAGGGACCTTCAATTTGGGCCTTTGGTAAACGAGACGGAACCCTTTGGGATAAAGTTGGGGCCACTGAGGCCCGAAAGCCTTATCACTTGGCAACCGATCGACCAACGCTGTGCGGATTATTGTGACTGCCAACAAGTGACAATAACAATCCAATACGGAGTCTCAATATTAAGATTCATCATAGTTTCCTGTGCAACACTGCTTTAATTTACTGACAGAGAAAAATAAATTAGTTCCCTAATCTATGATTCCACTATCTGTGGTTATCCCTGTAAAAACTCAAGAGCAAAGTGAACTTCCGGACAACTTGAAAACTATGTCTGATTGATCCAGCAATAACACCGAAGCCGGATTTATAAAAAGTTTTGCATTTTAACGAAAAGTATTCGAGCACCCTGAGCCCTGAGTTGAGGCATTTGTTCTTTTAGTTTAAAATGGACAAGTCTTATCATTTCAATGAGCTCTCTGATTCGCTAGGGACTGAAATTAATATAGTAAAGTATCTTGGTTGTCCTATAAAAGGAAGGACAAGATCCGTAATGAATATATAAGAGAAAAAGTTAGAGTGGCTACTATTGATGAGAAAATAGTAAAAAACCGATTGAGATGGTTTGGTCACGTGCAAAGACAGTCTTGAGACCTGCCGGTAAGAAGGGTTAAGCAAACAGTATGGAGTCCTCTATAAAAAAATAGATGAAAGCCAAAGACAACGTTTAATGAAGTCATTGAGAGAGATATTTCAATTAACAATCTATCCAAAGATTTGATTTTGGATAGGGCTCAATGACATCGTGTGATCCATGTAGCTGATCTCACTTAGTGGGATAATGTTTTGTTGTTGTTGTTGTATCTTGGTCGTCCTAGATTACTTGAGCCTGCGCAATACGCTTGCCATTCCATTGGTGGCAACGTGGCTGGTATTCTTTCCGACTTTCCATGAATCCCATTTGAATAAAAACACCAGATTGCTTCTTTTTGGGGATTATTGTACGTACACTCATACATAGTCATAGGACTGAAACCCTAAAAGCAAAAGGAGGGACCAAAGCAAGGAAACCAGCAAGCATAACTGAAAGTGGGGACGCACTGGTGTGAATTTTGATGGTGTTGATGATATGATGGCGCGAGAAGAAGAAGAAGAAGAAGAAGAAGACCCCGAGGCATGTTGAGCACAGAAAAGCAAATCCTTTTGTTCTCTTTGAAACCCCCGTTTGGTAAAAAGCTTCATGATTATGGATCTTCATCATCTCTTTGTGGCTGCCATCGATGAATAATTAACGAGTTGAAGCTTTGTTGTCGTTTTGCGACTGGAAAGAGAACAGAACATGTTCTGTCTCCCATGATCTCTCTTCAGGGCCCCAGGTCCCACTTGTTCAATTTAGATCCTTTCATGTCATCCAGCAAATGAATTCAGGCCAAAAGAAAAAAAGAAAAAGAAAAATCCAGCAAATGAATGGTCAAATGCAACTGAGAAATCATTCATTCTACTTTCTTGGTGAAATGTAACGGCCACCACCCATTACCTTCAATCTTATTATCTTTTAATATAAAGAATAGTTTGATATTTAATTAGATCTTAAATATAAAACTTTAATTTATTTTGCTTATCATATTTGTTTATTTTTTTAAGGTGATCCTTATAATAATAGTAATTCTAGTCAATACACTTTATTAACAAGAGTTTTTAAAAAAGATAAAACTTATTTATTACGAATAGCTAATTTAACTAATTTTCTTAATCTATTCAAATTAGCCAATTAATTTTTATATTAATTGAAATCTTTTGTTTAAAAAAAATCTCCTATTGAAATGACTTTCAAGTATCTATGGGTTAATGAGATAGTTAAATTATCAAATATCAATGTTGTCTAAAAAATGGACTTGTTTTTATCAAACGCATCATCTCAAAGAATACTTTTTATCTTGTATACAATGTCTTATCCTACTCATGAAAATTGTGAAAAGATAGGTTGAAAAAAAGGTAATTAATAATTTTTTTTTTTACAGAGTGACTACTGACTAATAAGAAAAGATCTTCGAAGTTTACTTATTGATGGACAATTTATAGATATTTTTATAAGCATTTATTGAGTTTGGGGACATCCTGAACGCGTGAATTCCTACCTCAATAAACTTTTTTGTACAGGAAAAAAAAACTCATCTAAGTTTATACACTTGACATGAGGATATATATATATATATATATATGTATATATTTACATATATATTGTCACCCTCAATAACTTGAACCAGCAGAATATGTGATCCATACCCCTTAACAGACAGACATCCCCGCTCTAATCTTATCACCTGAGGGGACATTAACTAAAGCTCTGATATGTAAGGCCACACACCCACTTCGCTTTTGCTGCCTCTAGACTTAGGGATTATTTGGGTATCATCTCAAACCATGGTTTGGAGATAGAGATTGTCAAACACGCAGAAAAAAAAAAAAAACAGAAACCATGGTTTTAGACTCAAAATTATGGTTTCAGAAGAATTAAATTCATTTTACTTCTGGGTCAAATTGAAGAGTATGATTGTGCCTATCAGAATAGATCTCAATGATAATATGACTTTAACACCCCTCAATTATTTTTTATAAACATTTTAATCTTATATTTTATAAATATATATACACATATTAATTATTTCTTAATTACATTATTTTATATATTATTAATTATGTTGGTAAAAAATATATTATTAACAATTTTATTCCTTCAAATTAAAATATATTATAAAATATATCTTTTATATAATTATCATATTAACTTATATTTTTTTTAGTAATTTGCACATATAAAAAGTATTTCTAATAACAACTATCCAAATATTCTCACTTTATCAGAATCACTTTTTCACAACATCTATTTTTCCAAGAATCTATTCTTCAAAAACTACTCTTCAAACCATGGTTTGGTTTCATCCAAACATTTTTTTAGACTCAAACTCATAAGTGGCTCTTTAATTGGTAATTGTCGCTTTAATCATGGAAGTGAGGAGCCGAATTGGGTGCAGGACACAGTTTACTCACCAACTGACGTCCAGACGTTTTTAAATTAAAGTTTGTTTACTTTGAAGCAAATATTACATAATGATTTGATCTGCCGAACATTATGTGGGTGTGGCTCCTGCCTCCGGTTCAATTAGATCCTCCATTTATCTTAATTGGCTGAAAACAAATGAGTTGGCTGCTTTCACATCAATGCGATTATCCAAAAAACATTAACGATAATATTAACCAGATATCACTAATAATGAATTTAATCTTTTTTTTTCACGCTCAAAGGTGTAAATTTTCCCTGTTTATTGTCATTTTTTGATAAAATATACCAGGCAATTTTTTCAGCTCAGCAATTTTTTCCCCGAGAAAAGTTTTCCCATGTATCCATCATATTTTCATAAGAAATCTGATGATATCAAATGTCTGAAATAATTACAGTCAAGTATGATCCATAATTCATGAATCATTAAATGAATCCATTTGACAAACCAAGTTTGTTCAGATTCCAGAGGAAAAACCACGCGGTCTGCTTTATGAATCCATTTGCCGGGATTTAATTTAATTAGGTCTGCCCGAGAAGAGATGGCCAGCGTGATGTCATGGATGACATATATATTACCATAATTCCCGCGGAAGGTGACGCATCACAAACAAATTAAATATCACTCTCATTAGTTACCACCATATATCAGTTAGGTCCCTCTCGCCTCCCGAATGGCTGCGTGCAAAAAATTAGTTATTACTCATTTAATTTTTATTATTATTATTTTTTGTTTCATCTGTAATATCTTAAAGGGAGAATTACAACAAGGTTCCATGCAAGAGAAAAAATTACAAAACAAATCCCAAAAGTTATTATTCTCCACTCTAAAACTTGTCATTGCAAGCTGTTTAAGATTTTATTAGATCTTTTAATAGTTATTTCTCTTGTATGGGACTTCATTGTAATTTTCCCCTATCTTAGGGGTTGTTTTTAGTTTATTGTATCTACTTTTTCAAGGTAACAGCGCCCGAATTTAATTTGCTGACTGCAACCCATTCAAATTGGCCTTCACAATGAATGCTTGAAGATGTTCTGATCTTGCGAACAACTTTATCATTTGTAACTTTTACTCTTTTTGATATTATTCTAATATTTTCGATTAAAAAAATGCCGTATCTTTTGTGCTTCTCAACCTCTCCTACCACTCTGAGATTTTTTCAAAGTCAAAAGTCACCGTAAGTTTGTTAATTTTGTTGACATGGTAAGGGCCTTTAATGAACACTTCTTTTTTTTTTAAAAAAAAATCCACGCTTTAGAAAACTTCTTTTTTGCAAGGTACAAATATATTTTTATGAGAGGCTGCTCGAATAATGTGGAGGGCTAAATATAAACATGTCTCTTAATAAAAATTTAAACTTTGATTCATCATGACTAGCTCATTTTGTTACACTCGTTCTTTATCGGTTTTAGAAAACCTTCTTATTGATACAGTGTTTTTGGTTTTTGGACTCAACAAAAAAGTGTTAAGCCCATAAAAATCTATTAAGCCTTTTAAGAATGAATGGGTATGTCTACCGGAGTACCGGGCCTCTTAAGAAAAAATGAATATGTAGTGACATAAATGGATCAACCAACCCAAGCTCATTATCTAAAAGTGTTTGTCAATTGCTCCAAAAGTACTTCGGAGCCCCAAACCAAGGTTTGGGTTGACTAGTCGCCAAACACTCTGTTTTTAAGAAAAGCCATGGTTCCGCCAAAACCTTGGTTTTGGCTAGCCAAACCATGGTTTTCGGATAAGCTAATGGCCTTCGCTTCTGAGATGGAAAATTATGGTTATTGGAGTAATAATTACTCCTGTCAAAGGCTCTCAATGGTGAAAAGCGAAAAACACACTCTTCTCCCTCACTCCTTCGTCGTCGCCCCTTCTGTGAAATTTTCCAAAACATATCCGAATCATTTTCATAAAATAAAGGTAGTACTCCCCTTATTCCCCTCCCATCTCCACCATTAATAAATATCAACCATCTTACAAAATAGGCCTTAGATGCTGGTGCTTATATATAACAATCTTTCAGGTTTCCGCTGCCCTTTCCATCCTTTTCCCCTCCAGTAACCTCAAAATATATATACACATATTAATTATTTTTTTATATATTATTAATTATGTTGATAAAAAATATATTATCAACAAATTTATTTCTTCAAATCCAAATATATTATAAAATCTATCTTTTATGTAATTATTATATTAATTTATGTCTTTTTTAATAATTTGTACATATAAAAAATGTTTCTGATAACAACTATCTAAACACTCTCACTTATTAAAATCATTTTTTCACAAAATCTATTCTTTCAAGGATTTATTTTCCAAAAGCTATTCTCTAGACTATGGCTTGTTTTTATCCAAATGCTTTTTTTGTATAGTCCTAGCCCGAGGGCTGCCCAATAACCTGTAAAAAGAACAAAAAATCTGTGAGAAATAAATTTTGTGCAGCGGACGTTTGTTTTGACATAATTATATGAGCCCTCGCATGAATTCTGATTTCCCTACAATATTTACAAGGCCCCATAACCGCACGTTAGGAGAAAAGTTTCGGTCAAGTAAGTAAAACGGAGAGAGAAATGGTACTCCTACAGTGGTTAATATAAAATCTATTTAACTAATTTAATTAGATTAAAAAAGTTAAGTTAGTTAATTATAATAAATATGACATGTTTTTTTAAAACACTATAATTATCTTTTTTAATACCCTACATCTCTCTCCTATATACTTGATCATAATTAAGAGAGTATCAATAAGAGTAATTTAGGAAAAATTGATAAATATGAGTACTAGGATCAACTCAATAATTATATCTTATATTAAAAACAGTAAAAGCATATTTTTCAAGATAAATGTTAGAAAGTAGATATAATGTTTCTAGAGCTGATAATATGTTCGTCATATTTGCGAGCTGCCATCATGTGACCGACAAAGATTCGGAGAAAAACAAGAAGAAAATAGAAAGCTGGCAGTGCCTGAATGCGTACATATTTTAAAAAAGCAAGTGAAACAGATAAGACGAGAGAATTGGATCTTAGATATAGTGTCAAAGCCAGCTTCCGTCACCATCTTGAGTTCGGATACTATCCTCTCTGTGCAACTTGATTCAATGAACGAAGCACCCGAAGGTTTAATTTTCATCAACATCATACTACATTCGATCCTAATTATAAGATTCTATTTATAAATTATAAACGAAGTATTATAATTAGGACCGGAGATAATATTTCTGATCCACCGCTAATTGAAAATGATGAGGCTTCTTTTTATTTTTATCCTACTCAAGTGTCACTCTATTAGCTTCTTCACGCAAACACGCAAACATGGGGCTTAGGATTCAAATGCTGTGCCGAGATATATACATAGTACGTGGGTTATGATCTTAAGGGCAAAAAAGGGGAATGCCTTCCCTCAAACACATAGGTTCTTATTTGATCCTATTTATAAGATAGGGAGAGAAAATATTTTTTAGTCCTATTTATAGAATACTGAGAGAAATTTTTTACATGGACGTACAATTTCATTTTTCATTTATTATTGTGTTGACTTTGTTTACATAAGGTATAATATATATTAAATAAGAATAAATTTAAAAAATTATTAAATTTTAAATAAGAGCTAATAAAATTTAAATTCTTTTTAATATATATGAAACATATTAGAAGTAACTTATAAATAAAAGAAATAAAATTAACGGAAGAGTGAGGCGTGAGCGGTTCCTTAGCTTGGTCAAAATGAAGAGGACAATAAATGCATGACCTTGAAGGCAAAGAAATTTCAAAATCGGAGGCTTCAATACTTCAGCCAACCCGCCTCCCACGGCTTGCAGGGCTCTATATATGGGCGCTCTCGCACAAGGTTTCTTCCATGGTCCACGCCAAGACCCACATATTCACACATATAGTTCACATGGCTACTCTCGCCTTCCACTTCTTAGCCTTATCTTTCCTCTGCAATCTCTCAACTCTTCCTTTGCTCACCAATGCTGTCTCCAACTGCGGCGGAAGCTGCAGCACCCTCAACGACTGCGCGGGCCAGCTCATTTGCGTCAACGGCAAATGCAACGATGATCCTGACGTGGGCACGCACATCTGCGGTGGCGGCGGCGGAGGAGGAGGAGGTGGTGGAACTTGCCAGGCTTCAGGCAGTTTAAACTGCAAGGGTAAATCCTATCCTCAGTATCGTTGCTCCCCGACAGTCACGTCCTCCACGCAAGCCATCCTCACCCTCAACGACTTCAGCGAAGGCGGCGACGGCGGAGCACCGTCCGAATGTGATGAACAGTACCATAGCAACTCGGAGCGCGTGGTGGCGCTATCGACGGGATGGTACAACAACGGGTCACGGTGCGGGAAGATGATAAAGATCACGGCCAGGAACGGGAAGAGCACGACGGCGAAAGTGGTGGATGAGTGTGACTCGGTGAATGGGTGTGACAGCGAGCACGCGGGACAGCCACCGTGCCGGAACAACATCGTGGATGGGTCGCAGGCTGTGTGGAATGCGCTGGGGCTTAATTCGGACGTGGGCCAGGCACAGGTCACCTGGTCTATGGCATGAACTATTCGTAAGAAAAATTAAATAATAAAAGCATGATAGACAACCACAGTAGCTGGCTGCTTGTTTTGTTTTGCTTTAAATTTCTCTAGTCTGGAAATAAAGTTCACAAAGCAGGAAAATAATCCCTATTGTGAACACAACGATCATCCTTGTAAGGTACCTCGTAGATCATCAACAAAGTAAGAATTTGGTTGTTGATCCATGAAATCCCTACATTACGTGCACTTTAACTTTATGTCTTCTGAGAGGGATGGTGTAATATTTCTATAATGAAACTTTAATGTCCCCCCCCCCCCCCTCTCTCTCTCTCGGTGGAAGATATTGCGAATTTCGTAGAATCTCTATATTCTTTAATTTGATATTCTTAGAGTTAGTTACAAAACCACATTCTCGAAGCGATGGCCGATGGAAACAAAAAAAAAACCTTCGCATATGTCGCATGCAACTATTAAATTATGATTATCTCGTTGGACAAGAGCAAATGAAAGACGTGAAAGATATGATATCCTCCTGGCTATGAATACTCATTCATGATTGATCAAAAGGATGAAATGAACAATAATCTAAAACATTCAAAATCTAATATATACAGTGTAGATTTAAAATTTTTCATATGTAATTTATTCGATAATAACTTTTTTGAAAAAAAGTGCTAGTAATAAGATCATATTTTAAATTTTGTATCAATTAAGATAAAAAATTAATCAAAATACATAAAAACCATACAAAATTAATCTGAATGGTCCAAATTAAGGTGAGCACTACATGCCCATCATCATAATGAACATGAAATGTGCTTTGAAAAATAATTGTGTTGGTATCTATCTAGATTTTTTTGGGGGTATAATATGAGGATTTTTATTTTTAATGAGAGTACAAATAACCAGTTTTATTTGATCTTTCAATTTAATTAAAGTATTAAACATTTTCATGATCGTTCATATATAAAAACTATAAATGAACTTATATACTTTTTGGTCCTATTTATAAGTTATTTCTAATATATTTCACATCGATCAAGAAAAACTTTAAATTTTATTAATTTTTATTTAAAATTCAACAACTATCATGATAGATATTACCCACACATTTTCTCAGCAATACTTGCTGTGATAATTGTTAATTGTTACGTATTAAATTGTTAACGATGTTTTTTCAATCGTTAATATATACTTGAAAAAAAAGTAATTTAATAATTAAACAAATGTAATCTTTAGCAATGAAGTCCTTTAAGACTTTAGATTAATATGATGATTTTAAGAATTTTTTTTGTATTTAATTCTTTTATATGGGACCTTATTATAACTTGCCTGATAATATTGCCTTTGGTGCGGCGCCAAGCCATGTGGGGAGCGCGGCCGCCGTTAACGTGTGCGTAGTGTTGGTGTACAAGCTGGTCCATTAATTCCTTCTTGATGCGTCATTTTCTGTTTTATTGCTTTTTAATGCTTTCGGGACACTGCTTTGGATCCAAAGCTAGCTAACAGATAATATATTTAATGCTTATTTTTTAATTTCATAATGATTTAATGTTTATTAAGAGGAGAGAAAGATGGAGAGATATAAAAATAATTTATAAATATAAAGAGAGAAAAAACTTATAATAAAAATAAAATAAAAAAATTGTTAATTTAATATATTTTTTTGGTATGTAAGTACTACAAATAATTTATATTAAGAATCACAATAAAACCAAATAATAAATATTGCCTTAGGTTCAGTGCTAAGCCACGGGGAGGGGCACGGGCGCCTTTAATGGATGCGTAAGTTGGTCCATGCACAAACTAGTCCAATAATTTCTCCAAGTCTTTTATCTTTATTTTTGGATGCGTCATTTTTTTTTTTGTTAAATAAAAGAGACCGTGAAAAACCATTTTTGCTCCACAAATTAATTAACAAGATCTCAGCCTTTGGAAGAAAACCGAGCTTGGCATGCACTTGAAACCATATATTAGCTCTCATTCATACTTCTTAAACTTTCTTCAAGACAAATATATGTTCTATTTTATTATTCTTTTCTTTGACAGAGCTTGAGTGTGTGTATTTTTTTTTTTGGTTAAGTACACATATTTTTTTATTAATAATAATCTTGTTCGAAGTACCTATCCAGATAAGAATTCAAATCTTAATTCGCATACAAAGCTAATGACTTTTATAATGCTCAGGTCATACTCAGGGATGAAGTAGGGACCTTCATTTTGGGCCTTTGGTGGACGAGACAGACCTTTGCGATAAATTTGGGGTCACTGGGGCCCAAAAGCCTTATCCCTTGGCAACCGATCGACCAACGTTGTGTGCATTATTGCGCCTACTGACAAGTGACAATCACAATCCAAATACGGAGTCTCAATACTAAGATTCATCATTCATCATATTTTCCGTGCGACAATGCTTTAGTGACACATAAAAATAAAATGAAATGCCTCCATACGTCGCTGCGCTATTAGTTTTTCAACCATTCATAATTTAGTTCCCCAGTCTCTGATTCCACTGTTTGTGGTTATCCCTGTAAAAATCTCAAGAGCAAAGTGACCTTCCGGACAACTTGAAACTATGTTTGTTTGATCCTGCAATAACAACGAAAGCCGGATTTATAAGAAGTTTTGCATTTTAACCAAAAGTATTCGAGCACCCTGAGCCTTGAGTTGAGGCATTTGTTCTTTTAGTTTAAAATGGATAAGTCTTGTCATTTCAGTGAGCTCTCTGATTCGCCAGGGACCGAAATTAATATAGTAAAGTATCTTGGTCGTCCTGGATTATCTGAACCAAGCCTGCGTATTACGCTTACCATTCCATTGGTGGGCATCGTGGCTGGCATTCTTTCCAACTTTTCATGAATCCCATTTTGAATAAAAACACCAGATTGTTTCTTTTTGAGTATTGTTGTACGTACACTCATATAGAGTCATAGGACTGAAACCCTAAAAGCAAAAGGAGGGACCAAAGCAAGGAAACCAGCAAGCATAACTGAAAGTGGGGATGCACTGATGTGAATTTTGATGGTGTTGATGATATGATGGCGCGAGAAGAAGAAGAAGACCACAAGGCATTTTGAGGCACAGAAAAGCAAGTCCTTTTTATTCTCTTTGAAACCCCCGTTGGGTAAAAAGCTTCATTATCTCTCTGTGGCTGCCATTGATGAATAATTAACGAGTTGAGGCTTTGTTGTCGTTTTGCGACTGGAAAGAGAACAGAACATGTTCCATCTCCCACGATCTCTCTCAGAGCCCCAGGTCCCACTTTTTCAATTTTGATCCTTTCATGTCATCAGCAAATGAACGGTCAAGTGTGACTGAGAAATCATTCGTTCTACTTTCTTGGTGAAATGTCACACCCACACCCATTCCCTTCAACGTTATTGCCTTCTTTGGATGTTTGCCTAATTTAAAAAGTACTTTTTAAAACCATTTTTTTAAAAATCAAAACAAACTCTTTCGTATATTTATTTTCGTAAAAGTATTTTTAAAATTATAATTTTGTATTATCCAAACACTCCCTTAATGGAAATAGAAGAATTAGCTTGATATTTAATTAAATCTTAAATATAATATTTCTATTCACTTTATTTATCATATTTATTTGTTTATTTATTTTTTAAGGTGAATTTTGTGTAGTAATGGTAATTCTAGCTAATACACTTGATTAATAATTTTTTTTAAATTACAAATAATTAATTTAACTAATTTTATTAATCTAGTTAAATTAACCAACTAGTTCCGGTATTAATCAAAAGTAGTATATCAAAATCTTTTGTAAAAAGAAAAAAACAATCTTCTATTGAAATCACTTTCAGGCATCTATTGATTAATAAGTTAGTTAAATTATCAATATTGTCTAAAAAATGAAGAAATTCTTAACTTATCTTTCTCAAACGCATAATCTCAAAGAATACCTTCTATCATATATACAATCTTACGCTACTCATAAAGATTGTGAAAAGATAGATTGAAAAAAGGTATTTGATAATATATTTTTTTATACAAAGCGACTAATGACAAAAGATTATTAAAGTTTACTAGTGTATGGACAATCTATAAATATTTTTATAAGCATTCATTGAATTTGGAGACACATCCTGAACGCGTGAATTCCTAAACTCAGATAAACTTTTTTTGTACAGAAAATAAAAACTCATCTAAGTTTATACACCGGACATATATATATGTATTGTCATCCTCAATAACTTGAACCAGCAGAATATGTGATCCATGCCCCTTAACAGACACATTCCCGCTCTAATCTTATCTCTCGAGGACATTAATTAAAGCTCTGATATGTAAGGGCGCGCACCCACTTTGCTTCTGTTGACTCTGGACTTATAAGTGGGGCTCTTTAATTGGTAACTGTTGCTTTGATCGTGCAAGTGAGGAAACGAACTGGGTACAGGACACAGTTTACTTACCAACTGATGTCTAGACGTTTTTAAATTAAAGTTTGTTTGCTTTGAAGGAAATATTACATAATGATTTGATCTGCCAAACATCATGTGGGTGCGGCTCCTGCCTACTGTTCAATTAGATCCTCCATTTACAAATGAGTTGGCTGCCTTTCACATCAATGCGATTATCCAAAATAGTAAACATTAAAGATAATATTAACCGGATATCACTGATATTGAATTTAATCTTTTTTTCATGGTCAGAGGAGTAATTTTCCACGTTTATTGTCATTTTTTGATAGAGTATACCAGGCAATTTTTTCAGCTCAACATGACACATTTTTTCCCTGAGAAAAGTTTTTCCATGTATCCATCATATCGTTATTAAGAAATCTGATGATATCAAGTGTCTAAAATAATTACAGTCAAGTATAATCCATAATTCATCAATCATCAAATGAATCATAGATAGAGATGATTATGATAAACATCCCATTAATTATTTTAATTACTAAAATTTCATTATCTTTTTAACGGGCGCTCAAATTATTAATTACGTTTTACAAAGCCAGGACCTTAGAACGATATCTCGCATGGTTTTCCAACCGGGAACTATTAAATGGAATTGAATTGTAAAAACCAGTCAAATTTTATGCGTAAACTCAGACTGATATTAAGCCATTTTCTGTGTGGATGAAAATATATAGTCTTTCTCAGGGTTAAAAATATGGGAGAATTATAATAAGATCTTAAAAAAATTATAAAATAAATCTCAAAAATTATATTTTTTATTTTAAAATTGTTATTATTGACTATTTTAATAATTATTTTTTATTATTATAATCTATTGGGGTTTTGCTTTTAATTAATTATTTTTTTTTAAAATTTTATTATAACTCTCTAAAAATATCTGACTATAAGACAAAGATGGCAAACCAAGGTGGTCGAGCAGGAGGGAAACAATCCGAAAGACACGCACACGCATGCGTTTTACAGTTGGGGCTTGGTTGATTTCATTAGAGTTGGGGAAAGGACAGGGCGTGATTAAGGCAAGCCCCGGCATCAGCATGACGGTCTGTGAAGAGCGACTGGAAAAGACAGTGATTAATGGCTGTGTTAACAATTATTAGAGGGAAGAAAAAAGATTAATTAGAGGGAAGGGTGTGCCCCACGAAAGGGCTTTTACCCTAAACCAAAACCAACAACGCAAAATTAAAGCTTGACAGTGACATCCACTGAAGAGAGTCTCTGTGAGGTCAGGCTTGTAGGGTTTCTGTGTGACGTGATGCCATCCCCTCACTCCATAATTGCTATTTTTCCTTCGACTCAGACTACTATTAATAATAATCCTACTATGTATCGTTTTTATGCTCCTCGTCTGTCTTTTGATGCTCAAACTTCGGAGGCATTCTCCTCTTTCTAATCCTAACCTCTACGTGGACCTTCTCTTTGTTGTATGTTTTTTGAAGTGTTTGGCGTAAAAAAAATATTTTTACACAAGTCAAGATAATTTTTTTTACATATTTATTTTATATGTTGTACAATTATTTTTAAAACTCATACCCTGTTAATCTTGTATTCTTCCGATTATGCGTAAAAAACTGCAGCTATATATATATTATCCTTCCTTTCTGAAACAAAAGCAGTGGCGGGGAGCCGTGCGCAGACGAATTGGGTCAGTCTATGGAGTCAGAAACTTGGAGTTCTCAGCAGTGAGCACTGAGCACCCCCCCTTGAGGTACGCGAATGTTAATTGAATCGAAGTTATTAATCTCATTTCTGGCCTTTTGGGCTGGTCGTCCTTCTTTTTTTTACTTCTCTGTGTGTTTTTAATCATCTTTCTGTCTTTTTGACCCCCAAGAAAAACAAAAGAAAGTAAGTACCAAAACTTCAGCTTTATTTACGTCTGGCCAGATGATAAGTCATATCATCACTGCATTTTTTGGGGGCAATAACTTCACCAATAATAAAGACGACGCCATTGTCTCAAGTCTCAACCCGTATACTTTTACATGACGTCAATTTTTCCTTTCACGTCATCTCATTAGCTTAAAAAATATTAGTACCAGCTACGACATCGTTAACAAAGCTAAATTATTCGTGCTTGTCCGACAAATATGGATATATTATTTTTACGGGGCATATGTGGCGGAATGGATCTAATGCTGGGAATCATATCTTTTGCTTAACCTTACTGCAGCTCCTGAACTCATATGATTTTTTGTGCTATTTTTCCCACTCACTCACTCCATTTACCCAGGAGATCAAATTCTTATCTAGAAGATAAGAAGTTTTTCGCCACTATATTCGTACCTTTGTTAATTCCTGCCTCAATAACTGTTTTTTTTTTTAACCTTGTCCTCAATAACTTCTTCAAACTTTAATCTCTGGCCTTCGTACGTACATCTTTTTCTCTTCTTTACATTATTCCCTTTCATCTCAACCGCCCGAATTCAATTTATTTCTTGTTTTACAGTGTCAGTTGGCAGAATGGAATATCATTATTAATCGGGGGCCTAACTTTAGTAGGTTCATGTTCATCTTAATCAAATCACTGATTTTTCCATGATTTATGATGCTTTACGGTTGGTAACAGAAGGCATATGTGCCTCTAGGGCCCGCGTCCCACGGCACTGACACTGTTTTTATTACGCATTTTGATCCCCTGTAAGCAGGATTAAGGGAGGGTTTGAATAAAAATCAAATTTAAAAATGATTTTACCGTGTTGTGTGTCTCGCTTTACAATTTGCGTAAAAACACTATTTTATCACAAACCAAAACGCCCCATAAGGAACATGGGACTTTTAAACTTAGAAGTAGGGGAAAAAATTTACAAATAAATGTTACGAATCTCATATAGATTGAGAAAACGCATTTATCTGTTAGGAAATTTAGAAAAATGTGGATAGTGGATACCATGTTCTTGAACCTGCAAGATTGTCACCTGTTCGAACGGCTAACAGAGAATCCCCTGGAAGAAGAGAGTTTGGTTGAGCATGGTTAATTCGTAATTAATATTGAAAACGAAGGGTGTTTCCCTCATTGGGCACACGTGCCCTTTTATTCTTTTTTCTGAGTTTAGCCGGAAACTGAATAAATCGGAAGCGAAAGGAGGAAAGCAAGTAGGGATGGGGCCATGGTGGTCCACACGGCATGGACGCAGTTTTTGATTTGAAGATTCACGAGTCACGAGGGAGTGGTATTTAACGGCGACTTTACATTATTATTATTCCTATTGCCGTAAAAGCGCGATTTATGGCGTTTAACCTAACGGCGTCTCTACTGGCTTCAGCAATCATTGTGCTTCACCTCCTCTCTGCCACCCATAACTCTATCCCCCCATATCCCTGTCTGAGTTCACTGCAATTTGCATTTTTGCACTACGATCGTGAATCTCGTCGGCATTTTCACCGGGGTCTCAATTATCGTCATCTTCTCAGGTAACGCATTACGTATACTCATTGGTTGTCGACTGTGAACTTACTGTTTTTTTTTCTTGGCCCCCGTTAATTTTCTTAGCTGGGGTAGTTGAGATGTACGATGCCAAATTTGCAGAACCTGTTGTCCGTAAACACCTTTTGATCCTGACATCTCATAATTCCTGGCTCAGTGTTGCTGTGCAGTTTTGTGCTACGTAGTACAACTCTTAAACGCGGTGGGGTCTTGTATATGTACGTATGTATGTATATGTTGAATATCTTTCATGGAGATTCGTTTCCTATTACTTTTACTAAGAGACACAAAAACATCAGGAATTAACTTGTTCTGGCAAGACGCTTAAGGATTCTTGAGGCTGTGACTTGTTTTGAGAATCAACATCTAGATCTGTTGGACGGTACTTAAACTGGGGTTTCGGTGTGAGATTTAAGTTACTGGACGCCCTTGCGATTTCCGCATGTAGAGGGAGCTGCAAAATTCTCTTATAGATCTTTGCGTTTGGTGAATGGTGAATTTTATCTGTGGTTCACGGGGAATAAGGGTTGCAACAGAAAATGCGTGATTTCACAGTCTGGGGGAAAAGTAGGATAGCTGTTTGCTAGAGAAACAGTAAATTGTTGTGATCTTTGCTGTTTTAATTTGTTTGGAAAACGTCTAGCGAACCAAGTTGGAACTGTATTTATCGCGGCAAAATAATGGTCATGACTCATGAGCAAATAAGCTGGCTGAAGTAGCTATGATTTGAGCCTGATATCTAATGATGTTAAGTCTACTGTCTTTTTCGATTAATGAAAGCTGGTCGATGTATAGATTCTTGTGCACCTTTGGTATTTTACTATTTTTAACAATTTAATTTTTCCCATTATATTCACCTCCAGAGACATTTTCCCTTCAATCCCGTGTTTTTTTCCTAAGCGCACGTAATTTCTCCCCGTCGCTTAGCTGTTTGGAAGTTTTGTTAGTTGATAGTTGAAGGGAATATGATTTACTGATCTTTTGTTTTTACTTGCTTCATACTTGGTTCTCTAGCCATGTAATTTGATGGGGGAATATATTGCAGGCTTTGCAGGAGAGTAAACAGAAGTCGGGGCTCAGTTTCCAATATGGTAGCTGTTGTGACTGCTCATTTTTGTTGCGAGGTCTTAATTGATCGAGCGAACTTGATGTTATAGTTACTTTGATTGGAGTGGTACGTTGGAATTGATGAGTAACAGACGACCTGAACCGCATGTTGCGCAACAAATTCGGCGTGACAGGTTGAGAATCCAGAATAGCTCCCAGCATTCAGAAGGTTTCCCAAGCAATCTTGAACGATTATCTTTACGACCAGGGATCAGTTCTGATCTTCTTCAAGTTAGGAGTGTGAGGAATGCGAATATGCTTTACGAACCTGCTTTCTATTCATCGGAGATGGTCAATTTTTCATCGGTTTCGAATCCTTTAGCTGAATCCGGTAGGCTGATGACGATGCCTCAGCTTGCTTCATTCCCCTATTCATCAAACCCCGCTTCGTCCAGCTTTCATTCTTCTCTCGAAGAGCAATGCGAAGTACGTAACTTAGGCTATTGGAGAAACATTGGGTCACACCAAGTCTATGATTGGATGCCTAACTATGCCTCTAGTTCGGCGACTGACGAAAGCAATCCTAATCCTAATTCCACTTTTGGCGTAGCAATCAATAATGAACTCACAGGTGTACAGTCTTCCTCTCTGAACAATCCGTCAGATGAAACGGCGAGCCGGGAAAGCCAACGGCAATTAGGGGAGATTCATCCAAACTTTATGCGGGATGTAGTCAAGTCAGCTTCTATCAGTGGGCAAGGGTCAGAAATGGCTTCAATAATGCAAGAAAGTGGCCATGGAATGTGGGTGGGAAACGGAAATCAACTTTTTCTTCCAAACTATGGAATCCAATCAAATCAGTTGCGTCTTGGAAATCCTAATTCTTGCACTAATCGAACGATCGATAGTTCTCTCGGTTGCAAAGATATTGATGAATGCTCGGGTCGTCCAGTGTCCGACTCCAATAATCAGGGCTTATCTTTATCGCTCTCATCGAATTCACAGTCTGCGCATTGCAGATCGGATGACCACCAATCGCGGTGTGTGGTATCTAAGGATCCTTCATGCCCAAAACCTTTGAGATCTGTTTTAAATCCCTCTTCCAATGCTGGAGACCGTGTCAAATCGATTCAAAACATGGTGGTGGGAACACCTTCGAACATTGATTATCGAAATGTGGGGCCTCTCGGCCCTTTCACGGGGTATGCTACCATATTGAAGAATTCAAATTTCTTAAAGCCAGCGCAACAGTTGTTAGAAGAAATCTGTGGTCAATCCCGTGAAAAACTTACGAAAGGACATGATGTTTCTGGGAGGGTTTCTGGAGAAGCTGGCGCTTCCACTTCTGCTGACGCTGTCAATGCAACAAATGAAAGTGATGTTGGTGGAACCAGGAGTAGCTCTCACCCTTCTCGGCCAGAGTATCAGCAAAGAATGGCTAAGTTTCTGTACATGCAAGAGGAGGTGGGTTATCTTGTAACTGCCCATACAATACATAAATACCTGTTTTGTGATGTTACTCTAGCTCATTTTCCGGCAATCACTGATTTTTGTGTCAAACTTCGTTGATAATGTGATACATAAATGATAGATTGTGATAGATATCCTTAGTCCTTGCTTACATTGGAATCTGAGTTCATTTTTGAACCCTTCAAACTCAATTTTTAGTTAAGGTTTTCGCCCCTTTTGATTAAAGGCTCCAACTATTTCCAGGGTTTTTATTCTGAGCATAATCTAAATCTGCGGCTTCAATTCCAATTTTAAGTAGATATTTTCTTGGAGGAAGAAGAACAGAATATTTTTTGGATGTATGGCATTTTGAAGCTGAGAATTGTTCAAGCAAAATGCAACTGTCTAAATTTTTGGAGGAAAAATCTCTGATCGTTAAAAGAACATATTTATAAGACAGTCCTTACTTTCAACAAGGCATGCTGCAGCTTCTTGCACGACGAAAATTAATGAATGATGATTTCTTTTAACCTTCTCTTTCCCGACCAACTTGATCGAATGTTTATCATCTTGAAATTACTTGATTCTAGAATTACAGTTTCTCATATAGCACGTGAATGATGAATGCACCTAGAAAATTGCCTTTTGACACATCCATCGGGTTATAAAATTTAGGTTATAAGAAGGTACAAGCAACATCAGCAGCAAATGGAAATGGTTGTTTCATCCTTTGCGTCAGTTGCGGGTCTTAGTTCTGCTACTCCTTACATCTCCAAGGCTCTCAAGTCAGTATCAAAGCACTTCAGAGGCCTAGAAAATGCTATCTCCGATCAAGTTAAGCATATAAGAGAAGTTTTGGGAGAGGAATTATGTGCACCTACCGGTGGTGGTACTGTTACTTCTACCAGTGGCCAACTTGACAGCAATATGGCGCGACTCAAGTTCTTGGACCAAAGCTTTCAAAAGAACAAATTCATTGTGGGCGGCACAGGCTACGTGGAACACCAGCAGCATGCCTGGAGGCCCCAGCAGAAAGGCTTACCAGAGCGTGCGGTGTCAATTCTTAGGGCTTGGTTGTTTGATCATTTTCTTCACCCGTATGTCTTTTCTGTCTCTTTTATGTGTCCAATTCGGCTTCTCTCAGAGAAAAAAGGAGATTGAATTGCGGTTTGCTCTTCCTTCCATTTGTTTTCAGGTACCCCACGGACGCTGATAAACACATGCTAGCTGCTCGAACAGGTCTGTCTCGAAACCAGGTGGGCTCTGCTGCTCCATTTCAACTCATTAATATATTTTTGGATCTTTTTTTGATCAAACTGATTAAATTGAAGACATAAATTGGCATTTGACATGTTCGCATTGTGGTTTCTGAGTGTGTGGTTTCTGAGTGGGTCATTACGCGGGACAAATTCTACGACGCCTTTTCTTTTCTTTTTTTATTATTTGTCTTTTTGTGAGTCGGGTGTTCTAGTGGTATACGTTGGAAATAATGATTTGACATTTTCTAAGGATCTATATGCTCAATATTTGTGCATGTACCTGATTTCATGTACTGTTGTCCTGGAATATAATTTAGGTATCAAACTGGTTCATAAACGCCCGAGTACGTGTCTGGAAGCCAATGGTAGAGGAAATACACATGCTTGAAATGAAAGGCTTGACGAATGAAAAAGACACCCAGAAAGCTGGTAAAAACGAGGGAGCCCGTGCCATTGAGTCAGGAGGAAATCAATTGCGGTGTGTAGAGAGTAATGTGGATGAGGATCAGGTGGCTGGCTTAGATGCACAACAATGGAGCCAAGAGAAGCGATCGAAGCTGGAATGCCACATTACGCCCAGCATGGAGCACCATCAATTAATGGGTTTTGTCCCTTACTCAAGCGGTGAGGTTGAGGCTGGGGGAGTTGGCCCCGTCTCACTAACGCTGGCTCTCAAACATGGCGACGTTGAGGCGATACAGCAACACCACTTTGGAGGGCATGTCAGCAATGATTTTGTTGGTTAATTCCCTCAATCCCAATGATTCTCCGTTTTTCTCTTTAAATCTTTTGGAATAGCAATGCATGGAATGACATGATTAACCCAAAAAGGCCTCAGGGAGTAATGAAGCTTTAGCAGAGCGTTCGATGAAAAGTTGACCAAGAATACGCACAGAGATTCTGCACTAGACGGTGATCACTTGTCAAACATTTTTGGAGAAAATAACTAATCTTCAAGACTTCCAGAACTGTTAATAGAGTGACCTTACGTGCAATGGATAGGCCCATACGGAGTTGAACATGGAGTGATTAGATCCTTCTCTTTGCATTTCATGCGCTGGGCCATGCATGTGAAATCGTCGAAGGCGCATCTCGCGAGTCAGGACGACTAGTGGTGTGGGCTTCTTGCCTTCCTAAACGGATTAGCCTGAGAATCTGTTGAATTGTGAGTGGAGCACAGAATCATCCCGGGCATTTAGTTTAGTGGTGGAAACATTATCGCCGTTGAATTTTCTTCGGAAGGATGAGGAAAAGATAATTAAATTTTGAATATTTACTTGGTCTCCACGTAAAAACTACGTACAGAAAATGAAAAGAAGACTTCCATATTCAATCGACCCGTCAGTTCAAATGTTGAAGCCGTAACGCGGCTCTCAGATCTAGCAAGGGCCTTCCGATTCGAGGAAACAGGTGACCTAGCAGGTGTAACTGATATCTCATCACATGGCCGGGAAAACCGAGATTTTACTGCGAATAATAACAATGGCATGATAAAGACATGCAAACTGGCCCTCGTTAATTGGGACAAGTGTTCGAGTTATATACGACAACGTACAAACGTGAACGTCCGCTAATTAAGTATCACAAAACTATTGCAACAGCATGCGTTTAACTAGCTTTTAATTGCACATTGCTTGTACATGCATACCGTCTTAAGTATTGATGATATCCAAAAACACACAGAAACAGATGGATCATCAATTTTTTGGTCCTGTGAGATAACCAATCACGTCAAAAAATATAAACTAATGCATCCTAAATTCTTAATTCGTTGGACACCCATGCCTGATCGACTTATATCACTGTGTTGCCCAGCCTAACTCGTTCGCTATATGAGTAAAGATATGCAGTATAACTACGAAGTAGTAGTCAACTTTAAAATAATTAAGCGCATGACTAAAAAATATGGCAATGGAGCCTGTGTCCCCAGGAGCAAGATTTTAAGTGCGATGTCCACTACAATTATCACTCGAGCTGTTAAAGTTGTGAAGCTGATCTCATCCTAAGTTCATTTGTGTGAACTAACAAATAAGGAAATCCCACTTCATTCGTGATTCCAGCTTTCTGTTTTTGGTTTAGATTGTCTTTTTGCAGAAGCTTCCGTTCCACTTTATCAATTGAAAGGAATATATAGCCCAAGGAGTTGGCTTGCAGTGGATGCCTGGCAAATTAAATTTGAGATTGAATAAATTTTATTTTTCAGAATTGTATGATTAGTATTTTCTTGATCGAATTGATCGGCAAATTGAATAAACTGTATATATAGATGAGCTCCACTTGAAAATCACTTAATTATGCATTATATTCCCTTTGATCCAGCACATCACACCAAGGGAGATGAATTAATGACTCTGCTTGCCTATTCCTTTTCACACACATTTCATCTAACTAATTTACTTTAATTCCATAATTATTGCTGACAGTAAATTGCCCGTCTTTGTATTTCTTTGGATCCAGACAAAATCACACAAGTGACCATCCTTACGCATTGCAATTTTAATTTACTCCACTTCTTCCCTCGTACTTCCATGCTTGTTTTGCTACTTAGGTTGTGGAAGCTTTTCCTATTTCAGATTCAGATATGGAACTATATATAAATTACCTAACTGTGGATCGATTGAATTTGAAGTTCTCTCATATGAAAACTGATCGCATTCGAAGCACTGACTCAAAAAGACCCGGGGGGGGGGGGAGCATTCCAAGCATGATGCAAGAGCTATTTCTTTCTGCTGGGAAAGGGAAAGAAAGAGCCTTTTCTTTCTTTCTTTTTCCCCCTTAGTGCCTGGACTTTTACTCCCTCTATTGCATAACAAGAAATAATTTCTTTCGACCTTGATGATTGTTTTTTTTTTTTTGGGTATCAAATTCATCTATCAATGTCATGTCCAGTTATTGAACAATCATATATTTTCAGAAACTGCTCATTGAGATGTTTTTTTCAAAGATCTAATAACTTTCTGCATTCGTCCAATCAATATATATGGTGTATTATCCATTCTTTAAAAAGTTTTTGAATATCCCCTGCCCAAGCGAGCCCGGGATGGCTCTGGTTATATTAAATTGGGAAAGTAAATATCGGATTTCAGCCAGTAGTTTGTTTATAATTTTTTTTGGAAAAAGTGATTGCAGTTAATCTACACGATGAAGTTGTGGGGAATATTAAATGTATGCATGATAGTCTTACATCAAGTCATTGGAGAATTAATGAGAGTCCATTCAATAACTCCCTTGGGTTTAACTAACCAAAATCGCGTTTTATTCTAATTTTAAACTCACCGGATCTTATTATTAGTTAATATGAAAATTATTTGAAATAAAAGTTAAGGGGGTGCTGATATATATTACCTACAGATGAGTTATAAAACCCATAAAAATATCAGAAGTAAAATTCTCTAGTTTACCACAGCCTTAGTTGAAACTGGAAACAAAACATGTATATATGTATATATTCATCTATTTTACCATCCCAAAAATGAAGGGTTTGGCGACAAAAAGGGGCCATGTTACGTAATTAATTTGCCACTTTTATAGTAATTATTGATAATGGGTAAAATCACCCATAAATAAAGCCAAGCCAGCGCAAAACTATTCAAGGAAGATCAACCCTTAACAAGTCACTCTTTGTTTCTTCGTCCTCTTTCTATATATTTTGATCGTGCTTAAGTACAGTGATCATGCGCTCGTGCTAGCTAACGATAGCTCATTGATCTATTTTGAATTATCGCACAATAAGAATGATGGAAAGAAAACGTTAATTAAAATAATAATATAAATTTCGCGCAGCAAACGTACGAAAATTAATATGTCTGCATTATTCTGTATCCTAGCTACTAGATATTATGAAATTATTTCAGTTAATTAATGTTCACGTTCACGAAGATCGACGAATGTAAGCTTAGAAGGAAGCACACGTCAAGAACGACAGATATTTGAGACAACATAAGAAAGTTTGAAGCAAGTCATAACCACAGTATCTTCTTTATTAACCAACAAAATCATGTCTTTATATACAAACACACAAATGTATGTATATGACCAGACGGAACAGTAGTTCGCTACAACTTTAGTTCTTCTTTACAGGTTTTATTCATGGCTTGAATCGAGGAACCCAAGCCAACGTGCACACAACACACACACACACACACAATTCATCAAAATACGACACGAGCAAGAAGCGAAGCAACTATAGGTTAAACAAACGCTATATAAGCCTGCGTACGTCTAGCTAGTTTCATACATATTCCGAGTACACGTCTTTTTAAAATTCTTGATTATAAAATCATTGCAGAGTTTTAAAAGCTTTAAACCCTACAAAAATTTTATAATAAAGAACTGTAGAAGATTCAGCATATTTATTATGCACTAAGCATGGCCTCGTACGTTACCTAAGGGTGGGCGATGATGATCACTGGGGTCTTCACTAAGTACTACCTCGCCTTCCTTCCCGGGCGATGATGATGATGATCACTGGGGTCTTCACTAAGTACTGCCTCGCCTTCCTTCCCCGGGCGATGATGATGATCACCGGGGTCTGCACTAAGTAATACCTTGTCTTCCTTCTCCTCCACCAACTTTTCGCCATCTTTGGCCACACAAGAGCTCCCCATGACCATCAACATTAGCACTACTGTGCTTATCACAAACCTCATCATCTCGGCAGATCTTGATCTGAAATCAAGGTAAATTATATTAATTATACCAACAAGAGTAGAATAATGCATGCATATATATAAATATAAATATATGTAGCAGCTTAATATTGTTTTGTTCTGAAATCATTTAATGCATGGATTATTCAGCAGAACAAACTAAACCAAGAACGACAGAATTAAGCTTATCCATCAGATACAAGTGTAAATATAGAAGATATACTAAGTTAGCGTACCAGATACTGAGTACTGATGCTATTATATGATCTTGTGTTGAGAAAGAAGCAGAGGCACAAGAATCTTATATAGAGAGAGATTGAAGGCAATGCCATCTTTACAAGTCAACTTTCGAATTATAAAATGGTGGGGTTCACACCAAATGAGGCAAGGTTAAGTGCGATGCCCATTAAATTTGTTATAATTCAAAGATACCATAAAACGATGTAGCAGTATTCTTCTTTTTTTGTGAGTTTGGATTTATATTATGCACTAAATATGCAAGTCTCAACTGGTGACTCGCTAATTACATGCTTAATTAACCCATATAGAGATTTTTTTTTATCTTTTTCCTCACGTATAAGTAACTGTATTTAACGAAATATCGAAAGTCGTAAAAAGTTTGTGGCCAAGTGGTTCCCAAGTGCGTCTTAAAATTCTAACGTTATTATAATTAAGATTAATGCTCTTTATTTCAACAATTAAATAATCAACAAAAGATAGCTAGCTTCAGTAGACTTCTCTTTAATTATATAGCCCAAAGTGGCTACCCTGTTATGTGTCGCTGCATAATTGTTTGTTTGAGGACAAGTTCGTTGAATGCTGCATTCATACATCTTTGAGTATATATTTGAATTTGAATTATGATACAATCAATTGTTAAACGTATAGAATAATTATTTATTTATTAATTAAAATAATAATGCAATAAATACTGATAATAAAAAATCTTAAAAGAATTAATTTGATTTCTTCAAACATTAAAAAACAATTTAAACCAATGACAACTGAATCGATGCTTTTCAAATGAAGTCTTGTATTTAGATCTTGTGAATACAAATACCATATTATGACAATTTTTCTTTATTTGGATTATAATAGTTACAATGTCACTATTTTAATCCGGATTATAAAAAAGCACCAGTCCACGAGATGCCGAAAGGTTCTCAAGTTTTTTATTAAAAGAAGAAGAGTTAGACAATGTATAAATCCGCCCGTGCGTATATATCTTGAATGCATAATTGTAATATCAAAAGCAGTATATAGAAAGATATTCCATGAGATAAAAGTACTTTAAGATATTAATTAATCACCATTCTAGCATTATTCAACTAACAGAGATCGAGTTTACATAACATGCATGAAAAAGGTTATAGCAGCAGTCTAGCCCTTTGGGGTAAAGATATTGTATATGCTGTGCATGGGTCAGTACTTTCTGGTTAAAATAAACTGGGCAGTTTATTAAGTTATCTGATCCCATGTACAGAGTCAGAGAGAGAGCGTACAATTATATTAATTGATTAATAAAGGTCGTTACTCTTTCCGGGGTATAAATATATTAGATAAGCAGAAGTTTTGAGATATTAGATACTGCGTGCGTGCAAGTTTTGAGCCACACTTTTAAGAAATATCTCGTGATGAAGTGAATCTTAACTTTTTTCTTTTTAAAATAAAAGTGAGGAATTTATATGAGTGTGTGTGTGTGTAGTAGTAGTAGTGTAAAAATCGTATATAGAGTTTCTAGTAGCGTGAAGTTCTTATGCCATAAGAAAGAACTACATATCCTTTCACAGTTGTCGCCCATAATCAGAAGTGAGTTACAGTGTTTGTGACTTGAATAATGCATAAATTTATATAGGTTTTATTATATACATAAACGAAATTAAATTGCATAGAACTAGAATTTATAAAGCACCATCAAGATAAACTAGACATTACAAGAGAGCTCTAATATAAGTGCATAGTTAATTAAAGAACAAGGGTCGAAGAGATAGATATTAAATGAAGCAATATGGCCCTTCTTGGTGAAGAAAGGAAGAAGAGGCTTCGAGATGAGGCACTTGTGTTTATCTCCACGCAAGGAATAATATTCAATGCTTTACCCAATATGAAATTTTATTGTTCAAGCATAATATATATGATAGATGAAGTTGGTTGGTAGCTTAACGTTTAATTAATCCTTACTATTATTAGTGGAGTGAAAATGGGCAAATTCCACCAACATTATATTCAAGCGTAAACTACTGGTTATATATACGCGTTTCTGTCAAAAGCAAAATTGGTCATATATATATTTTTGCAAAACTTCGACACAACTTGATTATATTGATTTAATGGGGAATCAATGGGAGTAATTTCGAATCCCTCTTAAATAGATAGATACCTAACAAAAAGTCACCCTGCTAATACATTTTTGGTGGGTCAGTTGTATATATAATGATTAATATCCCTGTCATTTGCTAAAACAGTTGCTCGGCACTAACCAAAAGATAATTGAACCACTAATCAAAGCACACTTCCGATCTCATCATGACTAGTCTGAAAGTCGAATAGGAGTAATTTGTATTTCTTTTGGGGGAAACTTAGCAGGAGAATTTATGGTGCATAGAAATTAATTATTCTGGTTCCCCTTTTGATATTAGTATTTTTAATAGTCTCGTATCTTTGCTGGTCTAGGCATGCAGCCTCTATAACCAGGGACGAAAAGTTTCATAAAATTAATATTATGATTTTATCTTATTAGGCTGTCATCCTAAAAATTATCTCATCCAAGCTGTGTATTGATGAGAAGTACGTACTGTTGACCTGGAATAATGTAGGTGTTAAATTGATCTACAACTTGGGGAAGTTATATATTAAGAGAAAATAAGTGATCTTCCACACTTATAAGAAGCCATATCACATCCAAACATTAATTTGAAGTCACTAGCCAGAGGCAGCAATATTGAATATTGATAGTGCAACACTTCTAATGCGATAGATATGGCCATATCAAATTGAAGACGACGACAAGGAAATTAGATCCTTTTCTGAGGTGCAATATAATGTGGGCCGCGAATAGGCGTCTAACGACAAATCGTTGTTGGGGGATTTTGGTCATCCAACGTTTGATAATTCCTTTCTGTCCGTTCAATTTTCTTTGGGAGAAGGGAGCTAAGACGATTCCACGAACAATTGCTTCACTCTTCATTAGATTCCATGAAAATGATCGATCGTCTAATTTTGCATTCGCAAAATAAAAATGGCTACAAATTTGAAGTGGCATTAAATAGTTTTTTTTTTTAATAAAAATTCTTTTGATGAAGGTCGTGACTTGTGACTCTTGGTCGAGAAAGTCATTATGTCTACTGAGAAGAATAACAGTGGTATGATATGATCGAGAAAGACATACAATTACTGGACCTCCCCGATTGGAACAAATATTTAATTTGATTGAGCTATGTGAACACGTACATACGTAAACATCCACTAAGCATCGCAAAACTATTACCACACGTGTATAATTAATATAGCTTCTCGTTGCATATTACAAACGCATGCATATCATCTTAAGCATATAGGTATGTGTATGATATACAAGAACACACATACATCAATTTTCATAATATACGATATAAGTATATTAATCAATTTTAAAATAATTAATGCGTGATGACTACCAATATGGCAATGGGGCCTGTCATGAGGAGGAAAAATTTAAGTGCAATACAATGTCCACACCACACGACAGTTACTACTCAAACTGTTAAAATTGTGAAGTTGGTAATTTCATTTGTATGACCTAACTAATAAGGAAATTCCACTTTCCCTGGTGATTCCAGTTTCTGCTTCTGCTTTTGATTCTTTTCGCAAAAGCTTTCCGTTGCACTTTATCAGATGAAAGGAATAGCTTGAGCAGTTGGCTCTTAGTGGATGAATAATTTTCTGAGTCAAATATGCCATCACTTCACATCAGAGAGGAGGATGAATAGTTTTCTTTGCGGCTCCAATTCCAATTTTAGGTAGATATTTTCTTGGAGGAGGAAGAAACAGAACATTTCTTGGATGTATGGCATTTTAAAACTGAGAATTTTTCGAGCAAAATGCAACTGTCTAAATTTTTGAAGGAAAAATCTCTGATCGGTAAAAGAACATATTGATAAGACGATCCTTACTTTCTACAACGCATGCTCCAGCTTCTTGCGCGACGAAAATTAATGAATGATGAATTCTTTAACCTTTTTTTCCCCCCAACCATCTTGATCGAATATTTTATTGTCTTGAATCTAGAAATACAGTTTCTCATATAGCAGGTGAATGATGAATGCACCTAGAAAATTGCCTTTTGACACATCCACCGGCTTATAAAATTTAGGTTATAAGAAGGTACAAGCAACATCAACAGCAAATGGAAATGGTTGTTTCATCCTTTGCGTCAGTTGCGGGTCTTGGTTCTGCTACTCCTTACATCTCCAAGGCTCTCAAGTCAGTATCAAGGCACTTCAGAGGCCTAGGAAATGCTATCTCCGATCAAGTTAAGCATATAAGAGAAGTTTTGGGAGAGGAATTATCGGCACCTACCGGTGGTGCTGTTACTTCTACCAGTGGCCAACTTGACAGCAATATGGCGCGACTCAATGTCTTGGACCAAAGCTTTCAAAAGAACAAATTCATCGTGGGCGGCACAGGCTACGTGGAACACCTGCAGCACGCCTGGAGGCCCCAGCAGAAAGGCTTACCAGAGCGTGCGGTGTCAATTCTTAGGGCTTGGTTGTTTGATCATTTTCTTCACCCGTATGTCTTTTCTGTCTCTGTTATGTGTCCAATCCGGCTTCTCTCACAGAAAAAGGGGAGATTGAATCGCGGTTTCCTTTTCCTTCCATCTGTTTTCAGGTACCCCACCAGGTGGGCTCTGCTGCTCCATTTCAACTCATTATTATGTTTTTGGATCTTTTTTTGATCAAACTGATTAAATTGAAGACATAAATTGGCATTTGACATGTTCGCATTGTGGCTTCTGAGTGGGTCATTACGCGGGACAAATTCTACGATGCCTTTTCTTTTCTTTTCTTTATTATTTGTCTTTTTGTGAGTTGGGTGTTCTAGTTGCATACGTTGGAAATAATGATTTGACATTTTCTAAGGATCTATATGTTCAATATTTGTGCATGTACCTGATTTCATGTACTGTTGCCCTGGAATATAATTTTGGTATCAAACTGGTTCATAAACGCCCGAGTACGTGTGTGGAAGCCAATGGTAGAGGAAATACACATGCTTGAAATGAAAGGCTTGACGAATGAGAAAGACACCCAGAAAGCTGGTAAAAACGAGGGAGCCTGTGCCATTGAGTCTGGAGGAAATCAATTGCGGTGTGTAGATAGTCATGTGGAAGAGGATCAGGTGGCTGGATTAGATGCACAACAATGGAACCAAGAGAAGCAATTGAAGCTGGAATGCCACATTACGCCCAGCATGGAGCCCCATCAATTTATGGGTTTTGTCCCTGACACAAGGGGTGAGGTGGAGGTTGGGGTAGTTGGACCCGTCTCACTAACGCTGGCTCTCAAGCATGGCGACGTTGAGGTAATACAGCAACACCACTTTGGAGGGCATGTCATCAATGATTTTGTTGGTTAATTCCCTCAAAATCCCAATGATTGTCTGTTTTTCTCTTTAAATCTTTTGGAACAGCAATATATTGAATGACATGATTAACCCAAAAAGGCCTCAGGAGTAATGAGGCTTTAGCAGAGCGTTCGATGAAAACTTGACCGAGAACATACAGTGAGTCTGCGCTGGACGCTGATCACTTGTCAAAACATTTTTGGAGAAAATAACAAATCTTCAAGACTCCCAGAACTGTTAATAGAGTGACCGTACGTGCACTGGATAGGCCCATATGGATTGAAGTTGGAGTGATTGGATCCTTCTCTGTGCATTTCATGCGCTGGCCCATGCATGGGAAAGCGTCGAAGGCGCACCTCGCGAGTCACGACGAATAGTGGTGTGGGCTTCTTGTTTTCCCAAACGGATTAGCCTGAGAATCCGTTGAATTTTGAATGGAGCACAGAATCATCCCGGGCATTTAGTTTAGCGGTGGAAACGTTATCGCCATTGAATTTTCTTCGGAAGGATGAGGAAAAGATAATTAAATTTTGAATATTTAATTGGCCTCAGCGAAAAAACTACGTACAGAAAATGAAAAGAAGACTTCCATATTCAATCGACCCGTCAATTCAAATGTTACAGCCGGAAAGCGGCCCTCGGATCTAGCAAGGGCCTTCCGATTCGAAGCAACGGGTGACCTAGCAAGTGTAACTGTAATTTCATGACATGGCCATGAAAACCAAAATTTTACTGCTAATAATAACAATGGCATGATAAAGACATGCAAGCTAGCCCTCGTTGATTGGGACAAGTGTTCGAGTTATATACGACAACGTACAAATATAAACATCCACTAATTAAGCATCACAAAACTATTGCAACACCATGCGTATAACTAACTTTTTCGTTGCACGTTGCTTAAACATGCACACCCTCTTAAGTATTGATGATATGCAAAAACACGCGTAGAAACAGTAGTTCATTGGTCCTGTGAGATAACCAATCACGTCAAAAAAAATAAACTGATACATCTGATCTCAATGTCGCCTTGGGTCAAATTAAATTAAATTTAGAATGTAGCAAGTGATGCAAACCAAAGTCGTTCTCTTATTGGAGAGAAAAATAACTAAAAATCAAAATTTGCTATTAAAAAGGTTTTTTTTTAAAAAATTTAAAACTACTTTGTAAAATAAATTGAAAACAATTCTAAATATTTTTTTTTGGATTTTTTTAATATAAAAATTGAAAAGATAATTTGAAATTGAAATTGAAAGAAAATTAATTAAAAAAAAGTAGCAAATAAAAATTTTGGATTTTAAGGAGATATGAGATAATGCTTCTTGAAAAATGGAAATTGGGTTATCCTTGCTCAAAATGATCTGGGAGTTATTTTGTTCACTAAATTAAAATCAAAACCTTAATCACTGATTAAGTCAAGCAATTCCAATTAATAGATGCCCTAAGACTACCAATTAAAATTACTTTTGAAAACCGATTAGTGTGCAATTAGGATTAGATTAATGTAATTCGGGTCTCTATGCAAAGAACACTCAACTTGAAATATTCAATAAGTACCATACAATTATAACATTCATCCAAACTATGAATGAATAGCATAACCATATAGAACTCCAAACTGGATATAAATATAAATCTCAAATTGCAAAATCCAATCTCAATCACAAAAATTCAATTCTAAACTAAGAATTACAACTAATAATCTCAGAAAATTTAATTAAATAATATCAATTTTAACTCAGAAAATCCATTACTCAATTAAATTAAAAGAATTGAAATAGAAAAACTCCTCTAATTAACTCTGAAGCTCAAACCCAATCTTCCATCTCCAAGAAGCTTGATGAAATTAGCTGGACATGATTCGAATTTCTCTCATCGTTAGTTCACTGTGCAATTCGGCCATGGAAGAAGAAGAAGCTGGCGTTGATGATCTGGCCGAAGACAATGACAGAAGCAGAACAGAGCTTGCCGGCGGTTACTCAAACAGTGAAGGTCGCTACTTGCTGCCTCCCCTGTTTCAGCGTTGATGAAGAAAGCCGAGAATGATGATGATCGTGGGGGTGGCGTAGTTGATGGATGGGCTCATGTGAGGTGCCGCTTTGATGGATATGTGATGGTCAGTGCGTCCTCGCCTGTGTGTGATAAGACGATGATGATCGTGGGGGTCGCGTGCGTCCTTCTCTCAGCTCTGCCGCCACTGCGAAGATGGTGAGATTGTGGAGATAGTGAATAGTGAATAGGGAATGGGGTCCTTCGGTTTGAAGGTGATGAATGAAGATTGGGGGGTGGTGTGCGTCGTGGAATAGGGAATGGAATGCGTGAGATGATGATAATCGTGGATGGGTGTGTCGTCCTCTTCTGCTCCTCCGGTCATATATATATATATACACACACACACACATGAAGATGTACAATATCAAGCCTTGCCGCCACTGTTCCGTCCTTTTCTCCTTCCAAAAGGTGATGCAACCCTAAATTCAAACCTTGCAATATCTCTCAAATTTTCTATAACAAAATCTAAGATAATGTGATATGATTTTTTTTTTCAAAAGATCAATCAGTTAAACTAAATCATAAAAAATATGATATTTTTGCCCCTTTTTAGCAATATTTTCATCCAATCACAATTAATCCAATTTAATCATAATAAATGCAATTAAGCCCAATTTAATTGATAAAAATCCCAAATAAGATATGAAAAATCAATGAAGAATAAGGATTTATCAACATCCTAATTCGTTGGACACCCTTACCTGATCGACTTATGTCACTGTGTTGCCCAGCCTAATTCGTTCGCTATGAGTAAAGATATGCAGTATAACTACGAAGTAGTAGTCAACTTTAAAATAATTAAACGCATGGCTAAAAAAATATGGTAATGGAGCCTGTGTCCACAGGAGGAATATTTTAAGTGCCATGTCCACTACAATTATCACTCGAGCTGTTAAAATTGTGAAGCTGATCTCATCTTAAGTTCATTTCTGTGAAATAACGAATAAGGAAATTCCACGTCATTAGTGATTCCAGGCTTCCAGCTTTCTGTTTCTGGTTTAGATTCTCTTTTTGCAGAAGCTTCCGTTCGCAGTGGATGCTTGACAAATTAAATTTGAGATTGAATAAAGTTTATTTTTCAGAATAGTATGATCAGTATTTTCTCGATTGAATTGATCGGCAAATTGAATAAACTGTATATATAGATGAGCCCGCTCGAGAACCACTTAATTATGCATTATATTCCCTCTGATCCATCACATCATATCAAGGGAGATGAATTATTTACTTTGCTTGCCTATTCCTTTTCACGCACATTTTATCTAACGAATTTACCTTAATTGCATAATTATTGCTGACAGTAAATTGCCTGTCTTTGCAATTCTTTGGATCTAGACCCAACCACACAAATGACCATCCTCAGCATTGAAATTTTAATTTACTCTACTTCTTCCCTCGTACTTCCATGCTTGTTTTGCTACTTAGGTTGTGGAAGCTTTTCCTATTTCAAATTCAGATATGGAACTATATATAAATTACCTAACTGTGGACCGATTGAATTTGAAGTTCTCTCATATGAAAACTGATCACATTCGAATCACTGAGTCAAAGAGAGGGGGGGGGGGAAGCATGATGTAAGAGATATTTCTTTCTGCTGGGAAAGGGAAAGAAAGAGCCTTTTCTTTCTTTCTTTTCCCCCCTTATTGCTTGGACTTTTACTCCCTCTATTGTATATCAAGAAATAATTTCTTTCGACCTTGATGGTTGTTCTTTTTTTTTCTTTTTGGGGATCAAATTCATGTATCAATGTCATGTCCAGTTATTGAAGAATCATATATTTTCAGAAACTGATCATTGAGATATTTTTCAGGCCAAAAAAAAAAAAAGATCATTGAGATGTTTTTTCAAAGATCTAATAACTTTCTGCATTCACCCAATCAATATATATGGTGTATTATCCATGCTTTTAAAATGTTTTTGAATATCCCCTGCCCAAGTGAGCCCGGGATGGCTCTGGCTATATTAAATTGACAAAGTAAATATCGGATTTTGGCCAGTTTGTTTATAATTTTTTTTATAAGAAAAAAGTGATATCAGTTAATCTACACGATGAAGTTGTGGGGAATATTAAATGTACGCATGATCGTCTTACACCAAATGATTGGAGAATTAATTACAACCATATAAGTATGCAGAGTAGCGATTGAATCCATTAAATAACTCCCTCATGTTTAACTAACCAAAATCACGTTTTATTCTAGTTTTAAACTAACGGGATCTTATTATTAATTAATATGAAAATTATTTGAAATAAAAGTTAAGGGGGTGCTGATTTATATCACCTACAGATGAGTTATAAAATCCATAAAAATATCATTAGTAAAATTCTCTAGTTTACCACACCCTTAACAAAGTCACTCGTTGTTTCTTCTTCCTCTTTCTATATATATTGATCGTGCTTAATTATAGTGATCATGCGCTCGTGCTAGCTAACGATAGCTCATTGATTTATTTTGGATTAACGCGTAATAAAAATGATGGAAAGAAAATGTTAATTAAAATAATAAATATAAATTTCGCGCAGCAAACGTACGAAAATTAATATGTCTGCATTATTCTGTATCCTAGCTACTAGATATTATGAAATTATTTCAGTTAATGTTCACGTTCAATAAGATCGACAAATGTAAGCTTAGAGGGAAGCGCACCTCAAGAATATTTGAGACAACATAAGAAAGTTTGAAGCAAACCATAACCACAGTATCTTCTTTATTAACCAACATAATCATGTCTTTATATACAAACACACATATATGCATGTATATGATCAGACGGAACAGTAGTTCGCTACAACATTAGTTCGTCCTCACAGGTTTTATTCATGGCTTGAATCGAAGAACCCAAGCGAACGTGCGCACACCACACACACACACACAATTCATCAAAATATGATGGCACAAGCAAGAAGCGAAGCAACTATAAATTAAACAAACGCTATATAAGCCTGCGTAGGTCTAGCTAGGTTCATATACATTCTGAGTACGTCTTTTTAAAATTCTTGATCATAAAATCATTGTAGAGTTTTAAAAGCTTAACCCTGCAAAAATTTCATAATAAAGAACTGTAGAAGATTCAGCATATTAATTATGCGCTAAGCATGGCCTCGTACGTGAGCGGGACGGTGGACCTTGTCCCCCATAGGTGGGCGATTATGATCATTATCGCTAAGTAATACCTTGTCTTCCTTCTCTGGGCGATGATGATGATGATCACCGCGGTCTTCACGAAGTACTGCCTTGCCTTCCTTATCTGGGAGATGATGATGATCACCGGAGTCTGCACTAAGTAATACCTTGTCTTCCTTCTCCTCTACCAACTTTTCGCCATCCTTGGCCACACAAGAGCTCCCCATGACCATCAACATTAGCACTATTGTAATTATCACAAACCTCATCATCTCGGCAGATCTTGATCTGAAATCAAGGTATATTAATTATACCAACAAGAGTAGAATAATGCATGCATATATATATATATATATATGTAGCTGGTTAATATTGTTTTGTTCTTGAAATCATTTAATGCATGGATTTTTCAGCAGAACAAACTAAACCAAGAACGACCGAACTAAGCTTATTGATCAGATAAAAGTGTAAATATAGAAGATATACTAAGTTAACGTACCAGATACTGAGTGGTGATGCTATTATATGATCTTGTGTTGAGAAGGAAGCAGAGGCACAAGAAGCTTATATAGAGAGGTTGAAGGCAATGGCATATTTACAAGTCAACTTTTGCATTATATAATGGTGGGGTTCACACAAAATGAGGCAGGGTTAAGTGCGATGCCCATTAAATTTGTTATAATTCAAAGCTACCATAAAACGATGTCTATAGTTTCAAGAGCAGTATTCCTCCCCCCCCCCCCCCGGAGTTTGGATTTATATCATGCACTAAATATGCAAGTCTCAACAAAGCGATGTTTAATTAATCCTTATTATTTTTTCTTTCGTCCCCTTATTGCTGGGCCTTTGAAACTGTTCATTGAGCTGTTTTTGTAAAGATCTAGTAACTATGTGCATGCATCTTCCAATCAATATATATGGTATATTATCCATGCTTTTAGGTACTATTTGGTATGAGAAAAATGAAGGGGAGGGGAATGGAATTTTTTTTTAAATAAGCTCTATTTAAAAAATTGGAGAAATGGAGTTTTGAAATTTTAATAAAGAGAAGAAGTAATATAAAAGAGTAATAAAAATTAATTAAAAACTTTTAACTCCATTTTTAAAATTTTTTAAATTGAGCTTATTAAAATTTTCTTTACCTTCCCTTATTCTCATATTTCCTCATACCGAACGAAACCTTTCTTGATTATCCCCTGCCCAAGTGAGCGCGGGATTGCTCTAGTTATATTGACTTGACAAATTAAATAGCGGATTTAGGCCAGTTTGTTTGTAATTTTTTTTTTCTAGAAAAAAATATTTCACTTGATCGACATAAGGAAGTTGTTTGGATCATTAAATGTGTGATGGTTTTACATTAAATGATAGAGAATCAATTTTTTCGAACTACTATGCAAGGATGTGCGTGGTAACCGATTGAGTCCATTCAAAATAACTTAAGCTACTCTGAAGCAAGTAACGTGATTCATAGGGAGGCTATCAAGTAACCCCCTCATGTTTAACTAACCAAATCACGTTTTATTCTGATTTTAAACTAATGGGCTCTTATTATTAACTAATATGAAAATCATTTGAAATAAAAGTTGGGGGATTTTGGTAGGGATGGTAATATGGGCCAACCCGCGGGTTGGGGGGTTGGCCCGTGACGGATTAGAGTTAAACGATACAAGTTAAACCCCCCGGCGTGTAATAGCGGGTCGGTTTTTAGCTAATCCTAACCCGTCATGGTAGGTTGACAGGTTGGCCGCCAAACGGCCAACTATTATTTTTTTAAAACATTTTTTATATAATATAAAAAAATATAATGAAATTTTTATCTTTCTTTCAAATACATGATTAAAAACAGCAAATAAATAAATAATATAGGTATTTTTTTAATTTTTTAGATACAATATAAAATATAATAATGTACATATAATGATTAATAAAATTTAAAAAATACAAAAAAAAAAAATGCGGCCTAGCCCGTGACAGGTTTTGGCTTAGGTGGTACAAGTTGAAAAGCTTTATTTACTGGTTGGTTGACTTTTAACCAATCCTAACATGTTATTTTTTGTGGGTTGACGGGTCCAACTCATATTACCAGCTCTAGATTTTGGCGGGGGTTGTTGACTCATATTTCCTACAGATGAGTTATAAAACCCATAACAATATCATGAATCAAATTATCTAGTTTACCGCATCTTTAGGGTCAATTTGGTATGAGAAAAATAGAAGGGCAGAAAAATTTTAATAACTTTGATTTAAAAAATTAGAAAAGTATAGTTAAAAGTTTTTAATTAATTTGAAAAAAAAAAAGCAAGCATGTATATTAGGGGTGTGCATGGACTAGACTGGACCGGGTTTATTATCAACCCGAAGTCTGGTCCAGTAAAGACCTCGGGCTGAAAAAAACAGCCCGAGGTCTGGTCCAGTCCAGTGCCAACCCGAGGTCGGGTTGGACTGGACTTGGTCCTCTGGACTGCCTGGACTGGTCCAGGCAGTCCAGACCTAAATTTATTTTTTAAAAAAAAAAAATTTTCTTCGATAGGAGGCAAGATTGTAACTTACTATATAAAATTTTGCACATATTTTAATTCAAAATTTATCAAATTTGATCATTTCTTTTCAATTTCCCAATGAAGTCATGTTTTATTAATTAATCCTCATCAATATAGATCTTAAATTGTAGAAAATATATATGCATGCTCTTTACTTCGAAAGTTAATAAATAAATCTTAATTATTTGAATAGATAAAAAATTTATATAGAAAAATTAAATCAAATTAAAATTATATAAATAATAATTTTAAAAAATCGGGCTAGACTGGACTGGACCAACTGGTCTGAGGGGTCAGTCCCTAGTCCAGTCCAGCCCGATAAGACCAGTCCGGTCCAGTCTGGTCCAGTCTTGTTTCGGGCCAATTTTTTCTGGACCGGACTGGACCGGGTTTGTTCGGGTTGGACCGGACCATACCGGACCACCGGGTTTTTGCACAGCCCTAATGTATATGTTCATCCATTTTACTATCACAAAAAAAAAATGTGTGGGAGACAATGGGCCGTGTTACGTAATTAATTTTCCACTTTTATACTAATTATTGATAAGCGGTAAAATCAACCGAAAATAAGGCCAGCGAAAAACTATTCAAGGAAGATCAAACCTTAATAGTTGGCCAAAAAAAAGAAAAAAAGGATCAACCCTTGATAAGTCACTCGTTGGTTCTTCTTCTTTCCACACACACATATATTTATTCCTCTTTCCATATATATGTATATATGTTGATCGTGCTAAAGTATACTGATCATGCACTCGTGCTAGCTAATGATGGCTCATTGATTTAGTTTGGATTATCTCATAATAAGAATGATCAACAGAAAAGGTTAAAAAAAAAAATAACCATAAATTTTGACGCAGCATATCGAGAACGCGTGAAAATAAATATGTCTGTATTATTCTGTATCCTGGCTACTAGTGTGAAATTATTTCATCAGTTAATGTTCACGTTCACAAAGATCGACGAATGTAAGCTTAGAAGGAAGTGCACGTCAAGAATGACAGATATTTGAGACAAATTAACATAAGAAAAGACAAATTAAGATAAGAAAGTTTAAGCAAACCATATCCACTGTATCTTCTTTATTAACCAGCATAATCATATGTATAATATATACACAAACACACACACACACACACACGACCGGACAGACCAGTAGTTCGCTTCTTTACAGGTTTTATTCATGGCTTGAATCGAAATATGACCACAAGCAAGAAGCAAAGCAGCTATAAAACAAACGTACGCCATATGAGCCTGAGTTGTTTTTATATACATAAATATATATTCTGAGTTAAAAATCTTTCAAAATTCTTGATTATAGAATTATTGTAGAGATTTGAAAGCTTTAAACCCTACAAAAATTTTATAATAAAGAACTGTAAAAGATTCAGGATATTAATTATGCACTAAGCATGGCCTTGTACGTGAGCGGCGGGATGGTCGACGACGTCGTACCTCGAAGGTGCGCTATGATGTTGATGATGATCATTGGGGTCTTCACTGAGTAATACCTTGTCTTCCTTTGCTGGAGGAAGATGAGGATGATCATTGAGGCTGCTAAGTAGTTCTTTGTCTTCCTTCTCCTCCGCCAACTTTTCGCCATCTTTGGCCACACAAGAGCTTCCCATGACCACCACCACTAACACTATTGTGATTATCACAAACTTCATCCCGGCAGACCTTGATCTGGAATATCAAGGTTCATTATGTGTATGTATATGTATATTAATTATGCCAACAAGAAGTAGAATAATGCATTCATATACATACATATATAGAGCAACTTATTAATATTTTTTTGTTCGAAGCTAATCAATGCCTCGGTTATTCAACAGCAGAACAAACTAAACCAAGAACGACCGAATTAAGCTTATCCATCAGATACAAGTGTAAATATAGAAGATATAATAAGTTAACGTACCAGATACTGAATACTGATGCAAGTATATGATCTTGTTTTGAGAAGGAAGCAGAGGCACAAGAAGCTTATATAGAGAGAGATTGAAGGCAATGGCATGTTTCACAAGTCAACTTTCGAATTATAAAATGGTGGGGTTCACACAAAATGAGGCAAGGTTAAGTGCGATGCCCATTAAATTTGCTATAATTCAAAGATATCATAAAACGATATGTCTAATTAAGTTTCGAGTAGTGATATTTTTTTTTTTTGGATTTATAACGCGGATTAAACATGAAAGCTCCAACTGACTCGTTATGGCAAATTGAAAGTTGAAGTCATATATATGTAGAATTTTTTATATTTCCATCTCTCCTCAAATAACTACCTTTATTTAACGAATTACCAGAACCGTAAAAAGTTTTTGTGGCCAAGTGGTTCCCAAGTGCGTCTTAAAATTCTAACGTTGTTATAATTAAGATTAATGCTCTTGATTTCAACAATCAAATAATCACCAAAAGATGGCTAGCTTCAGTAGGCTTATTCTCTATAATTATGTAGCCCAAAGTGGCTACCCTGTTTTGTCACATGTGTCTTTGCATAATTGTTTGTTAATTAGAGTACAAGTTTGGTGAAAACAAATACTGCATTCATACTTCGATTGTAGCGAAGTAGTTCGGGTGGTCCATTCTAGTATACCAGATCGATGAACATCCGGATCATGGGGCCTTGATGGAGATCCAGAATCTGCTCGAACGTGACTGGGACGTGGAGCTGTCATGGTGTGCCCGCGAAGCCATCTCTACTGCAGATGCCTTGGCATACTTTGGCGAGAGACTTGTTCGTGCTCTGCGAACCCCTGGAGATTATTCGCTCCTTTCTTCAGAAGGATAAGGACGGGGCTTTGCTTTGTATGAACTCGTACAGTTAGTTTTGCTGTTGTTTCCTCTTTCTGATAAAAATAAAAATAAAAATACTGTATTCATGCATCTTTGAGTAGATATTTCAATTTGAATTAAGATACAGTCAACTGTTAAATTTATAGAGAATAAATATTTTATTTATTTATTAATTAATTAAAATGATAATGCAATAAATACTCATTAAAAATCTTAAAAGAATTAATTTGATTTGATTCCTTCAATCATTAAAAAACAATTTAAACCAGTGACAATTGAATCGATACTCGATGCTTTTCAAATGAAGTCTTGTATTTAGGTCTCGTGAATACAAATACCATATTATAACAATTTTTCTTTATTTGGATTATAATAGTATAATAGTTACATTGTTACTATTTTAATCCGGATTATAAAAAAGCACCAGTCCACCAGATGCCGAAAGGTTCTCAGTTTTCTTATTAAAAGAAGAAGAGTTAGACAATGTATCAATCCGCCCGTGCATATCTTGAATGCCTAATTATAATATCAAAAGCAGTATATATAAAGATATTCTATGACATAAAAGTACTTTAAGACATTAATTAATCACCATTCTAGCGTTATTCAACTAACGGAGATCGGGTTTACATAACACGGAAAAGGTTATAGCGGCAGTCTAGCCCTTTTGGGTAAAGATATTGTATATGCAGTGCATGGGTCAGTACTTTCTAGTTAAAATAAACTGGGCAGTTTATTAAGTTATCTGATCTCATGCAGAGGGGGGGGGGAGAGTGTGTACGATTATATTAATTAATTAATAAGGGTCGTTACTCTTTCCGGGGTATAAAGATATGAGATAATCAGAAGTGTGATGTTGCGTGCGTGCAAGTTTTGAGCCACACTTATAAGAAATATCTCGTGATGAAGTGAAGCTTCCCCATCTAACTTTTTTTTTTTTAATAAAAGTGAGGAATATATATATATGTATAGTAGCGTAAAAATCCTATATAAAGTTTCTTGTAGCGTGAAGTTCTTGTGCCATGAGAAAGAACTACATATCCTTTCGCAGTTGTCGCCCATAATCAGAAGTGAGTTACAGGGTTTGTGACTTGAATTATAACGCATAAATTTATATAGATTTCATTATATATATAAACGAAATTAAATTGCATAGAACTAGAATTTATAAAGCACCATCAAGGTAAACTAGACATTACAAGAGAGCTCTAATATAAATGCATAGTTAAATAAAGAACAAGGGTCGAAGGGATAGATATTAAATGAAGCAATATGGCCCTTCTTGGTGAAGAAAGGAAGAAGAGGCTTCGAGATGAGGCACTTTGTGTTTATCTCCACGCAAGGAATGATATTGAGTGCTTTGCCCAATATCAAATGTTATTGTTCAAGTATAATATATATGATAGATGAAGTTGCTTGGTAGCTTTATGTTTAATTAATCCGTATTATTATTAGTGGAGTGAAAATGGGGAAATTCCACCAAGATTATATTCAAGCTTACTACTGCTTATATATACGCGTTGCTGTGAAAAGCAAAATTGGTCATATAAAAAGTTTTGCAAAGCTTCGACACAACTTGATTACATTGATTTGATGGGGGAATTAATCAGAGTAATTTTGAATCCCTCTTAAATAGATAGATAAACCTAATAAAAAGGTACCCTCTTAATATATTTTTGGTGGGTCAGTTGTATATATGATGATTAACATCTCTGTCATTTGCTAAAACAGGTGCTTGGCACTAACCAAAAGATAATCGAACCACTAATCAAAGCACACTTGCGATTTCATCATGACTACTCTGAAAGACGAATAGGTGTAATTTGTATTTCTTTGGGGGGGAACTTAGCAGGAGAATTTATAGTGCATAGAAATTAATTATTCTGGTTCCTCTTCTTCTATTAGTATATTTAATAGTCTTGCTGGGATCTAGGCATGCAGCCTCTATAACCAAGGACGAAAAGTTTCATAAAAATATGTTGAATATTGATAGTGCAACACTTCTAATGCGATAGATAGGCCCATATCAAATCGAAGACGACGAAAATCTGAGGTGCAATATAATTTGGCCCGCGAATACGCGTCTAACGACAAATCATGGGTCGGAGGTTTTGGTCATCCAACGTTTGATGATTCCCTTCTGTCCGTTCAATTTTCTATGGGAGAAGGGAGCTAAGAAGATTCCATGGACAATTGCTTCACTATTTATTAGATTCCACGAAAATGATCGATCGTCTAATTATACCTACGCAAATTCAAAGCAAGAAAAACGGAATAGCTAACGCGCTTATAAGAGGGCTTGGTTAATAAGGCTCGGCCTGTTAAAACTCCGTACCCGATAGAAAAGTTTCAAAACATGGAAGCTAACCGGCTCTAAATGAAATAGTCCATTCCTTTCATGCACGAGCACCTACCCCCAGCTTAGTCTAAAAAAGTAACCTAATCTAACTCTTGAAAGAGCTAGCATAACAGCCAATCTCTCTCTTATTCGGGAATTGCTTCAGATGAGACTTAAAGTGGCATTAAATAGTTTTTTTTTAAAATCTTTTGATGAAGGCTGTGACTCTTGATCGAGAAAGTCATTATGTCTACTAAGAAGAATAACAATGGTATGATATGATCGATAAAGACATACAAACTGGACCTCCGCGATTGGAACAAATATTTGATTAAGCTATATGATCACGTACATACGTAAGCATCCACTAATCAAGCATCACAAAACTATTACCACACATGTATAATTAATATAGCTTCTCATTGCACATTACAAACGCATGTACATCATCTTGAGCGTATATGTATGCGGATGACATACAAGAACCCACATACATCAATTTTAATAATATGATATAAGTATATTAATCAATTTTAAAATAACTAATGTGTGATGACTACAAATATGGCAATGGGGCCTATCACAATAACAACAACAAAGCCTTATTCCATTAGGTGGGGTCGGCTATATGGATTGCACAACGTCATTGAGCTCTATCTAAAGCCAAATCTTTGGATATATTGTTAATTAAAAGATCTTGCTCAATGACATCATTAAGTGTTCTCTTTAGCTTTTCTTTACTCCTTTTTAGAAGACTCTATACTGTTTAATCAATTCTTGTCTCGGCACATCCAAAGACTTTATTCGCACATGACTAAACCATCTCAACAGTTTTCTATCATTTTTTTTTTATCAATAGCAGTCACTCCACCTTTTCCCCATAGTAATGGGGCTTGTCACGAGAAGGAAAACTTTAACTACGAGATAATGTCCACACCACACTACAGTTATTGCTCAAAACTGTTAAAATTGTGAAGTTGGTAGCCATCATAATTTCACTTGTATGACCTAACAAATAAGGAAATTCCACCTTCCTTGGTGATTCCAATTTCTGCTTCTGCTTTAGATTATTTTCGCAGAAGCTTTCCGTTCCACTATATCTGATGAAAGGAATAACTTGAGCAGTTGGGTCCTAGTGGATGAATAATTTTCTGAGTCAAATATGCCATCACATCACATCAGAGAGAAGGATGAATAGTTTTCTTTGCCTGCCCTATTCCGTTTCATCACACACATTTCTTCTAGTTTACTTTAATTTCATATATGAGTGTCTTAAATTTGCAATGTTTCTTTGGAGGGTTGAGGTCATCCAGCACTTCAAAGTATTTTCTTAGGTATATCTAGCACTCCAAAATATTTTGTGATGCATCCAGCATCCTGAAATGGTTTTTTAGGTGCGTCTAGCACTTTAAAGTATTTTTTGATACATCCAGTACCAAGGCAAAAAAATACTTTAGGATGCTGGGTGCTAGTAAAAAATACTTCGACGTACTAGATGTACTATAAAATACTATATAAAGTATTGGATGCACCTAATAGAATACTTCGGGGTGCTGAATGCACCTTAACCCTTATTTGGAACTATACACATCATACAAACGACTATTCTTACACGTTGCAATTTTAATTTCCTACTTTCTGCCCTCATATATATTTCCTTGTTTTTCTATATCTAGGTTATGGAGGCTTTTCCTATCTCAAATTCAGATTTGGAACTACGTATTACTTTACTGTTTATTGATTGGCGTTGTATCACATGAGAATTCAACTTACATTCGACGCGCTGTTTTGTCTTTTCATTTTTTTAAGGGAGAAAACATTTGAAGCATTGATATCAGATTTGCTTTTTCCGCTTTTGTCGGGCCTTGTATAAGGCAACGAGAAATAATTTCTTTTGACCTTGTATGATATTTTTTTGGGGGGGGGGGATTCATCTATCAAGGTCAAGTTGCACAGTAATATCGTATCTTTTTAGAAACTACTGATCATTGATGTAGAGATCTTATAACAATGGGGGACTGGCTGGGGCCACGGACCTCAAGCTTTTAATTTTTTTCCCCCCTTGAAATTATATAGGCGTTATGCATGCTTAGAATTTATGTGAATTTTGCGCTATATTATATTTCTTTTAACTTTGGCCCCCTCGTTCTTAAATCCGAGCGGTGCCCCTAACTTGCATGATTTCATAATAAAAAACGAGTGGAAGAAAGGAAAAAAAGAAGAAGAAAGAAATATAATTTCCTTCTTATTGGATGTGCAGGATTACAAATTGAACCCTATATGAAACACATGCCAAAATTAACTGGCGGCATGTAATTAACTTTGCAATTATTAATAAATCGAGCACGAAAATAAATATGTCTGCATGATAGGGCGAAACACTCTTTTGTATTCTAGCTCCCAGATTTTGGAATTATTTCAGCTAACCCTCGTGTTTGCGAGGATCAACAAATATAAGTTTTAGAATGGAAGCGAACGTCAAGAAGAATGATAGGTATCTGAGACAAGATAAGAAATTAAGGTCGAAGCAAACCACCGTAGCCACAATATATTCTTCATTAATCAACAGTCATATATTTGCATGGCCATGCATGCCAGTAGTTACAACCCTAGTTCTTTATAGGTTTTATTCATGGCTTGGAATCGAAGCCCCCAAGCTTAAGCACAAACATAATACACACACACACACACACACACATGTAGGGTTCATAAAAATATGACGCAACAAGCAAGCAACAAAGCAACTTGACTATATAAAATAAACACTACATAAACGCCATGTACGTTTATATAATATATGCTTTGGGTGAAAATCTTTTAAAATTCTCTATTATAAAATTGTTGCAAGAGTTTTAAAAGAGAAGTGAGAGTACATGTTCTTTTTGCTTGTCTCACTTATCTTTTTAAGCCCAGCAAGAATTTTATAATAAAGAACTGTAGAAGATTTGGCAAACTAATGCACTAAGCATTGCGTTGTACGTGAGCTGGACGGTCGACATAGGCCTTGCGAGGAGGATTATAGTTTTTGCTAGGGATATGATGATGATCATTATTGTCAACAAGTACTTTCTTGTTTTTCTTCTCCGGGCGATTATGATGATGATGATCATTAATGTCTCCGAGTAATACCTTGTCTTCCGTCTCCGCGTGACGATGATGATCGTTACTGTCACCGAGTAATACCTTGTCTTCCTTCCCCGCGTGACGATGATGATCGTTACTGTCACCGAGTAATACCTTGTTTTCCTTCTCCTTCACCAACTTTTCGACATCTTTGGCCCCACAGAAGCTTCCCATGACTATCAACACCAGCACTGCAACTATCACAAACCTCATGCTGACAGATTATTCCTGAAATCAAGGTTATATATACGGGTTAATTACCAAAAAGAGTAGAATGATGCATGCATGCACATATAAATATATATATATATATAGAGAGAGAGAGAGAGAGAGAAGCTTAATATTATTGTTTTGTTCTGTAATCAATTAGTATTGCACGGTTGATTCAACAGACCAACTAAACAAAGCACGATCGAGCCATACATATCGACCAGATAAAAGTGTAGCTATATATATATATATAGAGAGAGAGAGAGAGAGAGTAACGTACCGGATACTGAGTACTGATGGTATGTGCTATATTATCTGATCTTGAATTGAGAAGGAAGAAGGGGCTCAGGAAGCTTATATAGAGAAATTGAAGGCAATGGAATATCGACAAGTCAACTTTCCATTTATATAATGGTGGGGTTGACACCAAATGAGGCAAGGTTCAGTGCGATACCCATTTCAGAAATATCATAACACGACATGTCTAGTTTTGAGTAATTATATTCCTTTTTTTTTCCCCCTTCTGGATATTGGATTCATATAATGGACTAAATATGGAAGCTCCAACTGATGACTCGTTTTGGCAAATTGCTTGTTTAAGTCACATATATGTATAATTCTGATATTTCCATCTGTCCTCTTGTAGTTAATTAATTTGGTTTAACGAATTTCCGGAACCGTGAAAAGTTTTTTGTGGCCAAGTGGTTCCCAAGTGCGTCTTAAAATTCTAACGTTATTATAATTAAGATTAATGCTCTTTATTTCAACCATTAAATTTTCAACAATAGACAGCTAGCTTCAGTAGACTTCTCTTTATATATAGCCCAAAGTGGCTGCTCTGTTTATGTGTCATCAGATAATTGTTTGTGGCATGTTCGGTGAAAAACGAATAATGCTTTAATACCTTTTTGTGATATATTCTGTTAATTATGATACGATTAAACTGTTGAAAGTACTATAGAATGATAATGCAATTGATAATACTTAACATTTCTTAAAATAATTAATTCGATTTTATCTTCAATAATTATAACGAAGAGTTCAAACCAGCAGCAATTGAAATGAGTAAACACAGAGTCAATGCTTACAGAGTTTTGTATTCAAGGGTTGTGAATAGAAAATACCATGTGTATAAGGTTTTTTCTTTATCTGAGGTCTAACATCGCTTAACTCCGGATTATCATATTAGTACTAGCTGGATGCCCAAAGGTTCTAAAAAACGTTTAAAAAAAGTTTGATTATATGAATCCAGCCATGAATATTTTTGCATATATTATAATTATGGATGTTGCATTTTTAGTACGTTCTATCAAAAGCAATATATAAATATTCTGTAAACTAAAAGTGCTGTGGGATATTAACTAATCGCTATCATAGCGTTATCCAAATAACAGAAATATGATAAATATGTCTACATATAATGGGTGGAAAAGGTATAGCACGGCAGCCTAGCCCTTTTGGTTAACGATATTGCAATGCAGGAGACTGTACATACTCTTCGTTTAAAACGATTTGGTGGGCGGTTTATTAAGTCATCTGATCTCATGCATTGAGAGCAAAAAAAGAGAAAAGTTTCTCTGTAAGAGTTACATACATTCATATTAATTTATAAGGATCGGATCTTTGCTACTCTTTCCAGGGGTATAAAGATACACTACATCCGATTGTTAATATAATGGTTAAATGACTAATTAAGTTAGTTATTTGTAATAAATAAATATTGTTTTTCTTAAAATATTATTACTAGTTATGTGTATTGGTTATAACTACCATATGATGTAATATTTAACATGCATGTATAACTATTATACGGATTACCTCAAAAAAATGGATAAATATGAGAATAAGGTTAAATTAAATGCCAAACTAATTTTATATGGGAGAAAATAAATAGGTGATGAACAGTAGAAGACATATGCCTTAATTTATGATAGAGTAAGGTTTGAATTTATGGGCTATTGTTCTTTAAAATATATTTGTACTCTTTTAGACTTATTTTATAATATATATTACACTACAAAATGTGTTTTATATTGAGAACTAGAGGGAGTACTAGATTATATTTGATGCAGGGCTTGCGATGTCAACTCAATTCCACTACTTGAATATCCTAGCTAACATATATTAACCAAGTGAAATGCATAGAATTAGAATATAAAAAGCATAATCAAAGTAAACTAGACATTACAAGAGCTAGCCTGATATGTTATATATGCATAGTTAAAGAATAAGGGTCGATGGGCTGTCACCAGAGAGAGAGAGAGAGAGAGAGAGAACAAGGGTCGATGGGATAGATATCAAATGAAGCAACATGGCTTTCTTGGTGAGGAAAGGAAGATAAATAAAGGCTTCTAGATCAGGCATTTGTGTTTATCTCCACTCAAGGAATGATATTGAGTGCCATGCCCAATATTAAATATCTATATTATTGCTCAAGTATATAATATACATGATAAATGGTTGCTTGCAGTAGCTTTATGTTTAATTAATCCTTATAATTATTAGTGGGATGAAAAGGGGAAATTCCACCAACATTATGAATATTAATATCCTTGTAATTATTAGATGGAGGTATATGAATATTTTTGGAAATTAAAACTTGGACGCAACTTGATTACAATTGATTTGACGGGAGCACAATCCGAGAAGAGTAATTTCCGATCCCTTAGTAAATAGATAGATAAACCAAACAAACAGTTCCCCTCGTAATAGTTTTCAATTTCCCCCGCATATATAGATGGGTTGTCTAATGAACATCTGTGTCAATTACTAATACAGTTGCTCTGCACTAACCAAAGATATACTTGAACCACTAGTCAAATTAAAGCACACTTGCCTTCGCATGATTACTTCTCCGAAAGATGGATTAAGGGTAAAATGATTATTAAAAACTAATTTTCTACACACAAATTAGTTACCGCTAAAATGTACAATGTTCTTTAATTTTTTACTTCGAAGTTTTAATACACGTACACATTTTGAATAACACACACACACACATATTTTCAAGCTTGCAAGAACGTACATCATTAGCGTTTCAGAATCAATATGAACGAAGATATGGTTATCGATCATTTGAAAAGTTTCTAAAAAGCAAAGTAACAATAATAACTTTTTTTTATCATATCGAAAGTAATAATCCCTTGAAAAATTGATGAATCTATAATAACGTAACCTGACAAAAACGAATCTTAAACAATATGCAACTAAAATGATACCCATCTGTTAGCTCCTCCTAAAATTATGGTCTTATATTCTTTGCTCAATTATTCCGTAACAAAGTATGCGTTTTTTCTTTTGTCTGTGTGATACATAATCTGATGAACGAAACACACATATGTATAATTTATGACTTGTAAATATGATTTTTCTTAAAGAAACTTTATATTTGATTTGTATTGATGATCATCTCATTCGAGTAGCAAAATTTTTTTTTTTTTTTGCTTCAATATGTAATTACATGTACATGATTGTCTCATTTTGATCCATGTCCGAAGGATAAGGGGAAGAAATATTAAACTCAATCTGTAAAACAAGCTTCTTGCAATTGGTTAATCAGAGAGACAGTATATATCGTGGCAAATCACACATCAATTAATTATACAGATTAGGACTACAATAACAGAGCCACACCGTACGTACAACCATATGTTACAAACACGACCATATATTATACAAAATGAAACATCAAGCAACATCCAAGCGCGCGTGTGTATGTGATAATATACAGTTATTAATTATATGTGTTTTGATTCAATTGGCTCCGCCTTGATCTCCTCCATTACCATTAAAGTCCTGTCTGGGAATAGAATGATGATTAGTCAGAGAGCTTCCGCCATCGCCGTTATTATTTCCACTGTTGCCTTCTTCGTTTTCCTTCTTCACGCTTGTTTCCTCCATATTTATTACCTTTCTTCCACCAGCCAAACAGATTCCTGCTATCAGGAACAGAACCAGAAGAAGTTTTGCAAACCTCATTCCTTGGATCTTCGCTCTTCCCTATCAGGAGCAATAAATAAGCAAGCAAATAGTAAACTGAAGGTATAGCTGTTCATCACTATATATAAGCGATTTGATTGACAGAATCAAATCAGAATAAATTTGCTGCAGTAGCTAATAAATTGATATTTACCTGCTGGGAGATGTAGTGAAAGCGTTTGAGTGATGAACTTAGTTAACGCTGATGAAGATAGCCAGCAGAGATCGAGCTATTTATATAGGGAAGCAAGCTTAGCTTAGAGAGTGCTTTGCTTGTATTGTAGACAGAGCCCCCAATCAGACAAATTGTGGTGGGATGTGCCGCTATATGAAATTAATATTTTTTTTGTATGTTTGTTTATGATGTGTAATGATGGAGTTGTGAGAATAATTAATTAATATTGTCATGACCATTAATTAATAAGAAAACTCTGAATTAAGCATATATGGCAATAACAATGGGAATTTGGGCCAAACATATGGTTTGGTTTTAACATACACAGAGATAAGTTGAAGATATAGACCCTTTTTTTCAATCACCGTAGAAGATATAGACCCTTTTTCTTTTTTTCCTTTTTATTAGTGTTCTTGACACGCGCGCGCGCGCGCACACAATGGTTTCTTCAGCTACGAACATGCGTAAAAAGGAAAAGGCTTGTTTTCGCAAGACAGCGAGGGTGTCATCCCCCCTTCGTCTCTGTTCTGATCAGTAGCCTATAGGCTTGTTACCGAACAAAAAAAAGGGCAATTAATCATTATAATAAACATCCTACAGTGCAAGGAATATAAAGTAAATTAATATATGTACGTATTTATAAATTTAATATATTTTAAAATATGCTTCTAGTTAATTATAATTAAAATATAACATTATATATATAATACTACTTACTAAATAGCAGCATATTTTGGAATTTATGTGGGAATCACAACTCATAGAGACCTTGTGAATAATTTAATACATGTCAATGTATTTTTTTTTTTATTTCGTCTCCAAATTAATCCCTTAACATGATAGATGAAAACGATCGAAAAGCGACAATGTACTCCCTCTGTTCCTTATTATAAGATCTAATTTTTTTAATAGGTTTGTCCCTTTTTATAAGATTCTTTTTGAGTTTATCTGAGTATTTATGCATTATTACCTATTTTACCCCTAGTTTAATACATTTAATATATTCTTTTGTTTTCATTTATCTCACTATTACTCTCACATCTACCCATTTATATATAGGGTATATTTGAAAAAAAATTGCATTTGCTATATATTAATTGTTTTTAACTAATTTTAACTGTTTTCTTAAACAGTGTAATTTAGTTAAAAAGATCTTATAATAAGGGATGGACTAGTATATGTAAGTACAAGAATAGTGAATGTCACGCACTATGCTGCCATAATTTTTTTTTTAAAAATTCCACCAACACCGATCTATTGGCTTGGCTGTAAGTCAAATCCAAACGGATCATATCGTGCATGTGCCTCTTCCAAATTAAGATCATCAATCTCATTATAAAATCATGATAGTTAGGGGAAGCAGTAAAGGACTCAATTTTTCTCAAGCAATAATGTCAAGTATCCATTCAAATCTTGTCAATAAAAGAAAAAAACTGATGCTGGGGGAAATACTCTTATTTAGAACTATTAATGCTTCAATATAATTAGATATTTGGATACATCAATCTAACCTTCTGAATTAACACATTTCCTTCTTTGGAATTGGGTTTATCTCATCAACACGAAAAGGAGATATAGAAGAACCAATTAAGTGCTCTAAATTAATTAATTAGTTATCTTTTCATCATATAATGGCTTTTCGTTTCCAGCAACTTGTTTTCTCCAGTCTAGATGGGTGGGGAACGGGACCCTGTGTGTGCATACAGATCGCAATTGTTTGAAACATATATGGCTTCTACTTGCACTAAATGTGGACACAATTCGATTCTTTCTTGGTTTGCTTGGATCTTCCCTATAGGGTTCCGAAATTGGCTATATGTCATAATGTTTTGTCCGTCGTCAACTCGCTAATTATTCTGTGGGCCGCCCATCATCTGTAGCATCCTAGTGGGACGTTACCAAAACCAACTGATTCACACAAACTGGATGAATACCTGACTTCTTCTGCAGAGGTTTAGTCCGTGTTTATATTTGTTGAAAACCACGTACGTTATGTTTATATAATGCATTTAGGAAAAATTAAGGACAAAGCTTTGGATATTTACCGCTAAATCTTGTGTTCGCGAAATTGACGGTTTCATTTTCCCAACGCATACATATGAAACCTTTTTTTGGTGATATTCCGTTCTTTTGACTAATCTATCTGATTTTTACTGAAATGTCGTGCTTTTTGAAATGTTCAAATACTGCAAACGCTGTAGCGAAGAAGAAAAAGTGTATCGATATATATATTCACCCAATTTACAGTTTACCGTACGTACGTCCTTCCAAGAAAACCAATTTTGTAGAAAGTCAATCCCTCGATTGATTAGTTGACTAAATTAATTACTTCGGTAACAAGTATTGATTTGCCACGATAATGGAGACGAAATGTCAAATCTTTTGACTATTAACTTGAAATTGCGAGTCAAAGAACGATTTTTAAAAAGAAATCAATATTCAAAAAGTTAATATGCAATGTATTAAGTCATGGTAGGTGAATCCTGTTTTCTTTAGAATATTTCCTTCAACAAAATATGACATAACAGATGCAGAAGATTAAAGGAGTCATTTGAATAATGTTAAGTTTACATTACACTTTTTTCTGAATAACCTGCGGCTTATAAATTCAGATATTTATAATTGTTTTATTATATCGAAATTAGTGTATATATAATTTTTTTAAAAAAATTATGATATGATAATTCCACAATATAAATAAGAAATTATTTGGTTATCTGCAAATAATCAGACAGCTGGCATGTCACTGTAGAGAAAATAAAGAATAAAAATGTGCCCCCTCCGTTTTTGAAGAAAAAGCGAATCATTTGATTTACTTTTAGTTTTTGAACGTAGCTTCTTACTGGAATCCTAAAATGTACCTCATGAAGGCCATGTCTGATCTTATGCTTCATTTATCATTGATCTTTTGAAATGCATGTACACATACCGATTACACACGTTTTGATATTTGGAATTTGAGAAATTGACCATATTATATATATATCGATTATAAATAAAAAATGCAGTCTGTTATAAATTTAATTATCTTTTATATCTTGATTATATCCTGCAACTTTGGTGGAATTTGATCAGATTCCAAATTAAGTTAGATGGAACTATAAGTTTATGTAACCAACCAATGATCCAATCCATCCATCCATTTATAATTTAGGAAGAATAATAATCTGCTGATTCCTCTCCTACTAGCTTGGACAGGTCATACAAAATGTTCACACACACACACACACATTAATAAATTAACTGCCCTTCATTTGCGATGTTATGTTATGATCCTTCAATTTCAAGTTTTCAACCAGTATCTAACCTAATCAATATAAATTGCTATCTTTGTATCTCAGTCTACTTTAATTATTATTATTAACGCCCACTTGCCTAACACGGCAAGAAAGAAGAAATAATATTGATGCACATTAAGCATGCCTCTGGAATCATATTTTATCTATAGTTGGCCAGGAAAAATCAGCGTATTAGCTCTTCTTCAAAGATATGTTCGTCATCGCAAATGTGAACGGAATGGGCTAGTTTTCGTGGAGATCGGGCATATTCGGAAAACAAAGAAGAAAAATCTGGCAGATAATTACGACAATTATAATAATTAAACAGAACCCTTCGAGGGCGTCTTCTTTTGTAATCGGGCAGGCAAGCTGGTAGTCGGTTGATTTTAGTTAATCAACTTTCAACGAAATGACATATACTTAATGGTTAACTGAAGCTCTCTGTTCAAACCCTTCCTCTCTATATATATGTGTGTGTCCATTTGTGTCCTTATGAATGTACAACTATATCCGGAAACTCCTATCTCTCTGCGGAAACTCCTATCTCCAAGACACCCATATAGCTGGAGCTTTGAATCAATGGAGAAAGTTGCTGCCACACGACTCTTGATTTGCGGTTTATTTGCTGTACTTTGTTTGTTCTCTTGCCCAGCAACTTCCTCGGAAGTCGGTAAGAACTCACTTAGCTTTTTAACACGCACAAATACAATAACACCAATCCCTTCACATGATATATATATATATATATATATTTATATATGCGTCCGCTTCAATTAATGTTCATATAATAATGTTGGTGATGGATGAACAGAGGACGAAAGTGAGTTCAGTTACGAGGAAGATGAAAAGAATGGACCATCTGGATGGGGAGAGATCAAACCAGAATGGAGACTCTGCAATACTGGAAAAATGCAATCGCCCATTGATTTGTTGAATAAAAGGGTTCAAGTGGTGTCCCATTTAGGGGCCCTTCAGATGAAGTACCACCCTTCCAATGCCACTCTTAAGAATAGAGGCCACGATATCATGGTAATTATCTTCAACTTATATGAATCTATCTCATTGATGAACGTAATTAATTCAAACAAGTAGTTAATCTACGTATGGTCCGAATTTAGTCATTTTAATAAAAACACTCGTTCATCAACATGGAAATGTCAAGTCTGTATTACAGAATCGACGTTAAATTCGAAGTTTTTTCTTTGATCCTTCCGTTCATTTTTTTAAAGTGAAATTAATCTATTGTTTCAAAGTGAGACTATTAAAATAATCTTGTTTGGAAATCCAATGTATATAACATCTTGTGGACCTATAATCTTTCCCCAAAAAAAAAAAAATCAAGCGACAAAATCCTTTTAATTAATATGCGTATGAAGATGACAAAATCCTTTTGGGTGAACGTAGTTGGAATGGGCTGCAGGCGCAGGCTACCTTCAAATCAACGAAACTCAGTATATTCTCAGACAATGCCACTGGCATTCTTTCTCAGAACATACCATCGATGGCAAAAGGTATGTAATATAAACTTTAAATTCCTCTATTGCCTACAATTATATATATATATATATCCCAAACAAAATAACTTGTTCCTCTTATTATATATATCTTGGCATAATTGATCTGTAGCTAAATTATACTGAGCTTTCTTGAATTTAGAACATGCATGCATATGCATAAATATTTATAATGTGATTGTATATATAGCAGTCAAGTTCAATATGATGAGGAGATTAAATGTTGAGATGCATTAAATTGCAGATTTGATCTGGAGTTACATATGGTGCACGAAACGGAAGCAGGAGAAGCAGCTGTAATTGGGATACTGTACAAGATTGGTAAACCAGATGCTTTCTTGTCATCGGTAAGCAACATAATTAAGGATAGAAAAACCCGACATATATGCGTCTTTATGATTTGTGTATAGCAGTCAAGTGGCATCTTAAACAAGACTATATAATTATATTCCGTCCCGAATAATTCTTTCTTAATTTGTGAACTTATCTGTCGATCTCTTCATTCATTGATGCATGTGACTAATTGATCTACCGTGGGAATTAATAGTTAAGGGATGATATAAAGGCCATATCTGATAAGACTGACGCAGAAGAAAACGTGGGAATAGTTGATCCTTGGCTGATTAAACCGAGTAGCTTGAGGTATTACAGATACATGGGTTCTCTCACCACACCTCCTTGTACTGAAAACGTTGTTTGGACCATCCTTGCAGAGGTTTGTTGCCTCCACTTTTGTTCCTTTTCAAGCTTAAGGATATCTGCTTAATCTTCCATCTACTGCTTTGAGAAGAGTGCACACAAAGATCTTTGGCCGACATAAAAAAGAAAAACTTTTGAGAGGAATTAGTTGTACTACCTCCTTTGATTGAGGTGTGCTAACTCCGTTCACTGTTCATTTTTGCTGTGAAAAGGTTTATAACGTATACTTTTAGTTATTTATATAAGAACTAATTGACTAATTTAAATAGATTAAAAAAACTAATTAAGTTATTTGTAATAAACAAATATTGTCTTTCCTAAAATACCCTTACTAATCATGTGTATTAGTTAGGGTATATATCATTTGATGAAATTTTTTAATATGTACAACTATTATAAAGACTATGTTGGGCAAAATGGATAAATATGAGAGATAAAATTAATTGAGATATTATATTTAAGACCAAATTAAGTGACAAACTAATTCTTATATTAAGAACGGAATAGAAGCCGCTCTTTTCTGTGGTTTGAATTATTATTTTACTAAACTCTCAGAAATTGACCCCCGCAGGTGAGAACTGTTTCAAAAAAACAAGTCAAGTTGCTTCGAGATGCTGTTCATGACGTAAGTTACTCAGTACATGAATTTTAAATATCTCAAGAAATTAAAAACACGAAATTACTTGAAAATGAAATATTATTATCTCCTTTCTTCGATCGTTAGGTACGTACACTCAGCAACTATTTTATTTTGCAGGGATCAGAGACTAATGCAAGACCACTGCAGCCAATAAACAACCGTTTGGTGGAACTCTATAAACCAAAGGCTTATAAAAAAGATTGAACTTCAACGCACCGTCCGATTCAAATATATCTTCTTATACATTATTTGCCTCCTGGCTATGATCATTATCACACATTTGGTCCAATAATTAGTTATTGCCATTTGCGCTAGCCATCTCTACGTTAATTTTTGTATCTTTCTATATTGTATAATAATACCAGAGTGTTTGACTTTACATAGACGTTCATCTTCTCTCAATATCAGACATCATTTCCTTCGGTAATTCTAAGGAACCTGACCACCGCCAAAACCTTGGGTTAAACATGAATGAGAAGTTCTATAGAAGGGGATAGGCTAAGTGAAAATTATCTAATAGTGTTTTAAATTAATATCAGTTTCTGTGTTGGCTCTATGTGCGCGCATAGAAGTGTCATTATATTAATTACCCAAAGGTGTCTTGGTTCAGTGCACCGATGTATTTAATTAATAATTAAGCCGTTAAGCCAATGGGCTGCATTGGAATTATTTGCTGGCCTGGCTTATGCGCACCTCATCATCGCCATGTCACATTTGGAACATTTTCAGGATTTATCTGGGGCTATGGATTCCCTCTATGTGTGAGGTGTTTCCGATAAATACAGGCCTTGTGGGAACAAGCCTACATATCATGGTATAAATTAACTGCAAAGGAACCAGCTGTTCGGTTCGAGGCTCTTGTTATGATGCGATAAGGACAACGTTTAGTCAGTCAATTAACTGATTAATTAAACAGAATATGCTTTCTATTATCCTCCAAATCGCTACTAAAAACGGAGATGATTCGTTGATTTATGCTTAGGGACAGAAATTATTAATGTTACATTTTACTAAAGGTGGATTGGACAACAACAAAAACACCTCTGAATGTTTGGTTTGATGTTGACAATTAAGTAATATGATCTGAAAGCTCCTGTTCCTCTAGCGATTCACATGATTTTCAAGGAAAAAGGAGGAAGAAAAGTTTCTCTAAACTTGTCACATCCTCATTATCTTTAACTTTGCGATGACTGAAATTACTTGTTAAGTAACAATGATTCAACTCTCAACTATTATACCATGTATAGTTCTTGTTATAAGACTTTCACGATCTCATGTCAAAGGAAAGGAAATTTCTCATAAATACAAAATTACAGGCAATTTATGCTTAGCAGTTGAATTTACAAAGATTATTATTTCTCTGGTTATTGTGGAGAAGCCATTTTTGCAAGGACCTTCATGATATCATCCATGGTTGGTCTATGCAAGGGATCATCAGCTACACAAGCCTTTGCTAAAACAGCCAAACACAGAGCCTCTGCAAGATGATAATCTTTCAGATTAGGATCCATGAAATTCCTCAACCCTTCAAAGCAACCCCCTTCACTGCCTCCTCCTCCTCCCCCCAAAAACCCAATAGAATCTTTCGCTAATTTCCCTTCAGTGTTCTCTCTTGCAGAGATCAGTTCAAGTAACACAATCCCAAATGCAAAAATGTCTACTTTCTCAGAAACAGCGCCGCTCCTAAGGCTCTCTGGTGCAGCAATATCTGCTAGTTTCCCTCTGAAGTCTTCTGTGACAAATATATTTCTACTGCTAACATTTAAATGAGCGTAAGAAGGAAAAGCGCAGCAGTGTAAATAGTGAAGAACTGTGGCTATATCAAAAGCTATTTGTGTCCTTTGTTTCCAACAGAGGACGTTGGATCCATCAGATAAACAGTCCCTTAAGCACCCATTTTTAGGCCATTCAAAAACCAAATATGACCATGACAAATCACTTTCATCATAACAAACACCAAGCAAGTTCACAATATTGATGTGGTTGATCTTAGAATGTAAATCAATTACCCGACGTGTGTCTTCGAATCTCATCCTCTTGATCATCACCTCAAGATTAGTAATTAACCCCTTATAGACTGAGTCACTTTTCTTGGTTTCTTCACTGAAATCCTTTGTGGCCATTTTGAGCTCTTCTATGCTGTAATTGACCAAACAGTACTTTATTCCGGCGAGAAGATCCGGAGAAAGACACGAAGTTGTTGAAGAGCCTCTCGTTGGTGACATGACGACGGAGGTCGAAGGAGTGAAAGGTTGAACACTTTCGCTCTTCCATTTCCTTAAGACCTTAATATACAATATGCTCACAAGGATTGCCATGATTAATAGCGAAAATCCTATGACACAAGCTGCGATGTACAAACTGGTGGGGCTTTTGACCCTGTGTGTTTTTGCCACTGGAATTGTTGGAAGAAAACCAGAAATTGGAGCTGGAGACGACTCTGGAATATCAGTAATCTTGATTGAATCATCTCTTACTGGGATCAAAACAGTTGTTTGTGGGAAAAGAGTTGAAAATTGATGCAAGTCATTGGCTTCTAAGAAATCTTCTTCTGAGATGCCGAATTTCGCCCTTATGTCACTATCTGAATCTCCCTGTATTATGGGGTATGTCACAAGGTAGTTCACCTTCTTGCCAATACTGGCGGAATCATCAGGGCATGAGCATCGAAGAGGAACATTAAGCTCAGCACCAGCTATTGTCGTATTGAGGTTGGCCCGTTCGAGTGTGAAAGATTTGAGCAGCCCTTCATAAACTCCACAAGCAATCTCTGAAAATGTTGTATTTTCCGGGACTACATACCTGAAAATAACTTGATAGAAACCACCAGAGCAGGAACAAGAGACAGGAATAAGAACCTCTCTGCCTGCTTCAAGGAACTGAGAAGAAGAATTGAGGTGGTTATTTTCTTGAAGCAGTGTGTCAGGGTTCATGTGGAAGAGCTTTGAGATCTCTGAAATGTTCTGAAAATGCTGGTTCGATCTGAACACCAAGTATGTTTCGCATGGATGCTGGGGAGTTTTACAAGTGTACCTCGAACCTGGGTAGGTGTCAGGTTCTGTAGAACAATTTTTAGGGTCGTAGAATTGCTGAGCTGAACTTGAACTAATGCATAGTAAGGCAATGAACCAGAGATAAATCATAATGGCAAGATTTGATTTCTGGTAAGAGCAGAATGAAAGAGGAACGAAGTGAATAAGTTCGAGAGGGACAAGAGAGAAACAAAAAATATGAAAGGCTGGCCAGAGTTGAAGTAATTAATTTAGTTATACACCTCAAACAATGAAGATGAGCATTTGACCGAAGATTTATTCGGAATTTGTCAAGATATATGGTCAAATGCTCATAGATGAGTCCAATGGCCGGCCGAAAAGGAAATGGCTACTTGAGAATATAATATGTTAATGATTGAAACGCAAAGTTTGCAGTATTTTATTGTTTGTCTGATATCGCTTAGGTTGTTTCTTAGCAATGCCTCTCAGTTTAGACACGTTGCAGTTTGTCGATTAGCCAATTAAAAGAAGGGGAACAAAAAAGTCTTTTTAATTACTTGAGGAACACGATATGCATGCACATTTGCAGATGAAGAAGACCAGTGTTGCGAATTGGGAGTGTAAGGAGAGGACATAATTTAATTTAGAGGTGGCTTTTCAATAATCATTTGTAAAATACGAAGTACTCTTTCCGTCCTTAATATAGAACCTAGTTGTTGAGTTGGTTTTGGTCTTAAATATTAGACCCATTTCTCATATTTATTAATTTTTTCTAAATTATCCTTCTGAATACTCCTTCAACCATAATCAAATAGAAGAGGGAGATAGGGTATTAAGGAAAATGATTATAGTATTTTAGGAAAAATATATCATATTTATTATAATTAACTAACTTACTTAACTTCCTTAATCTAATTAAATTAGTTAAATGGGTTTTATATTAAGAACAAAGGGTATAAAATATGAAATAAGTATGTGATCAGCTTCTGTTACCAAACGCCCTTCGCCACGACTCCGTTCACTTGACGGCCATCTCCAAATTTGGATGCCATCATCTTCATTGCTCCCAGAGCAGGACGTCGTTCGGCTTTCTTAATACAAACTCCCTCAACATTTGTAACTAAAAAAAGGGTTTAAAAAGATTATTGATAAGGATAAAATGATTTTTTTTTCCGGCCATGAATGGAGATAAAATAAAGGGTTAACCTACGTCCAATATAAATATTTTGTCATGTGCAGGTATTTTGTTATATATGTCCACCACACTAAAATATTTTTTTTAGATATATCCAACATTCTAAAATAATTTTAAAAAGTAATTATATATTTAAAATATTATCTCATATATAATTTTAATTTCATCATGAGTATTGATCTCACAAAAAAAAGACTTGCCAATAATCTATTTTACGTCATACATCTACTTTAACTTTATCTTTATTAAAATTAAAATGATTTGTCTTGTAGTAATAATTAAAGTAATTTGTCTTGTTATACTAATTAAAGTGTTTTATCTTCTTGTAATAATTAAAGGCATCTTTGCCTTTATGTCATGTTGTAATCATGTTTAGAAGCTTTTAGGTTTTGTTATGTCATGACCTCAAAGTCTTTGTATAAACCATGCTCCGTCAAAACTTAAAGATAGAAGGAATTGTAATAATTTTCTTATATAATATCAGTGTGTTTTTTTTTATAAATTCTCTCTAAACTTCTTTCTTCTACATTTTAAAATACTACTGTTAGATATTTTGTATGCTTGGCAAATATTTTAGATTTCACCTTAAATGAGTTATGTTATTTATTATAGGGAAAATAACAAAAAAAAACCATCAAAAGAAAAAAAATTGCACACAAACACCGGTTTATAAAAAATTTCGTCAAAACTCATATTATTATGAAAACTCATATTAATGTTGTCATACATCCTCATTTGTAATTTTTTTGGCCTTTTTTTTTTTTGCCATTTTTCATACATTATATGTATATTTACGGTAAAATTCACCCATCGTCCACTGATCTTGGAAAAGTAAAATCCGGATACAGTCGGGAGAAATCCGTCACGCATGGGCTTGCTTCCGATGCCCTTAGTTTCCGATGCTGCATATTGATTTATTGAATCACCTCACGCGCCAGGTGTGCTGTGACCTCCCTTCGTGGCTATGGGCATAATCGTATTTGCTTCGGTTTCTCGGAATATAAGCGCCCAGATTTTTCTGCTAAGCCTGCTAGCGAACATCCCAATTTCTTTGCGTTCGCCGAAAAATTGTTTATATTTGCGGAACAAGTAAAAATTGTTTATTGTCCGGATTTTACGTGCTGGTCAGTACTCTGCATTACAGTCAGCGACATGTTTCATGAATCTCAGTTCTCGCTAAATTAGGGTTAGGTTTCAAATTGTTAGTAGATCTTGGGGAAGCGGAAGTGGTTGCGTTCGTTTCCACTACACTGTCAAGATTTCCCTTGAAAATGCCGAAGTTCTCTTGCATTGTGCTTCTGTGTCCTATGCCGGGATCGTAATCACATTGTATTTGTGCCATCTTCATATAAGCTACTATCTTCATTTTTGTGAAATGTCTTCGGAGTCCAAATTTCAACCTCTCTGAAAACTCTTGCTTGGCGTGAATTTTTTCTTGACTTCTTTTCTCTCGGGGTTAGTTGTAAATGGTCTGGTAGTTGAGTTATGGAGCATTCTTGATTTGCGTGGAATAAGGGATCGATTTACTGTGGGATGGTGGCAAATCTTTAAACTTTGATAGTAGGTTGGATTGCAGGAAACAACGTGTATGCCATTGATGTCTGGGTTAAGGACTGTAATTAGTTTGCTCATGGAGATGGATAGATTAGTATCGGTGGGACACATTGTTTTACTTCAACTGCATGTGTATTTTAGATATGTTCTGTTAAATTACTTTTGAAATTTAGAGGGAGATTTTTATTTTTCTTGGAGGATATTAGTTTACATCCAGGCATCTCACTCTTCACCTCCTGGTGCACGTTACCAATATTTAGATCATGATGACAATGGAACTTTTGCGTGCCAGTATGTTAGTGCCTCAGTAAATCCTGTCAAGAGAGTGGTTTTCAATTGTTCATATAGTTTCCCGTCTTTAATAGTACCATTCTGTATACTTAATAGTAATGAAGTTTCTAAATATGTCAATGACATCTATACGTTGATTTTCTTATGTTAATCTAAAATATTTATCTACTGGTATCACAATGAACAGTCAAATATATGGCAAATTCTACAAGTTCTGGTCGTAAGGCTAAGGCTGATGAAAATAACAACGGGAGATGCGTGGGTGAGATAAGCCCAATCAACTCAGGCTCTTCTATGAAAGATGCGACTGGTCCCAGAAGGTCTATCAGAGAAACTTCATCAAAGAAGACCACTCCTAGTCCTTCAAGTATTCGAAAGTCCGAGCGACTTGGAAAGAGTACATCACTAAGTCCTCTTGTCAGGAGGAAGTCTGAAAGGGTTGAGAAACAGAAGATGCCAAGTCCTTTGAGGAGATCTACAAGAACTAAGAATTACTCTGATGTAGCTACATCAGGTTCCAAGAGATCTGACCCATTAGATTTAAAGCAGAAAAAGAAAAAAAAACACAAGAGTGTAAAAAAATTAACATTTGAAGCTGAAAAAGCTGAAAATGAAGAAAGTGATGGGGGAACTTCTCCGGTAAAGAGGAAGAGAATGGATGCTCGTGCTTTCCGGGCTATGTTAAAGAAGAAACCAAAGATAGGTAGATAGACTGTTGAGCAGTGTTATTACTTTACCTATTTCTTTTTACAAAAGAATTTATTCTTCCTTTTTTAGTTTTGTCACTCTTTACTGAGCAATATTTATTGCCTCTCTATGGTCAGAAAGGGTATGGCATGAAAAGCAGTGTATATGCACTTTTTAAAAATAAAGTATTTGAAGATGCTAATAATTATGTGGTTTGTCTTGCATCAAGATACCCTGGGATTTGCTTTTTTTTTTTTTTTTGTGGAATTGTAAATACTTCGAAATGTTGCTTGCTGATAGATCCTGATGATTGTCATGGTTGTTGTTGTTAACATTACCAGTTTATTGATTTTAATTGCTTGATTTACAGATTGTCCTGAGAAGACAAATGAGAAAGATAATTTAATTCAAGAAGGTGACAACAATGCTGAGGACAAGATTGATGAGCACTCCAAAGGGAGTAATTTAGATTGCAAAGAAGTTTCCAATAATGGAATGCTACCACCTGATGATGCCAAGGGGTTAGTTAACCTTTCTGCTCTTGAGGTTAGTTGGATTTTTTGTTTTCCTTGTCATATATGTAAATAATTATTTTGTCTAAAGATTTTTTTCCTCTCTTTACTTGTTTGGTTGGCATTTATGTATTTGGTTTATTAGGATTGTAGGTAATATGTAAGCTAAAGCTTATAGGGAAAGGCCTCATTGTGCATAGCGAGCTTAACTTAAACTGACACCGAGTATGCTTGTGGATTATAAAGGTGAATGAAATAGAAAACACTGTTTCATGATATTGAATTGGTTAACGATTGAAATAGGGTTAAGAAACATTCCCACAAAGACTCTGAACGTTGTTAAGAAACATTTCTAAGATGTTTATTTTTATCTATGGTTCAGTTATTAATCTTCTTTTACATTGTTATTTGCTTTAGGATAGAGGTGAAGCTGAATCCACCTTTGCTGCAGAAATTTCTGAGGAAGGCGTTGACTGCCCACCTTCAAATGGTGTCTCTGCAGAGATCCAAGCAGACAATGGAAAAATGTGTCTCATTTGCAAGCGTAGCGGGCAGCTTTTGTGAGTGACCTCTGTACATTTGTTATCTGTTTTTATGAGTGCCGATTTCCACAAGTTCATAACTGTTGTGATGCGCATCGTAGCATGACTTGATTTTCTTGTGGAGTCATTTTTGTCTTGTAATTGATTCTCAGATGTCTGGTGTCTATTGATTTTAGGCTTGGACGCACAAAATGCTTGGTCAATGGCTTAGATGTGTTTGATATTAATTGCTGGATTATTTTTGCAAAGCTTAGTTGAGTGTCGATTCAAAAAAAGAGCTTCTAAATGATTGAGTGAATTAGGCAAACTGTAATGTAATGTGATTGTGGTGAAAAGCCTATCTGACATTTTACACCCTAACTGCAGTGGCATTGATGCAGCAAGTTAATGTACTATTTTTATTGTGTGCTGTGAGCATTTGCATAATGATGTTTAATTCACATTCTTTCATAAATTGCTGCGTTTATCCATGATTAATTTTAATTTTAGCAGATTCTGTGATGGAAAAGAATGCGGTGGATGCTACCATCTTTCTTGTCTCGAACCTCCCATGGTGGATGCTCCCCTTGGAGTTTGGCACTGTCACCTTTGCTTGAAGAAGAGATAGAATTTGGTGTATATTCTGTGTCCGAGGGAGTAGAATCAATTTGGGATGTCAGGGAAGTCAAGGTGTTTCGTGCTAATGGTAGTGTGTAATGACAAAATCTCATTTGCTTGAACTATTCTTGATTCCTCTTGGATTTTCCCATATTTTCTTAATGTATTATAGCTTTTCTGTTTGTTGCCTTTGCATGCCGATGGGTATCTGCATACTGTGGTGTCTAACACTAATTGTCTGTTGTGTGGTTTTTGTTCCAGGATGGACAACTGAGAAACATTTTCTCGTGAAGTATAAAGGCCTTGCTCATGTTCACAACCGTTGGGTACCAGAAAGTCAGTTACTTCTTGAAGCTCCTCCATTGCTGTTTGAGAAATTTAATCAGAAAGATCAGGTCTTAAATTTGTTAGCTCTTATTTTGCAGTTCATGTTAGGTAAACCAGTAAAATAAGCTTTATGGTTGTTATGTTTAAATTTGTGTATACTGCTGAGAGTTTCATTACTTCAGGCCCTAAAGTGGAAGCCAGAATGGAGCTTACCTCACCGGTTGCTTCAGAAGAGAGCATTAATCTTTGCCCAACAGGATGGTGATCCCAGTAGCGGCCAGGCTATTGGTAATTCTGACTGTCATTATGAATGGCTTGTTAAATGGCATGGTCTTGGTTATGAACATGCATCATGGGAGCTGGACGACGCTTTGTTTCTTCATTCACTTGAAGGTCGGAGGCTGATTAAAGACTATGAAGATCGTCACCAGAGGGCAAAGAGAGTTCCTTTATCATCCAAAGTTGATAAGGTTGTTAAGATTATGAGAAGTTAGGCCTTTATGTTGCTGATATAATGGGGAAGATATGGGGATGGTTCTTTCAAAACTAAATTGGTAAATGTGTCAGTGTGTCAGAATAGGTAGACAAGATAGTGGAGGTCATTAACATTACATGGATTAGTTTTGGCACAATTGGTTGAGTGGAAACATTAAAGTTATGTGGTTAATATTGTGACTCTTGAACACAGACATCCTTATATTTGAACTCTATTTTACCCAATTTTCTTTCTTAATAAAAAAAGCCTCAGATCTCTTATGAAGGTTATGTTCATATCTCATCCTCATTCCTGACTGGTCTTCTTGGTCTGATATCAATCATCTGCAGAAACTAGACCGCATTACTTCTTTTAGCAAATTATCTCAGACACCTGGTGGATTTCCACCTGGATTTGGTATCAACAATTTGGATGCAGTTAACAAGCTGCGTGAGCATTGGCACAAGGGTCAGAATGCTGTTGTATTTGATGACCATGTGAGCTTGAACATATTATTATCTTTTGCCTTCATGCCATTGAATGGATATTATTTTGGCTTTTACGAATTATATATCTAATTTTCGCGTCTCAATTTGGGAGACATTTGAGATTTGGAATTATGCTTTTAGTATTCATAGAAAACTGATGTCTATTATTATAATGAATTTTGCAGGACAGAATGGTGAAAATGGTTGCATTCATCTCATCTCTGGTCTCTAATACATGTCGACCTTTTCTCATTATCTCAACTTCTGCTGCTCTCCATTTATGGGAGTATGAGTTTTCTTGTTGGGCCCCATCTCTCAATGTTGTTATTTACAGTGGAAACAAAGAGATTCGTAGAAGCATTAGGAAACTAGAATTTTATGGGGAAGGTGGCTGTCTGCTTTTCCAAGTGCTTATAGTACTTCCAGAGATCATCATTGAGGTGTGTGCAAGAATCTAATGTTGGTTACTGTTGAGTGTTTTATTTGTCCTGGGGTGTTGAGATTGAGTCGGTTATAGATGAGTTGTGATTTTATTTGGACTCTTTCCTGTCCCATTTGTCATGTTATTTTATTTTTCATATGCAGCTGAGGAATGCTGTTAAATATTAAACTTAAATGTGATGTTTAATAATAGTTAATTTTGCTCTGCAGGATCTAGAGGTTTTGGAAGGCTTAGAATTTGAAGCAATCATAATTGATGAGTCCCAGTGCTCAAAGATCTCATCTTATTTGAAGCAAATTAAAATGTTAAAGACAGATTTCTGGATTCTTCTATTCAGCGGCCAACTAAAGGTTTGTTTCTTTCCATGCTTAGGTTCCAGTTTTTTCAATCAACTCATTGTTTGTTGCTAAATATTAACTTACTGGGTTTTACAGGATAGTGTTGTAGAATATCAAGATATCCTGGCTTTTCTTGATCACCAGAGTTACAATGAAGATAATGGTGATTTAATCTCGAATTCCAGTGATATTGGTCAACTAAAGGATAAGCTGTCAAGTTTTGTTGCATATAGATGCAACTCTGACTCCTTTAGGTTTGTTGAGTATTGGGTTCCTGTAAATATCTCCGATGTGCAACTTGAGCAGTATTGTGCTGCTTTACTTTCAAACTCTTCAATACTACGCTCACAATCAAAATCTCATGTCACTGGGGCACTTCATGACATTCTTACGACTACCCGGAAGGTAAGGTCAAAATCTGTGTTAGTTGCATCACTTGCCTGATCGGGAATGGATCAAAGATGTCAAAGTTTGGTTTAATATTTTGACATCTTATGCTTGCACATCTTAATTGTGTGAATTTTATGCTGGGAACCTGTTGCCCTTCTATCTTGACATGTCTGTGTACTTTGTGCTCATTAGTCTTAGATGGTTATAATCAATTGGTAATAAATAATAATCCCTTCCTAGTCTTGAGTATAAAATTTTTAACATGAGGTCTTGCATATAGGTAGAAAAACTGGGTGCATGATCAATTCATCTCTGAGAAGTAATAAAATTAAATTGTAGTTATTGATGTAGTTGGAAACCATGTTTCTAAGCTGGGGAACAAGGTTCATGAGCTGAGGAACTGATAGCTGATGTGACGGAACGTAAATCTAGGGAATAATCTGAGCAAACACTTATTATATTAATATTCAAACTGGTCTTCTCTTAGGTGGGAAGAAAGATAAACTACAGCAGTGATAAGCTCACACACAATGGAAATGAACTACTGATAATGAAAGAAACACACCCGCACAAGGTTCACCAACAATAAAACACTCTGAAAGCAGAAAAGATGATGATGAAGAAAGAAGCCTTCCTCCACTGCAATCCTGGTATTCAAGAGACTGGGCACCCTCCCTCACAAAACCACTAGCTTCCTTAAATTCTCATTGAACCCTTATTCCCCAATATATACACAACAGCCCCACCCCACTTCGTGTGCACACACCTGTGCGGGTTAGTCTCAACCCATTAATGAGGGCCCATCAGATATATTTTTAACATCTTTGGTTTAATTCTTTTGCTGTGTGGGTGCTGAATCTGATTTGGGGGTGTTTGGATTAGCTTTTTATAAATGATTTTACAGAGTATGAGGCAAATATAGGAGAAGAGTTTCGTATCATGGAAGCACTTTTATTAGGTGTTTATGTTGTTTTCCAAACACCCCCTTAGTGTTCCTGCGTATGTATGTTCAAAAGTTAGGTTTGGAATCATCTCATTTATTTGATTTTATGCTTTTATTTGATTTGCTAACTGTTTACACTTAAATCAACTCCTACGCTCTATTTGTCTGAAAAATAGTTGACTATATGTTAGTGCTAATAGCTATTTGATTGTCGCAAATTTTCTTCATGTTTTCATTTTTTGCCTGTGGTATCTCATGACAGTGTTGTAATCACCCCTATCTTGTTGATGAATCCCTACAAAGTTTACTTATCAAAGATCTTCCACCGGCTGAGATCCTGGATGTTGGAGTAAAAGCAAGTGGGAAGCTGCAACTTCTTGATTCCATGCTCATGGAATTGAAAAAACAAGGTCTGAGGGTGCTTATTCTTTTCCAGGTACACATCTTGTTGAGCATCCTCCCGTCAAATTTTCTTGAAAATTTTCCTGTTTAATTGTTCTCCATGCTTTTTAATTCTATATGTTTTGTTTTTATTGCTTCATACTCCCCTGGTAGTTCATTTAAGCTTACAAGAAATTGGGCATATTAAACTGATGATCTATTTTCATTTGGAAATTTGTATACAATAATAGTCCAATCACACTACTCAAATTTGGGAAACGACAATTGTAATCTAATCAAACTTTGAATTGTCCATGAACTAAGTCCTGGAAATCATATTTCATCTGCTTGATTTGCTTTGTATTAGTTGCTCTCTCTGTTTTTTTTTTTTTTTTGGGGGGGGGGGTTTCAATTATACTTGTGAGAGAGAGAGAGTGTGTGTGTGATCAGATGCACGAATACAATGATCAATGCATCTCTTTTATGCCTCCACCATTGAAGCAGTGTACTAATTTAGTGAGTTATATTTACGCTTTTATTGAAAATTTTAATCTGCAGTTCCTAGGTGGTTCTGGGAGGGTTTCAATTGGAGATATTTTGGATGACTTGATACGTCAAAGATTTGGTCCCGATTCATATGAAAGAATTGACAAGGGTGTTTTGAATTCTAAGAAGCAAAGTGCTCTGAAAATGTTTAATAACAAGGAGCATGGGAGATTTGTACTTTTATTAGAGACAAATGCTTGCCATCATAGCATCAAATTGTCATCAGTTGATACCATTATCATTTTTGATAGTGATTGGAACCCATTGAATGATATAAGGTCCCTTCAGAAAGTAGCACTTGATTCACAGTTGGAGCATGTTAAAATATTTCGCTTGTATTCGTCTTTCACTGTTGAAGAAAGAGCCCTAGTCCTTGCTAAGCAGGATAGACCGCTTGATAGCAAATTGGACCTAAGTTGGAGTACTAGTCACACGCTGTTGATGTGGGGCGCATCATCTTTATTTGATGATTTAAAAGCTTTTCATGATGGTAAAACTGATATCTTAAGTGTGAACTCCTCATCTGCACAATTATCTTTGAAACAAGCTCTACATGAATTCTTATCCATACTTAAGCAAAATGGTGAAGATACTGACACAAGGGACTGCTCATTTTTATTGAAAGTCAAGCAAAATGGATTAAAATACTACCCAAATTTTTCTTTGCTTGGTGAGTGGAAATTTAAGTCACTGGATTCAGAGCCATACCACTTATTTTGGACAAAAGTTTTGGAGGGCAAAAATCCACAATGGAAATACTCATGCGGTTTATCTCAAAGGAGCCGGAAAAGGGCTCAGCATATGGATGGTTTGGGAAAGAGGTCTGACTTTGAGAATGAAGAGGTAGTGAAAAAGCGCACAAAATTTATAAATAATGCTGATCAGCCTTATTCAAAACGTGAAGGTGAAAAATTATCCGCTGGAAACAAGGAAGGTTAGTGATTGCTCCTGTTAATAAGTTCACTTTTTTTTTCAACTCTGTAGTTCGATTGAGTTGAGAGATTGTTTCTTGCATCCTTTGTGGTTTCTCATTGAAATTTCTGAAACATCACGTCCTTTTGCAGGAAATTTTGGAGAATCAAGGGGTAATGTTTCTCAATTAATTTCTTATTCAACTGCTTGCTTTAATGATCCACTGCATGTGAATCATTCTTGCACTGTTTGACTTTGAATTTCAGAAAGACCTCAAGGCAATGATGTTGAATTCCTGAAAGCAAGGAAATCACGTGATGAGCAGAGGAGCTTACATCTTTCTCTGAAGTCAGAAATAGCTAAGCTTTGTGGAATCCTTGATGTCCCAGTATGATGCCTGTTTCTCTTGATTTTGTCCCTTCCCATGTGTTCTTACAGGCAGAAGTGCAATCTATTTGCCGGATTAATTTTGAACTGGTGAAATGTGCTTTTTCTGGGATCGGAATCTGATGATCATTTTTGGTTGTTTGTTAGTGTTGATCAGTTTGCTAAAAAAAAAGTGGTACTTAAAGACTATTTATTTTTTGGCCATTTGACTTGAGAACAACTTCAACACCACTAAAGTAGTAACAGTTAGGCAGTTCTACAATATATGCTTGATTATAAGGCCTTCGGAGGACTTGATTTTCTTTGTTCCTGGGGAGCTTCAACCTTCCTATCATTAATATAAAATAGCAACAAGTTGATCGTTGTTATTTCAAATTCTGACGTTGGTGGTTTGGGTTTCGTTGTTATAATTGCAACTAATGAGTTGTAGGGACATATCAAATCTTTAATGCTAGCAGAAAGCAGATAGATTAGAAGGTAGAACTGCTACTGGGAAGAATTAAATGATCAGCAATGGCTGCACTATGATATTGAGAATTAGCGCTATTCAGAAAATTAATGAACAAGGATAAAGAAGTCAATTGGTTTTGGATCCATTATTTTCTCTTTATTGAACAAATTTTGTGACTTAATTACAGAATACCCGTCAGATCCATGCCTAGATTACTATTGAAGTTAGTAAAATGGGGGACATTGCCATTTGTTTTGGTGCTTCATGGATGGATTCAAGTGTTCGTCCTTGATGAATGCTAGACATCAGAGCATCTGGTGAATGAATTTTAATTTTTCCCCTATTTTTTTATCTTGTGTCTTGTAAGGGGGGTTACATGGATATGGACTTCTGAAGTGGGAGTGAATTGATATGTTATATGAACGTAGGCTTGGCGTTGTTCCTATTAAACTAAGATTCAATATCATGAAACCTAAGGTATGTTAGAACAAATGCAGGGTGTGGACCTTCTAAGCTGCAGTCAAATATTTAATTGAACCTGGGGTTTCTGATGAGGGATCATATCTGAAAATTTTGTATATTGAATGCGTACTGAGTCTTTGACCAGTCTAAAGCTGGTGGTATAATAACACAAATTTCTATGATGCAGGATAATGTCAAGAGGATGGCTGATGAATTTCTTGATTATGTCATGAACAACCACCATGTGAATAGTACTCTTCCAAAGTCAATATTGGAGGCTTTTCAAATTGCTCTGGTCAGAAGATACTCTTCCATTTTCCTTCATTTAATCCTTTGTCTTCCTTACTGTCTTCCCCTCATGTTGCCTAGCATCAGATGTAATCGTGTTCTAAAAGGATGCTGGCATTTCATTCTCTTTTTGTATATTTGAGTGTTGGCAAGCCAAAGTGAAACTGATGATCTTCATAGTAATAACATTTTTATCCTTACGTTTACACGGGTATTATGGTTGTCGAGATAGGACAAGTGGACTCTCCAAACTGGAAACAAAGTAAGGGCGAGGGAGTGATGTTTAATGGATATGATAGACCTAGAAAAAGAATAGGTTAAGACAAGAAACTAGTGAAGTGATCGCGTCTTTGGTAGAACCTTGCACCTGAGTATTATTTATATTACCTGAATTGATGCTTCTCATCCAATATATATATATATGGAAGAGCAAGGATGGTCCAGTATCTACCTACAGCATGATGCGCAAGAAAGAAAAGGAATGGTGATGGTAATGATCCTGACTTTCAAGAGCTCAGGAGTCTCCCAATGAACTAGATTTTTCCAGCCCCCTCCCTGCACTCTCCTTCCTTTAGTAGATTCTTTTCCAACACTCGCCTCCCATCCTAACATCCTTCTCACGGGACAAAGTTAGTTGCATCACGAATTCCCATTTCTTTGTCTGACTTAAAACTTCCCTAATTGGCATGGGAGTTACCTCTTCTTTGAGAGTTAGTCAGGTCCGCTTTTCTGTTGGGCTTATCAGTCTGCAGTCATCTACATATTAATTTGATGGTTTGTCAAAAATTATCATAATCCTATAAACTTCATCCCGAGTCTTCAAGATCATTTGACATGCAATATTTGGCTGGATCGCGAACAGGTTAATGAGTTTATACTCAGTTTGAAAGATCTTTACCAAGCCATTGCTAGTTGACTTGACTTTTCCAAATCCTTGACTGATACAAATTTACAAGTTAGATCAAGAGTTTGCACTAGGTTCAATCGAGGAAGTATATAATTTACATAGAATTGTGCTATTGCAGCTGAAATATTTTGTCATCAAGAAGCAACATTTTCCTAATTGCTTTAAAAGTAGTTACTTTTGCCCGTTTGAATGATGGCCTCGTATTCTTCTCTCTTTCTAATGAGCCATGTAGTTCTCATTTCAACAACCCATTTGATTGCAATAGAATCCTACTGTCACATTTTGCAAGTTTACTTATACATTTGTTTTAAATATATTTTGATGGGTTTTGTTACCTAAGCACAATTGGAAATGGGAAGATATGACGGTTAGTTATGTTAGGTGGAGACATTAGGCCTATAAATAAAAGGGGAAGCAATGTATTAAGATTCAGTGCTGTGACAGTGGAAAAGTGCATGGGGAAATTGACAATGAAAAAGTGGAGGAAGTAATTGGGGAGGTGTTGGAACAAGTATCTCAAGACACAATGACTGACAAAAGAAGCAACAGCAAGGAATTTTGTTAGTGGCTTTTGGGTAAGCTCACGAGGTGTTCTATTCCATTGTAGTCTTGGGAAGCATTTGAAGTGTTATTTGGTGTGAGTGGTTGTGTAATGAGGCACTTTAGGGTATCTGTTTGCTAAGACGGTGAAGTTTAAGTGTGAGTCATAAGCTCTTGCTGAAGACCTATTTCATTATAATACCGTAGTCTCTACCAATTTGGACATTTTGCTTGGTTGTGTGAGTTGGGCTTGTTAGCAGGGTCCTATTATCTTCTAATTGACAATATGTCAAAGACTCATGTTTAGTAGCATAGAATTGTTATTTAGATTTTGTTTACCTGTGATGCTCAAATGATCTGACAAGTTTTTTCATTGACATTGCAAATATCAGTGCTGGGCCGCAGCTGCTTTGGCAAAGCACAAGATTGACCATGAAGCTTCCCTTATGCTTGCAAAACAGCATCTAAAATTTGATTGTAGGAAGGATGAGGCAAATGTAATTTATTCAATGTTGCGGTGTCTGAAGAATATATTTTTGCATCGAACAGGAAATTACAATGTCACTGGCTCTCCAAAAGCTTCTGCATCTGGATTATCTGATAAGAATTATTCCTGTACGGGCTTGGCACTAGAAGCTGAATTGGCTAAGAAAGATGTCTTAAAAAGCATTAAAGAAATTCAAAAGAAATGCCAAAAGAAGCTGAGGAAGTTACTCTTTAAGCATCAAGAAGAAAAGAACAAGTTGGATGCAACATATGAGGAAAAAAGGGCCGATCTTGAGAAAAAGTACAAAATAGAATCAGCTGTTATTCGGTCCCGTTCTCCTAATGATGTGATCAGATCAGAAAACCTCAAGAATTTAGATATTGAATATAATGAAAGAATTGAAGATCTGAAGCATCAGTACGAAATGCATCTCAAAGATCTTGAGAATGTCCAATCGACAGCAAGGCAAATGTTACAGAATAGGGAGGTCGCTTGGGTGGAAGATGTGAAGTCTTGGGCACAAGATGAATTGTTAAACGCACTTCCTTCAAAAGAACATGGGAATGGGATAGAATACTTGAAGACTAGCATGCAAGCTGAGCCTGACTATGATCCCAAGAATAGGTGCCTTGTGTCCAATCTTGTTACTAAGGATACTAATTTTGATAGAACAGTTGAAGCCATGATAGGGACTCGTCTTGGATCATCTAGAACTCCTGAAATCATGTCCCCTATGCTTGTACAGTGCGGTGATCCAGTTGATGGGCAAACTCCTCCGGTTGAGGCTGCTAGTGCTTATGAGGGCCATGATAGAGCTCAAAACGTATGTGATAGTCAAGGGAAAATTATCTCCGTGCCTGCCCATCCAAAAGAACATAATGTCAATGGAGCCACACGCATGATGAACGAAGGGGAAGGACATAATATTTTCTATGATGGTTGCGGGGAAAAAACTGTGCCTGATGGCTCAGAGAAGGATACAGCCGTGGATCCTTCTTCATCCAGGGAACTAATTCCTGATAGAAGTCCATTGAATGTTTCAGATAGAGAGTTATCATCAAGACAATGTGAAAGTCCACCGTTGCCAGATCAGCAAACTTCTCTTGAAGTCTCATTATGCATACGTGATGGACAGGTCCCAATTGAAGTGCCTGAAACTAGTTGTGGAATAGCTGAAGGTAATAAGGGCGGAGAGCACCAAAGAGATGGGGTATTGTTGGATCAAACTGCCACATCAGAGGAGCGGGAACAGATGTCAAGAACCATGAACAATAACACTTTGTCCCAGGTGACAGCACTGTTATCAAGCTTTCCTTCAATGTATCCTTTACTTGTACTGTGAACTTTTATATTTGTAAATGGGGTGCAGAGTGCTGTACTATGCAGTAGTACTATGTTGTCAGTCTCCACATGCTTAAATAAACTAGAATGGCTTTTTCAGCCAAAGAGCGTAGCATTTAAAAGAAATAAATATTTAATGTATAATACTGTGAGCTACATCAGGTTGTGGAAAACATGAAAGATATTCTGGAATCTTCACTTATGTAAAGTTTCTTTTCTTTTCTTTCTTTCTTTTTTTTTTGTGTGAATTCTTTTGTACCTTGGTGGGCACAGGTCATTGGTTACTTTTCATAAAATTTCTAGTAATGGTCGATTGTCTTTTTAAGCTCTTAGGAAGTTGGGTCGTTACTTTGTTAGGACGAGTTTAGTGTGCTAGTACTTGCTGATTTATCTTCCTTGATGAATGGCTTGTGGACTTTGCAACTATAATGTCTTGGATATCTTTTAGAATCATAGATACATCTTACATAACCTTTGCTTTCATTTCTTGCCTATCAGGCACTACAAGATTCACCTGCCTCTTTATTAACATCCCCCAGAATGGTTGATAAAGATGCAACGGTGGGAGAAATACAGAATTCTTCGGGACTGGTTGAACAGTTATCTAATCCAGCTGATATTATTCCAGCTAATCAATGTAATCTGCAGTCAGTCGTGGAGCCTCTAGAGCAGGTGCAGGAATTACCATCTGCAGAGTGCCTTGCTTCCAACCAGGATACAGCTGGAGAAATGCAGATCTTTGCTCCGCAAGTTGAGCCTGTCTCTAGTCCTGTTGATGCTTTACCAGCTGGTCAATTTAATCATGACCCAGCCATGGAGCCTCTAGAGCAACTACAGCAATTACCTTCTGCAGCGGCCCCTGCTGCTAACCTGGACACTTCTGGAGAGTTGCTTAACTCTTCCCAGCAAGTTGAGCCAGTCTGTCGACAGGATAATGGGGCACAAGCCAATGGATTGAATCATGAGTCACGGGTCAGGGAGCTTCTACAGCAGATGCAGCAACTTCCGCCTGCTGTCCCTCCTAATTCCACCCACAATCCATCAGTGGCAACTGAAACTGAACTCCGGTCAAATAATGAAGATTCTCTGTGTGGCCAGGTTTCCCCTGCACCAATGGAGGTTACAAATCAGGCTGTCGTTCATTCTGCCTCTGAACTTGATTCACACACACCTGTTGGTACATGCAGAACGCAATCATTAGGCACTAGAAATGTGTTCACTCCTCCAGAGATCAATAACCGTCCTAGACAAACTACAAGCCAATCAGCAGACACGGATCCGTTAAAGAATGAATTGGACAGATTACTAAGAGAGTCAGAGCAAACCTTGAAATACTATGAAGATATGGTTGGTTTCTGTTGTGCCTAGAGCATTTTGCTTTGGCTCTGCTTTGCCTATGTTATGTTATCTTTATCTCATCACTTGTTTTAATGTAACTATTTCTGTTACTTGAGCAGAAATTGCAGTTGAAATCTGATTGTGAGAGAGAGCTGGAGGAAACTCGCAGGAAGTATGACGTCAAGTTACAGGAGAGAGAGCTTGAGTTTCATCTGAAAAAGAAGAACCTGGAAACAAATATCAACTTAGTTCTCATGAATAAGATGTGGGCAGAGGCTTTTAGGTCCAAATGCATGGATCTTAGAGTATCCGGACCACAAGGAATGCAGCAAGGTATATGACTTTATTAGGAAACTTTTTTATTTGATATCACATCTGGTCCGTGAGGGCATGGGCACCATGGCCTTAGGGCCAAGATGATTATTGTGATACTCATCACTATGGTCTTGCCTGATTTGGAGCCAAGATGATTATTGTGATACTCATCACTATGGTCTTGCCTGATTTGGAGGTTGAATGTATGTGCTCTTGTATGAACAGCAATAACTCTTAAATTTCACCAAATCTGCCTTGATACCACTTGATGTAGAAGTGATAACCAGAATAGATATAAGGGGAAGAGAGGAAGGTAAGGAGGGAGATGTAGACAGATGGGAGGAAGGGGGAGGGAAAGAGGCAATAGCAAGCCAAGAGAACTTTATTAATTGTTACTCGGACTTTAATCACTAAAGGCTTTATGTAGAACGCGAGAGGTACCTCCTAATATGATAAATTAATAAGATCATTGACCAAATGATAATTTCGACAGACAAAACGATAATGAAATTCAAAATAGAAACAATTAATTAAATCATTTTTAATTTCTAGGTTTATTCATAATACCTAATTTTCTCTATCATTTCTCCATTAATGTCCATGCTGTTGAACCATATTCATAGTGTCATGAATATACACCATATGTTAGTTAAATCATTTTTAATTTCTAGGTTTATTTTTTATACCTAATTTTCTCTTCCATTTCTCCGTTAATGTCCATGCTGTTGAACCATGTTCATGGTATCATGAATATGCGCCATATGTGGATGTTTGTAGTACTGATTTGCCTATGGTTTTGCTTGACCATTATTTTATCATCAGATCCAAGTTTGGCACAGCAATTGGTTTGGACTTCAAGCCAGCAAAGAGATGTGAGGCCTTCCCAAGCAGCAAGTCCACCTCATGGGCCTCCTGCATCTACACTGCAGCATTTGGCCGCTGCTTCTAGCCCTCAAACCATGGCGCCACCTCCCCCTGTATCCAGTATGCGGACCTTCCCTCTAGGGAGCTCACAGATTTTGGTGCCACCCATGCCTGCTACGGCTAGCTCTTCACCCATGGTGCCACTTATATCTACTATAACTAGCTCGCAGAACATGGCACCCCCTCTAGTGGCTGCTTACAATGCACCTCCAAGGCCACCTCACATCAACTCCATTCCTCCGTTGGCAAACCATCAAGCTGGTAGTGGGTTCCGTACCACTCCTCCCCATCTCCAGCCTTATAGACCACCAACATCTGGCGTGTTGAGTCAACAAGCTCCTAGTAACAATCCTGCAATGCCCTCATTGCCTAACCATGCTCGACCAACACTTCCAACCAATACATCTGATCCTCATAATAGAGTGCAACGGCCTGAAATTCCTGTAAGGTTACCCATTCCTAACTTCTCAGCCAGGGAGCCAGCGATGGGTGGTAATTCTCAACTGGGTATGAATCTGTCAAATACTCTGTTACGTCCATCAAATGTGACATCATTGCAGCAATCTAAGTTTGGCACCGCTAGTAGCATGCGGGATGACTGTGTCCGTCCAGCTATGTCACCCAACGTAGTCTGTTTGTCAGACGATGACTAACCTATCAGGAAGAGCTTGATTTCAGCTATTTTGTCCTAACACGATATATAGCCGGCTCCAAGATTTGCTTTAGTTTCTTGTGTTTCAGAGGCCTCTGATTGCGGTTGGCTATTGATGTGCAGCAAGGCCGTTATATTAACTTTCGGCTTTTGTTAAACGCGTTATTGTATTTGAATATTTGATAGTAAAATGTACATATATGTAATTAATTACCTTGGTAAAAGAAAAATCCGTAAGTAATTGTCTTGGATTTGGTTCTTTGGGCTGCTTTTGAGCATGATCTGAAGCATGGTGGAAGCCAGCTAGATCTAAGGGCCTCTTTTTGGTTCCGCAAGAGTTTTCGGGGGGACAGAAATGGAAGTGGTTGTGTACATGGAAGTAGAAATAGAGTTTAAAAGTTTGTTTGCTATGTGTATATGGAATCCGGATATAATTTTTATATGATATATGTATTTACAGTGTTAAATTCAAAATGTCCTGGTAAAAAATTAAAATAAATTGTGTTTTTTTTCTTTTCAATTAACAGTAAGAGAGCGGTTGTCATTTCTCACATTAAACTTGTCATCACAAGTTGTTTTGTTGTCAACAAAATTTTAAAGTAATTATATTTATTCTCTTACCCCTTGTCGAATTTTTTGCTACCTGGGGTCATGTTTTTAGCGGACGTTCAACCTCTCACACTCATACCTCTGGACTTAGATAAAGAATTCTAGTTGTAAGATATTTAATGAGACGGTTGCTGGAATTGAGATCTCATTCAAGAAAAAAAAGATATCAAATATTGAGTTTTTTTTCGTATATTATATGAATGATCCAATCTTTTAGGACCATCATTGGATGAGCTACTGAAAAGTAGCTGAAAAAAGAAAGAATAACGAGTGGGAAAAAAAACTAGAGCTCAATCTGCAGATTTGATGCTTTACCATCTTCAATGTTTAGTAATCAGACAAGCGGTGCCAGGGCTCCATGGAACCCATTCGAACACAGAACCCCTACCATATTGCTGCAGATCAATTTTACAAAACGCGAAGAACCACTTCGTGGTTTCCTCCACAGACCACTTGTACAAAGAATCCACACCCAAAAGTCAAAATCAACAATATAATCAAAGCAAGACTTAATACAATTTTTTATCTTTTAAATTTGTTCTATTTTGGTTTTGACATCTGATGATTCAAAACATAAGTTTTAGCTCTTTAAGTTTTTTTTCCTGTTAAATATTGGTTTAAATAACAATTTAGATCTTCTTGTTTTATGAGATATTAAAACCTATGATTTGAAATTAAAAAGATCAAAATGAGTACAGATGAAAGATTATGTTAATTCTCAAATTAAAGTAATCAAGGAGCCGGACGCTGTCGAGACCTCCTTTTCAGTTCGGAGAAAATGCAAGATGCTGTCCAGACCTCCAACATCGATGACCAGACGGCGGTGACAATCGGTCTCCGCTAGTCTTCTCGCCAACCTCCTCTCTTCTACAACTTCGATAGTGTCACGGCAGTGTTGCAAAATGGAGATGATGAGTTATGTCGGTGCTTACCTCCGTCGTTATCGCCGTCGAGTTGATGCGTGCCAAAATGAAGAAGAGTCAGATGGAGGAAGGGCATAGTGGAGAAGAGGACATGAGAAAGCAAATTGAACTTGGATTTCATGGTCCCATCATGGAAGTCAATTCCATCAATATGAGTTCCGCTGAATCAAAACGGCGTGGTTCTCTATCTCCCTAGCAACCAAACAAAAAATTCACTCAAATAAAACAAAACAGAGGCTTCTTAGTTTTTGCGATGACGCGATTCTCTCTCTTCCTCCATTGCTATTCCTCAGTCGTCAACACCGTCCTCGCAGACGCTTCTACCCACCGATCTCAGAAAGCTTATATTAAATTTTAAAGTAATTAGACTATGATTGACCATTGATTAATATCAAGGCAACGGAAAAAATCAAACACTCAACAATGTGAGCATGAGATACTGAACTCACATATGACCCATAAGGCACGTGCGATTTCGCCCCATCTTCCTGACATAAAAAGAAATTCATTTCAGCTTTTACCGTTCAAGTATATAAGAAATCAGCAATCAACAAGAGTTGGTCCAGTTGGTAAAGAATCGGCTCATAACTTACAAGGTCGTGAGTTCGAATCTCACTGCCGATGTAAGGACTTTGTTGATGGGCGATCTGTAAGTACCTCTGTAAACGCTCTCTGAACCTGGAGGCATGTCCTGACCCTGGTGAGTCCCGGGACCCAACTCACCTAAACTTTTATGTATCAAAAAAAAGAAAAAAAGAAATCAGCAAGATGGAAAGCTTATTAAGCAAGGACGAAGGAAGCATAATTCAGAACCGGTTCCATGCGCAAGCCGTTCAACTCCTGACACATTTTATATGTTGCATATATTCTAAATTCAGAATCTTAATTGAAAGTTGTTGACTAAGGAACAGAATCTTAATCCTCGTAGGCGCCGCTGCCCACGTTCCTCAAAATAATCGATGCGGTATGAGGTCAATGAGAAGAGTGAAGGAAGAGAACTGTGGGCAGCAGCGCCGGCAAGAATGGGGCTGACGACTGAGGAACAGCAATGGAAGAAGAGAGAGAACGACTTCGCTACAAAAACTCAAGAAGCTGATTGCTAGAGTGATGGAGAACGACTTGGTTTTGATTTGGTGGAGAGGATGGCTAAGTGGGGAAACATACTCCTGAGGATAACTCCTTTTGAAAAAGGAAATGTATTTGCATTTGTGACCAACATTAAAATTTTGATTGACACACTTGGGAGTGATTTGAAAATTGCTTCAGGTAGAAATTGGAAATTGTCTTTACAAGTAGTTCTTTTTTTCCCGGGTTGAAACTAGGCGTAATGATTACTTGCTATACATAATTACATGATATAACATACGTTATTCGCCAATTACCTGGGAATAAACCCCAGTACTATTATATTGCTTACCATTCAAGAAAGAAACATCTTTATGAAACTGATTAATAAATAGTGCGTGCTAATTAAGTCCACTCAATGTATTGGAAGAGGTGCACCATCCCAATCCTTTAGGCATTCAAACATTGGATCAATCAACTTTCCTTGACTAATTGCAGTGAAAACTTTATCAAAATCTTCTCCTGGGGAGCGACTTTCATCTCCAGTTAAAAACTGTGTGCCCAACTCCTCCCTTACAAACTTGTAAAGTGGATAGGACCTGCAATCTTTAATCTTGTTAGGAATTGCTGAAATGCCCTTCTCAAAGGAATTTCTTGCAGACTCAACTTCACTGGGCAACACTGCCCTCAGTTCCTCTTCAAAGGCACCGATCTTGAGGAATACGGAAGCATATCCACTTTCCAAACCATCATTACTCATCATCAATGCATGCTCCACAAGCACACGCCTTAGCTTCTCCATCAAAGGATAAGTAGCATTACACGGGTCATCAATATATCCAAAAACGTGTTCTCGATCAACCACCTTGAGCAAATCTTTCTCACAAAATCTTGAAGGACGAAGCTCTCCATTAACACCCACAGTTAGGACCTTCTTAGCCACTTGGCTCACTGTGTTTTTAACCGTGTTCTTCAAGTTTTCCTCCAAATGCCTCAAATCTATGGCTTGACAGAGAGCAATCAAGTAGGTTGAAGTCATGAGCTTCAATATCTCAACCGCTTCAGCTGTTTTCCTTGCCGAGATTAATCCTAATGAGTTCACATCTTGATTGTGCTGTTCTGCACTTTGGACGTGATTGGTTACTGGGTTTGCCAGATACTGAAGCTCAGAACAATATGAAGCCATTGCTATCTCGCCACCCTTGAATCCGTAATCCAAGCTTGGACAACGTCCCCCAGAAAGGTTTGAAGGCAAGCCATTGTTGTAAAAATCATTAACGAGCTCAGACATTTGAGCAAAAAGGAGCTTTCCAATGGCAGCCAAAGCTAGTCTTGTGTTGTCCATGGAAACACCGATTGGGGTGCCCTGAAAATTGCCACCATGAAGAGCTCTGTTCCTCGATACATCAATCAAAGGGTTATCATTCACAGAGTTTATCTCCCTCTCAATGCATTTTGTTGATGACCTGATAACTTCAATCTGAGGACCTAGCCATTGCGGCGAAGTTCTAAGAGCATACCTATCTTGCTTAGGCTTTTGGAAAGGATCAATCTCGTGCAACTTTTGTGCTGCTTTAATGTACGCACTTCCATCCAAGATGTGTTCCATTATGGCCGCTGCTTCGATCTGCCCAGGATGATGTTTTAATCTGTGAGTCAGATGGTCCGTAAACTCCGGCTTCCCGTGCATTACTTCAGCGAAAATTGCAGACATGATTTCGGATAGAACAGTTAAAATGTTGGCCTCAAAAGAAACCAAGGAAGCCAGACCAGCTCCAACCCCAGTTCCATTAACAAGTGCAAGACCCTCCTTTGGCTGTAACTCAAAGAAACCTTCATGGATAGAGGCTAGACGGAAGGCTTGCAATGGACTTAGAGACTCGCCGTTGGGGCCAGTGGCTTTAGAGTTAGGCCTTCCGGTCAACAGTCCGGCAAGGTATGAAAATGGGACTAAGTCGCCAGAGGCTGAAATGGAACCACGCAGGGGCAAGCATGGAGTAATGCTGTGGTTGAGTAGCTTAGCAATGGCTTCGAGGATGTTATATCTGATGCCAGAATAGCCTTGGAGGAGAGTGTTGATTCTGACCAGCATTGCAGCTCTTGATGCAGTGGCTGGCAGGGTATGTCCAGCTTCTCTTCCATTCCCAAATATTCCCGCATTCAAAAACCTGCTTTCAATTTTTATGTTTCCTTCAAAATTACATCCACCTTTCATGTTTTCATGACTTATACTTTGAAAGTTTCGGAACTAGTTTTTTATCCAGTCATTTTTGGTCAAAACTTTTTTATCCACTTAAAGAATGGTATTTTAGTCTGAAAAACGTGATTAAATTGTTAATTATCAATTGACTGAATGGAAATAGAAACTCAAAACTAAAAGAGAGAAAAATCTGCGCCATATGACCTTTTATTTTAAATAAATTTCATGTAAGTTTTAAAAGTAAATTAGTACTTCCTCTTATTCTTATTATAAGTTTCAAATAACTAATTTCTATATTACAAATAAACAGTTAAAATTAATTAGAAGCAATAAATAGGTTAGAAATATAATTTTGTTTTCAAATATGTTCTTATAATAAATGAGAAAAATAATGAAAGAAAATGCATGAAAAAATGTGATAAGAGAGTATGACAAAGGAGAAATAATAAATAATTAAGAGCAAAAATAAAAAAATACATTAAATATTTAGACAAATTCTAAATTGAAGCTTATAAAATAAACCACAGCTTATAAAAAGAAATGGAAGGAATATAAAATAGCTAGATGTTTACCTTCAAAATTGAGTGGACTTATAAAACTGATCATATTTTGGTCAAAAGAAAAATAAAACTGATCAAATAATCTAATACGTTTTCTTCTAATGACGTGTGCTGATTAAATTTGGATGTACATGTAACTAGAGCATCAGATAATGAAGGTACTGGCTGTGAGAAAGCGCTGATCACAAGGCATCATGTTTCAGAAGGAAGACAAAAGTTTGAGTCACGTCAACGAAGGTATTTTTTCGGTTTATATATAAAACCTAATTATAGAGTTAATTTTAATTCTAAATATAAGATTTATTTTTTATATTTATTAATTTTTTTCAAATCACGCTTATTGATACTCTCGCAATCGTAATCAAGTATGAGAAGAAAAAAGGATATAATGAAAATGATGAAAGTATTTTAAAAAAAACACATCATATTTATTATAATTAACTAACTTATCTAATTTTTTTAACCTAATCAAATTAGTTAAATAAGTCTTGTATTAAGTACGGGAGGAGTATATAATTACTCTAGTTGGGAGTGCAGGAGATAAGGTATGAATCAACGTAACGTAACAAGAAAAAGGCTCTCGTAATTAATAAGTCAGTCGCAAGTTGTAATGAAACGGAAAAGCATATACGAGCATGAATGCGAACATCATCAATTCATCACCTTATGAGCTCAGCTTGCAGCGCCACCCCTCGGCAGGTTCTCCGGTGCGACGTCGCACCGAACCCCGTCGTCACTCCATAACTGTCCATCCCTCTCTTCACGCTCTCAATCACCCACGCGCTGCTCGCCTCCACTCCCTCCCTCTTCCTCTCCTCCAGCTCCACCTTCGACTTCGACTCCGCCACCGCCGCCACCTGCCCCACCGTCAATGATTCCCCTCCCACCCTCACCACCTTCCTCCTGTAATCCCTCACCATGCCCTTCACTTCTTCTACGTGGCTCCCCCTCGTCAACTCCGCCGCCTCCCCCCACTTCAACGGATCAGCCTTATTCTCCTTCGTCGTCCGCTTGTCGTTTTCCGCCATCAAAACAACGTCGCGATCACTGCCTTGCCGTGACATTGCTGATTTCGAGGGGAAAAAATGTGAAGCAAACTCAAACGAACTGATGGATTGTGAATGAGTAGCACACGATCCAAAAGGGAGGCGATGATGAGAAAATCAAAGAGGATAGGTGTGATTCAGGTTGATTGGTTTTGAAGGAAAGTGAGAGGAGAATGGTGAGAGAGTTTTTTGTTTTTTTGAATAAGATATTTATGGCTACTAAAGAAATGGAAAGGAGGAAGCGCAGTGTAATTGGGTGAGGTTTTGTTCACCAGTTCAGTGGCTGTTTAAATAGAGAAATTAAACGTTAGTTATAAAGAGAGCTGGGCATGAAGCGAAGCGGGTGCCGTGGGATCTGGCTTTGATTTGGAGGGAGAGGATGGTGACACGTGGGAGGAGCATGTGACGATGAGAGTTACGCGGCGGGCTTTGCATGCGTGGATACTGAGGTGTCGTTCAACGTCGGACTTCATTTATTCAACTGATCCACCCGCCTTATACGTACGGCTTCATACGTATTATGGTAATTGGTGGGGAGGAGAAATTAATTGAATAAAACAACCCACATAAAATAAAAAATTCTATATAATAAATATATAAAAAAAATGTAACTTATTACTTTTATTTATAGAAAGTTGACCTTTAAAACTAATTATTACATACCCCTTTGGTCCTTAATATATGATTCGTTTGCATTACAAAATTGATTTTATTTTATTTTGAGAATTGAAAATAGTATATAACTATGAACACAATGGACAATGAGACCACGGCGACATGATGATCTCTTTAGTGCTTGTTTGGAACAGCTTAATGTAAACATTAATAAGTAGGTTCCCATGTAATCAAAATAAATTTATTTTGTATTTTGTAAATCACAATTAAAAAATTGTTTCCAAAGAATATTATCATCATTCCACAGAATCACTTCAATAATCATCATATGTGTTCGCCCATGTGTCCATTCTGCCTTCTCATCTTTAAAATGTTTCAAATTCGCGGACCTGAGATTTAATACGTGAGGGGCCACTCTAGTTTTCTTACTATATATATGCGAATATAATGTGTAATGTGCGCATAGGCCATAAAATTAATTATGCAAAACTGAAATGAACCTTGATTGGATTAGCCAGCCCGCTTTTTAGCATGCATCAGACTCCGCATGTCCATAACCAGGAACTAGGAAGCATTATTTCAAACTCGTTAAATGCTAAGAAATGATGATATATACTCTTCTGGTAATTAATATAAAACCTAATTATTGAGTTAATTTAATTTTAAATATAAGAGCTATTTCTCATATTTATCAAGTTTTTCTAAATTATTCCTATAGATATTTCCTCAACCATAATCAAGTGAAGGAGTGAGGATATTAAGAAAAATGATTATGGTGTTTTAGAAAAAACATGTTATGCTTTTTATAATTAACTAACTTACTTAACTTCTTTAATCTAATCAAATTAGTTAAATAGATATTATATCAAGGATAGGAGGAATACTTATCAATTAACCCTTGATCCAACGACCTCCGCAACTCATATCACATGTTGTTGTGCCCTCATAACTAGAAATCTCCACCTTCTCGCGAATTCTCAGGCCAAACCTTATTATTTCTGCTCCATATATGGGCTTCCCTGTCCGAAAACTCAACACTAACCTTGTTCTGATCTCTTTTTTTTATTAACAATTCAATCGGAATCCTCTTGTATGCATAGCTGATTATTGAGTCGTAATTTGATGAATGAATATTAACACGACAATGTTAATAAGTATTACTCCTATGATCATTAATTTAGAACCTAATTGGATAATTAATATTTGTTCTATAGATACAATCTATTTTTCATGTTTATCATTTTTTTTAAATTAATCCTATTGATATTTTCTTAATAACAATCAAGTAGGAAAGGAAAGGAAGGAGTTAAGGAAGATAATTAGAGTGTTATGAATAAAATATATCATAGTAACTAATTTAATCAATATTCTTAATCTACTTAAATTAATTAATTGTGTCTTACATTAAAAACCAAAAAAGTATTTTTTTTTTTTTAAAAAGGCGACGGAGCAATTCAACTAGAGATGACTAGTGACGGCTCATGCAAAAGAGACAGACCATGCATCTCACATGACCTTCAATTTCGCGCATTAATTTGTTTCGTTTGGCTCTCTCTCTCTCCCCCCCCCCCCCCAACTCCAGCTAATAACAAAGGGATTTTGATTGCTGGCCGTTAAGTAATCTGCCTTGCATCCAACTAATTAATTTCTCTTATAGGCATTAATTAGGGGGAAGTAGCAGTACAATGATGAACATATGGATCTTTGAATATTTTAAGGAAATGAGAACCACTCACATGATGTGTAATTCTGTGGGGTGAACTGGAAAGGCACACAAAAAGGATGAATAACGATCATTTTCGCCAAGTTTTAAAACGGAACGCAGGTAGTAATAAATAATCCCGTTGTTTTAAGAGTGTGTCTTACTATCACTCTGCATGTGTCCTTGTAGGGTATTAATCACTCTCATCTTCACACACTTTACCACAAGTTTGTACAAAATCAATTTAGTGATTTTAGTTAGTCAGGTACGAAAGAGTTATTGAGAGAATTATTAAGCTAAACATAATAATTTGTTAACAAAATTTATTGAAAACGAATTTTTCGATACATTCCTCATGTTCAGCTTAAGGTGAAATCATTTTTTCATTCTTTAAACAAATACGTGAGCCGTGAGGACTTTGTCCACCAAACATCAAGTACGTGTGATTTTTTTTTGTTTGTTTTAGTTTTTAAATGGTGTTTTATTGAAAGAAAACAACTATAATCAAAATAATAAGTGGTAGATATTTTTTATTTAATGTCATTTTATTTGGCTGATGAATTGTTCTCCTATATATGTCTCTAATGCCAGCGCATTGCGGATTTTAGAGAATGAACAGAGTGTGACCGTTGCAAATCTTAACTCTCCTTTATAACAGAATTTTATTTTGTACACTTAAGAAATCGTGTATTTATTGAAACTTGAGAGAAAGAAATAACACAAATCAATATAATTGTGTCTGGAATTTGTATTTTTTTAATAGTATTTTGTTCAATGACTGTGCAATGAATGGGCTTATGAAAGGCCATAAACTGATACACTCCTCTCCTTCTAGGTCGTTTCTTTTACTTTTTATTTTTTTATTTTGCTAAAGTATAGGTATCCTCTTATTGGAGGCAATCCTATTCAAGACACTATCGGGCACTAAATGTGAATACCTCTCCCAATAGAGATTCGAATCTTCGTTCATCATGTTGTGGGGGACTAGCCCCTTTTGTTAGACCCAATTCCCGTTAGTTAGGTCTTTTTTTTAGTTAAGCTCTTAACGGGTGCACTATTGAAGCCCATCCTTTTGGGTCCACTTGAAGCCCACTTATATTCTCTGCTCTCCAACATAGAGAACCCTTTTTTTTTTTGGCCAACAATCTCCAACATGGAGAACACATCTTTAGATTGGAAAATTTTGGTTAATAAAATTTAAAACGAAATCATTGAAACACACAACTGTATTCCATCAAATTGTCCAATAAATCATTTGATAAATTCGAGTTGATCGCAGTTGCACATCTATATCACATGAGATCTCTCAGTAATAATTTTTCTCATGTAGGACCTGAGCGTAATTTCTCCTTCAAATTTTATATCTCCATAGCTAATCCTCATATGAGTTTCAAATTCATTCATTGCATGTTCATGAAGGATTGAATTTGTTTCTTAAAAAATAGATATTTAAATCGTGACCATCTCTTGGTGGGAGTGGGACAACTGATCTGCCTAATTAAGACATGATGGATAAGATACATCACACGATTTCTTTTATCAGGTTAGACCAATTGATGCCCAAAATTCTATATCAAAACAAATTTGGAATTCAAACCAAACCCACTTATTCAATATTCCTTCTCTTTTTTTAATGATCCTTTTGTTGTTTTGGGAAGGAAAAATACACATGAGTGGGGTCAGTTTATTCATCAAGAATTGAATAGGTTTGTAATAAGTCGCAATCGTGACACTAAGAAAAGTATATAAAACTAACAATTGAATTGAACATTCAATTAGGCGATTCAATCTGTGTCGTACGCGTCACAGTTTTTCTGTAATATTTGGATTTGTTAATTATAAATTAAACCCTATTCAGTCGTGTAATCATCACCTCCTAATTTTATAACGTATATTATAATCATTAAAATTTTACAACTGTAAAGCATAACATATCAGGATTTTTTTTTTTTTGGATTTCAATTGATCGTGAATTTGAATACTACCTTTAGTTCTTAATATTAGATTTAATTATTATTTGTACTATAAACTAAATCTTATATTTAGAACATAAGGTAGTATTACACAAGCAACCGATGTTTCAAAATTTTTATATATCATATTGCTCCAGCCTAGTATAGTAGACTTTGATTAGTTCAGTTGTTCTGCTGCATATCTTTTATAACTCTAGCCTTTGAGCCGCTCACCTAAAACAGTATAAATAATCTTCTTCAATACAGCTTCCATGATCTGAAGTAATTTCTAACGATATTCCTTTTTGTTTTTGACATCAACGGGCAGGACATTACCAATAACCAATAAGATCAACAACAACAAAAATACATTTTTCCTGTAATATAATTCTAAGAAAAGCAATCTTTTTTAAAGTCTGGGGAATTTTGTTTTTAATAATAATCATGAAATATTTCAAGCTCTTTATTTTTTTAAAAAAATTACAACAATAGGCCCTAGTGGTAAGACAATACATCCAAGAATACTTGATTTAGTGCTGGTTAAGCTAAATCATGAAGTTAGGCAAACTATGTTTGAATCCCACCTTATTTTTTATTTTTTTAAAAGAGGAGGAGGGCTTTCTAATCACAGGGTTTTGATACAAATTAATTGGTTGCTTGAATATCCGATAGTACAATACAAAGAAAAAGAACCGGATACTCAATAGCCAAAAAAATCATTGAAAAAAAAACTAATAATTTAAGATTATAAGTGTAATTAAACTCACAATTTTCTGGTTAGATGAGAATTTTGATGTTATTAATGTACAAACATATTCACAAAATTTCAAACTAACGTACAGAGGATTGTCAAAATTTCAAACTCGTTTGATTTGACGCTATAAGGCACATAGGTGAAGAGAGCCAGAGCGGGATC